TTGTGCCGTTGGCGACGAATTTGTTGAAGTTGGCGGAGGGGAGGTGGAAGACGCCTTCTGTGTTGGTGTGAAGGTGCCAGACGTGGCAGGTTCTGTCTTGTGTTAGACTTGTTCAGAGGCAGGAATAAATGGAGGGAGGGGGGCTCACCCCCGACGAGAAAGCGCAGCAACAATCTGATCCGTGATACGGACATTATCAAAAATATCCCGGTTCTCGGTACAGAAGCGCTGCAAGGCGCCGGAGCGCAGATGACGCACAAACACAAAAGTGTCCATTTCAACCCACGCGTATCTACCACCGCAGTAGTCCATTGGATTCATACTAATCTGGTAAGTCTGCAGCTGCCAGGAAAAGTGACTCTGGGAGACTGGCTGGCCACGCTCCAGCATGACCCGGTCCCTGGCGAATTGGAGGAACGCTAGATTCGAGGATGTGTCCACGGTGCCTGGTCCATAGCGCCAGTTGAGAACTGAGTCGCGGACTAGACGGTTAATGAGGAGAGACTTCCAGCGTTTGCAGACCTGTTCTTGTTAGCGAGCTGCTCTATGCATGTGATGGGTGGGTATGCATACACTCTGTAGATTGAAGAGATCCGCGATTTCCAGGTACGAGGTGATCTGGACAGCCAGTTCTAGAGGCAGTGAACCCAGGATATCCCGATGAAAGCTAGTTTTGTCGATATGGTTCTTCAATTCGCGTCTTTCGTCGACGCGCAGCTCATTCAGTATATTGAGGTATCTGTGACGGACAGTTAGCAAGTGCGACGCGACAGGGGGGGCAGACATAAACATACACAGCGCGTCGAGCGGATTTTGAACGCAGATTTTGAAAGCGTATCAGGATCTCTTCGACCTGGTGGTCGTGATAGACCTCCATGGCGGTCTTTTACCGGGAGTTGACTCGGGAGAGCAGCAAAGAGAGTCAAACGCCAATAAAAGGTTTATTATGAACGATTCCACCGCCTTGGGAGGATTTTTTTTCAGGGGAAAGTGAAAAGAGAGCATCTGGTTGTTTTTATGGTTTTGTGAGTGGTTGAACGATGCATGTATATATATGGGTGTGGTGGGAGAGGTGTGTGGTGAATGGGTGAGATATATATAACACAGTGGAGTTGAGTACAGAGTAGAATGAAGATATATACCCAGGAGGATAGAGATAAATTGTAATTATGGTTATTGTTTTCTATAATAATAGAGAAACTCAGCTATAGAGGTATTCATTGTTCCTCTGTTCTGTATATATATCTTCCATCTGCCATCTTCCATCTTCATCAACAACACAATTTTCATCGCATCTTTTCTGCTCTATTTCTGTTCATTTCATCCTTATTCCAATACTAGCATAATCTACTATAGCTCTTCGTCTTCTGAAGTAGCCTCCCTTCAACCGTGACTTCCCCGAGTCGCCTCTTGCCTCATCTCTTGCCTTCTTGCCTTCTTGCCTTCTTGCCTTATTCTATTCTTCTTCTTCTTTACCTTCTATTCTTTGTCAGACATTCAACTGGCTGGACCGCGGATGTCGTACTAAAATCCGGACCAATTGAGCTTTGCAGATCCGATCGTCCTCTGCTTTTTCTTCTTCTTCTCGCCCGGTCTTCGCCTCTTTTTTTCTGCAGCTTTTTTAAATTTTTTAAATTTTTTTTTTTTTTTTGAAAATTATTATTATTATTTTTTCTTTCTTTCTTCCTTCTGGCCTCGGTTTACTTTCTTCTTCTTTTCATCGTCGTCTCTCTTTCTCTTTTTTTCTTCTTTCTCTCTTCCAGATTCCACTTTTATCCCTCCCACATTCGTCGACCGCTATTCTATTATATACCTAGGATAAGATAGGGGGCGCAAAACGGGTCCGGGCTCCAAAAAAAAAGAAAAACAATACAGAGTGGTCTTTCTCTCTCAACGCGAAGGAGAAACACACAACTGGCCTCGCAATGACCAACAAAGGATAACACTAAAAACTTGAAGGTTCCTATTTATTTCTCATTATTATTACCCAGTTGATCCGCGCGCGACTTTTTCTGGTCCAGGCTTGAGCTGCCACAATAATATACACACACCACGCTTCCCACGTTCTTTCTCCGGGCTGGCTTTTTTTTTTTCTTTCACGGCATTGTGGAATAAACACTACTAGCACAAGCACTCGGATATTCCCTTGCGTCTCTCCCCGCCCCTTCCTGTCAGGTGCTTCCCCTGCATCTGCTACTAGCAATTCCTTTTCTTCCCACCCCACACTCTCCCTAAATCCTCTTTTTTTTTTTTCTTTCCCAGGGGGAGGGGGAGAAGAAATAATCATCGCCAATTCCTCCGTTGTCCGTCGTCTTCTCCATAATCGTCTTGCCGTCTGTCACCCCTCGCGCGAAATGAGTGGTCTCGCCGATCCCCCGACCAAAGTTACCTTTGCTCCCACGGTCACCACCCATGCTCCCGGCAAGACTCGCAACCTTCCTGTCCTCTCCTCTTCCGTGACCGGCTCAAATCAGTCGTCCGGTGACCCAATGGACGTAACTCCATCGACCGGGGGCCCTGCGCCCTCCAATTCCGATGGCGCAAACTCCAATTCCAATGCGCCCAATGGTTCTACGGATGCGAACACTGCGAACAACAGTGGCAACAACAATACCAATAGCAGCAGCAATGGCCCGAACCAGGCCATCGGAGCTGCCGCCGCTGCTCAGCAGCCCAAAGTCGTACAGACAGCATTCATCCACAAACTATACAAGTATGTATTTTCCTGCTGCTTGATCGGTACCAGTCGCGTGTAGTGGTTTTGGCTGTCAGTCAATGGAGAATAAGACATCGGTACTGACTATCTCGGTAGTATGCTCGAGGATCCTAGCATCCAGCATCTCATCTCCTGGTCCAGCTCGAACGATAGCTTTGTCATGTCCCCCACGTCCGAATTCTCAAAAGTTCTTGCGTTAGTGATACCTTGCTATAATCCCGTGCTTGTGGTTGTGGTTGCTGATACTTTCTTAGTCAATATTTCAAACATACCAACATTTCATCCTTTGTCAGACAACTCAACATGTACGGCTTTCACAAAGGTATGGCAAATTGGACGCGCTTTTGTTTTTAGTAACCATTCGTCCCGACGCTAACGCTGGGTTTCTTTAGTGAGCGACGTCTTCCATACCGGATCTCCCGATTCCGCACTCTGGGAATTCAAACACGGCAATGGCAACTTCAAACGCGGAGATTTGGTAGGATTAAGAGAAATCAAGCGCCGGGCATCTCGTCATGCTTTGATCCACCGCGACTCATTCCCCGGCCATAAGACCACCGCCGCGTCGCAGCCCGGTACCCCAGCCGAGCCGGTTCCCGATGCTACAGAGACACGTTTGATGGCGCTCGAACATTCGCTCTACGACATGTATAACCGTCTGGGTCGCGCGGAAGAGGGAAACATGGCCCTCAGCTCGAGGTGTCAAGCAATGGCAGAGGGCCTATCCAGATGCTACCACTGGGGTTATTCGATGTCGCGATTCGTACAGGCAATGGTTCCTGATCGAGATAGCCCTCTGTATCGCGACATCGTCAGTATGCAAAGTGAACTGGAAAGACACCTCGATTCTGTCCGCGCCCTGGAGAACCCTCATGATCCATATCTCGCAGCGCGGCAGCCGCCGCCTTACCTTGCAAACGTCTCCGTCGAGCCACCGGGCGCGCCGCTCTCTCCTCGACAGATGCCCATGGACGATAGTCGTCGACCATCGGTGGTCGAAACCTCTTTCCGGCCCAATATGATCCGGCCCCCTCTGCCTCCACACTTGGCCGTTTCTCCGCGTCGTTATGGCTCCGTCAGTGCTGCTGCCCATCCTTCTCCGAATCATAACCGTCCCCAGGTCCCCTCTGTTGTAACACCTCAGCCACCGATGCCTCATCCACTTTCATCCGTCTCGTCGCCTCCGGGACCCAACCTTGGGCGACGACACACATCCGCCGATATTCGCCAGCACGGCTGGCCTCCACGGGGCGTTTCGCCCTTCTCGACCTATCACCCACCAGTACCACCACCGCCCCACTGGCCTCCGTCACCACATCGCACTCCAACCTCAAGTGAACAACAGGTCCGAGATGTTTTAGCTCAGTACGAAATGGGTGCTCCGCGCAGACCTCCGCATTCGCGCAATATAACCCCGCCTACGAGTGCTGACGCACCTTCGTCGTCTATGCTCAGTGCCGATAATGGCTGGACGTTCGGGCCCCGATATCCCCGACACGAGTCATCCCTGCCAGCAACCCGACGGTCCAGTATGGCCAGTAACGTTCATTCGCTCCTCAACCCGGCTGATACCGCTGAGCGACCCGATGAGGATCAAGTAATGAACGATGACCGCAAACGAAAACGTTTGGAATGATTTAGCATCGGTTTTTGAGCAATTCTTGAACTGCCTGTGGCAGTTCGCAGTGACTCTTGAGTATAATTACAGGCCAGATCAATTGACTGGCCGAGACCTCTGGGTGGTCCTTTGGTTTCCCTGCATTACCTTGTGCTGCGACTTTGATTTATTTAATATCCCCGCTCTGGATGAATCATATTTGTGTATATTCTACTTATAACAAAGGTGGCTTCCTGACGAAGCCATTATCCGCCTGCATGTTTTTGAGACGAGGCTTCAAAGCATACATTCCCGTTCTGTCACCTTATATCAACCTTTTGCAAAGGCTGGAATATTGGATTTGAGCAGCATCTGTCGATTCGCCATATTACTATCATTATACCCTGGTTGAGTGGAGCAAAGCTTGGACAAACTGTTTTCGATAGCATTTAAAGCCATAGGTTGGAGATGTGAATTTCAATTTGAATAATAATGGCATTAGTTCGTTCGTGCATGCGGCTTTATTCTAGGTCGACTGTTCATTTCTGACCCTAAATGAAGTAAAAATTGACATGATTGACATAAGAATGGTAAGAAAATGAACCAAGCCTGCCTGTACTCCGTATATACAAACCAAATGATAGTCCACAATGTAATGCATGAGTATATCCTCCACAAACACGACGTTCACCTCTTCTTTCTCTTCTTCGACCTCTCAGCCAGTATCTCATCCAAGAAACTCGTCGCCTTCTTCCTCCTAGGAGCTGGTCGCGACGATGATCCCGATGTCCCTGCATCTGGCTTCGCTGAAGAGTCCTGTTCATCGCCCTGGGCCTCAACTTCTTGTTTCTCTTGCTCCGGATTGTCACCATCACCGCCACCTGGAGCAACGGCTGCAGCATCAGACGGCGTTTGCGACTGCGATTGTTCCTCCGCCGCAGCCTTCCGCTTCTTATTATTCTTCTTCTTCTGATTCTTCGTCAGACCCTGACTTAGCCCCTGCCCCTTCGCAGCAAACTTCCTCCCAACAGCCGCCGTCCGCCCATCCTCTTCATCATAATCATCTTCCTCAACAGCCTCGTTATTACCACCCGAATGCGACGGATTATTCGCATCACCGCTCGTAGTCGCAGAGGCCTTTTGCTTAGCCTCCCTCTCCCTCTCCTTCTCCTTCATAACTTTCTGATAATTCCTTCCCAGCAATTGTCTCCGCAGCGCATCGTTCGAGTCGAGTTCCGCGCGGTTCCAGCTTCCGTCGGGGAGTTTGGAGGGGAGGGGGGCTCCTACGCCTAGTCTTTATTTACCAACATTAGCACATACGCACACATACTCTCCAAATCTTATCAGAAACAAGGGTGACAAGGGCATACGTCTCCGGAACAGCCGTGAAAATCTCATCTTCCTCTTTCCGTAGCTCTTCTTCCGATTTAGTATTCGAGGTTTGTTCTTCGGTGGTTTGCGGGGGGAGCCATGAGGCGACGAGGCGTTGGCTGCGGGCGAGGGCGACGTTTGCGCGGTTGAGAATTATGTCTGTTGAGGACATTTTGTCCTTCTTTTTGTTTTTTGTTTTTTGTTTTTTGTTTTTGTTTTTGTTTTTTTTTTCTTTCCTTTTTGTTATTATGGAGTTGGATTGGGATCTCAAGATGGAAGAGAAACTTTTGATACGGGCGGCAATATGGTTACCGCCTGGGGGACCGACTTGGGCTTGGCATGGTTACTGTATTGGGAATTAAGATAGTGTATGAATGTAGGAGGATTGTCTATTGTGTTTTGTTCTATAGTACAGAAGTGGTTGTTTCATATGATGTAGTATACATATGTACATGTGATATCTCCATCAATGGTCAGGCTGTGCATGTGCAGGGGGGAACTTCTCATCATCTCGGTCGAGAACGTCAACAACGCTCTTCGAAACGGTATCCAGAATGAAATCCCGGATTACGTTGGATTTCGGAGGCGGGGAATTCTGATTCACGTTCTCATATGGGATAGTGAGTGCTTTAAAGGCCGCAACGGTCGCCTATTTGAAGTTAGTAAGAGGTAAAAAAGAGACCAAGTTGGGAGAACGACTAACCCTATCAAGTGCTTTGCGGAACTCGATCAGCTTCTTAGCAGCCTGCTCACTATCTTCCTCAGAGCCCTCGCTAAGCCGGATACTGAACTCCAACCACTCATCCATACACAACGTGTTGCTGGTTCCCCGGAGTCGTCCCCCGAATAGACATGCCGCCAACGGAGTGAGATGGCTGGTGTTACCCAGAATGACTCTGTCCGCAATGAAACGTTCCGTATAATCTTTGTTGTAAGTGAGTATGCACCGTGGTGGTGTGATACTGTTCACCCCGAACCCATGAGGGAAGCTCTTGTTATGACGTCTGGTGCGGTAGACTGAGTCGTCATTCCGCACCGGCGCAGCGAGATTGGGATATGTGGATTGGAGAATCAAGGCCTTGATCAGGGGGATGTGATGTGAATTCACGTTCATTTCGGGACCGCCAAATCGAAATTGAGCATCGTCGGTGTAGAAATGTTGGGGGATGATTCCCGTGCGAACGAGGATCCTGTGAGTCTCCTGTGCTGCGTCCAGCACTTCCCGGAATCGATCGTAGTTGATACTACGGCCAAAGGCGCGCGCCAAGGTTTCTGGAGTTCCCTGCTGGTACCACACCTTCCGTAAGGACTTGAAGGCATTGATCGCGCTGATGTGGTCGCTCCAGCTGTTCTCGGAATACTCAATGCGCCAATCCCTCGATGCCGTGCGCCGCCCAATGCCACGCGACGTATGGAACAAGGCCAAGTCGCCTCCCAGAGCTGCGAGGATAAGGAGAGGGTCTAGACAGCGGAAAATGACGCCCAGCAAGACCAGCTTGCCATGGCAGGGGTCTAATGGTATTTCAGACAGAATATCACCGAGCACCGTAGGATGATCACGCAGATTCATAGCTCGTAGGTATTGCAAATTATGAATTGCTTCGTTGACGCGAGCTTTACCTGGTGGTTCAATCAACTGCTCCATGATGGCTTCGACGTGTGTGCTAGGGTCTGCCTTTTTCGCAATCAAACAAGCATTCTGAAGGCCATCATGTGATATCCCCGAAGGTGGATTGGCATGGAAAAGAGGCTGCAGGCTGCGCGGATACAAAGCAAAGTATCCACCATCCTGTACCCGTTCTGCCCAGCCAGCGCGTCGGGCAAGGTTGGACTGGCTAACCCATTGGCAGAGTGGCCGGCTGAATCTCGCTTTCGGGTCATAGACCCTATGGTTTGTTTTGCCAGTATCAATCACATACTTTACACCAGGTAGAGTGACAGACGTCTCGACGATGTCTGTTGCCAGGATGATCCGCCGGCACCCTGGCCGGCTCTCGCTGAAAATGTCGTCGTAACTATCCGGGAGATTGGAATAAAGTCGCAGGATCTCAATTTTTTCTGAATCGCCAAAGTCAATCCCAAGCCCTTTTCCGTATTGTCGAAGAGTCCTGTGGACTTCAGTGATATGCGGCAGACCTGGGAGAAAGACCAGGATGGCGCCTTCGTCGGTAGTGGACAAGATATAGCTGATTGTCAGGCATACCAAGCCTATAGGTACAAAATGGTCATCCTCAAGAGACGTCAGATTAGACTTAGCTGGATTCAAGTTGCGAACCATTCTCTTTTTCTTAGACTGAAAGTAATGGCGCCCGAGGTAGGTCCGCGTCTTGTGCTCTTGAAGGTATGGGGATGATATGCTTTCCGGATACATGGTTTGTAAAGATGGTAATAAGTCATCAAGGTATTGCTTCTTAGCTGAGTGGTTGGGGCTCGGGATATAAAGGTGAGGCACTGGCACAACATGGCCCCTTCTCGACTCTTCCCCGAAATAAGACGCAACGCGATCAATGTCTGGAGTCGCACTCATAATCACAACCTTCGGTGTGTGAGCTTTCATTACCCGGCGCTCATCGATAATTCTCCTCAAAAAGAGCATTGTAAGGTCAAGATCAATGGTTCGTTCGTGAACTTCATCCAGAATAATATATGATACCGAATCGAGAAGGGAGGGTGCAAGCTGCAATTGCCGCAACAGAGCGCCGGCTGTGCAATACGTGATAGGTACACCGAATTCACCAAGATGATCATCGATTTGGATTTTGTATTCAATGCTCTGTCCAAGCTCCTCGCCCCTCTCATTCGCAACCCGTCGAGCAAGCGAAGACGCGCCAATTCGATATGGCTGTACACAGAAGATTTTGCAATCCGCGGCTGACCCTGCAATTGCATGATCGAGCAACATTTGGGGCAACTGACTCGACTTCCCAGCGCCAGCCTCCGCGACAATGATGCTGTATGTGCTGTTCTGGATCATGTCAAGGATCTGATCCTTCATGGTGTTGATTGGCAGATCGGCCACCTGGCGCTGTTGATCCGAGAGCTGCTTCTGCATCCCCGCAGTTTCAGATGGACCTCTTGCAAGTGTCTTAGGGAGGAACCAACGCCTTCTCTCGACGGGAGTTTGTCCTGCGCGCATTAGATCCGGTAAGGCGCTGCGCATGGTGGCGAGCAGGTCTGTGCTCATTACGAGTTCAAGGCTCCCGCTCTCCCTCAAGCGATTCAAGGTTTGCAATGTACCACGCGTGTGCATTTTTTGCACGATGAGTAGGGCAGCCTTGCGTGCCGCCTCTTCCTAAAAAGGATCGTCAGTCAATAAAGACGAAGCAGTAAAGGTCCGTTTGCATACCTCCGTCCTGCCGTTGCAGTTTGCAAACACGGGTTTGCCGGTAACATGGACATGGCACTTGATAGAATAGATGACCACAGTTTCCAAAATCAAGGAGTGGGTCACCACTGTCACAAGCTTGTGGTTCTCGAATTCAGCACGTATGGTCTTCAGCGGAGATTCAACAAGCCGTTTGCCTAAACCATTGTAGTCCGAGTCTCGGGGGAGCAATCCAAAACGCCCATCGTAATCAGGGTCGTCCTCCTCAATTGCATCCTTTGGGTCGTCCTCTCCAACAACAGAAACCGGCAATCCAAGAATTGGTTCGAATTTCGTTGAATAGAAAACGGGTGAACCTAATCGGATTGCTACCACAAAGCCTGGCCTCCGCCCACGAAGGGTCGCGCCTGAGACTCTAGACTCTATATGGGTCACATAGGAAGCGGAACGCTGAGCGTTGTATGAACAGACATCGGAGGAACGACGGAAAGCGAACTCGGTTTGCGATGATCTATTCTTGGTGGACAGAAGTGTGCACGGGACTCGCTAATGACAGAGGATACCAAGTCAGTACATTTCCTTTCCTATAAATGAATGATTGCGTATTTCGAGGCCCTTACCAAATAGCTTCGCATTCTTGCGCGAGACGCCTTCGAACGTCAGGCGGGGCACTTCAGCGAACGCTCCATAAATGAAGCCGTTCTTGACTGGTCGCAGTTCAGAGTCTACAAAAAAAAAAAAAAAAAAAAAAATAAATAAATAAATAAATAAATAAATTTACAAATGACAAAAAAGAAAACCAAGAGTCCTCTTCAAAGGACGGTGGACTTGGTCATCTCGACGGTGTTGTAGAAAATATCGCCGTTCTTTTCTCCGCGTTCCCCGATCTGATGTCTTGGCACGCTTTCCCGTACCCTGGAATTGGCTATCTACTTGACTTCCCCGTAATGCCCTTTATTGTAGATATCTCAACAGATTTCCTAATCAATGGTCGGGATACCTCGAAGTAGCGGTTGTTTGCTCTGTGTTCAGCGTCGGGTGAAGGTCGGTATCTTAGGACCCTAATATTTATGATCAAGGGCATTTCTGATGAGAAATAGTGCGACGAGAGACGTCCAGGATGTCAACGATGTGAAACTTACGGAAGGCCATGCCCTGGCTATGATCGTGGCTTCAAATTCGTGCCTGGGAAGCCCTACCGTGCTCAGCGTCGCCGTCGAGCTGGCACGGGTTCTGCAAAATCTCATATACAAGAGGAACCCCAGGAGGTGTATCAGCCACTGATAGAGCACACTAATCAATCCTCATCACAGCATATCATACAGAGCCTAAGTATACTGATTGGTGACTTTTCGACGCCATCTTCTGCAGTTTCACCCCATATCGTTACTCGTTGGTTTGGGTTTCTGCCAACTATCTATGGACGGAACAAGACATTGGATGCTACTATCAAATCCTTTACAGCTCATCATATGGGAAACGCTACTGGGAATCAAGAGATTATTCGCTATGGGCAGTCTGCGTACGTGGAAGCTCTACACAGACTTCAGAGATCTTTGAATAATCCCACGGAATGCGTCTCCTCACATATCTTCTGCGCAGTGATGCTGTCATGCTTATATGAGGTGAGACATTGCATTCGAAGCCCTTTGGATAACCCTGTCAGGCATTCTGACTGTAACGAGCTTTTCTTCAACACACAAGATTCTGAATCTTGGATGAAGCATGCCAAGGGGCTGAGCCGATTAGCTGAATTCCGAGGACTTGATTGCTACCGAAACGAATTTGACAGTATTCTGCTCAAAGCTTCCCGTGGGATTGTTGTATGTACCGGTATGCCGTGAACCCTGGCTGTACTGGTCTGACACTTGGACAGATCATGAATTCCGTATTTTCCGGTCAAGAATGCTTCCTAGCATCAGAGAGCTGGCATATTGTGATGAAGGAGCACTGTGATACATTCTTACCAGCGGGTCTGGGGTATCTGATTGAAGAGTTTATTGTGTATTTCACATTCGCCCCAAGTCTTATACATAAACTTTATGCTCTCAAACAGGCGGACCCAGCAAGTCCAGAGACGCGGGTACAGATGTCAGAAACTCTCAAGCGCACTCTTGATATGCAAGAAAAGTTGAATGCGTGGTATGACAGATATTCACGTATCGCTCTTCCCCCAAGGGAAACCGTTTCACCTTCTGAAGACAAACTGTACCCCATGGTTCTCTCATATTCAGATCCAACCAATGCGTCGGTATTCTGTGGTTATTACTCTTACACGGTGATTATACATGAGATCCTGAAAGCTTGCAGCTATCCCGGCGAGCATGAGGCCATGACCGTCTACTTCCGAGACCAAATTTGCAAGTCTGTCGAATACAATGGCAGGGGTCTCCTTGGACCATACCAAATGGCGTTTCCCTTGCGGGTGGCGTTTGAAGTTGCTGATCCTGTGGTCAAATCGTGGATCAAGGGTTGGCTTATACGACTTTCGAATGTCTATCCAGCTTTACAACCGCAGAGGTTTGAGTGATTTCTCCCTGGCCGAGGGACACTATTTATGTTCAAAATATGTGCAGAAGTTCTTCGCTACCTCACGACTCCCGGGCCTATTTGAAGATTACCGTGCACACACAGCAAGGCATTACCTTCCATTCATCTCATTCTGACGGGACTCTCTCATAGCCACCTCCAATAGCCCGAACCGGTTCAATCACCATGCGTGCTGTGAACAGAAGCATGATAACAATAATCTCCATCAGAAGCCTCATTCCAACCGCGTCACAGCTGTCACCAATTACCTGCTTGAAACACGGTGGACCATACTCTTCAAGAAAAAAGAATACAATCCTGATCGCCAGAAATGGGAGCGCTGCTAAAGTCAACAGCATCCCTTGGTATCCGGCCACTGTGAGATATGCCCGGGACCTTACTGCAAGCATAGCAATAAAACCACAGAAGGTGGTGAACGTGATGACAAGAACAACCGATCCTACAATACCACAAGCGCGGATATCGATACATCTTCCCACGATGACAGCAACCAAGCTGATAAATACCGGAAAGCGAAAGAAATGAAGTGCGAAACGAATAGCCTTGGGGTACTTTGATTTCCCTGGACCTATTTCTCCAGCCTGTCCGCTATATGACCCGCGAAAAAGACCGTTAGTCTCATGCTCCCAAGTAATGGGAGTAATTGCATACGTACCTGAGCAGCAATACGAAGCTTAATTCAAACAAGAGCGGCGAAAGACCAATGCTTTGCAGGACGTATTCAGCGACCAATACAGACTTGTTCGGCTGAGGATTGACAAGCACCATTGCAGACCCGGCGATGCGAACTTGATGATAGTCAAAATCAGTTGCTGTTCTTCCGGTGTGTCTCTATCCTACTTACGCTGAGCCAGCAAACCTATCAACCCAAACCAGGAGTAGAACAAGCATCGCCCGATGCTTCGATTCCTCTTGTGGTGCCAGAATCGCCATTCCTGTACAAATCTTGTGGTGAATTGGACCACCTGGATGATTGAGAAGAGGATGATCTCCAAAATTGCGAGATTCTGTTTTTCTGCCGAGAAACTTGCAACCATGATGGGTGGTTCTCACAATGTCAATTCAGATGAAGTGAGATGAGCTTGATTCCCTTATATGCCAGACGAGAGGACGAATATGAGAACAAACTGGGCTACTTCCGTTCCTCCTTATATATAATCCCCCCCACTCATAATTTCTATCACTGATGCCCTCATTGAATGGTTCTTATGGGGACGTCGTGCTATGTGACCCGCTTGGGTTTAGTTCATATACATCGTGATCAATGACCACTTTTGGTTTAGCGTTGATAACTGAGACCAGCCAATCATGGGGAGTATATATATTCGCATGGTCACCAACATCTCGGGGAATGTTCAGAGTCAGGGAAAAAAGCAGCAAGGACTGGGCTTTGGCTGGAAGGAGAAAGGTGGCAAATGTTGTAGAAGGTCCAGTGTATATAAACAAATTCGTTTATTTCACATCACTTTCTGTGGTCCTGTCACTATACAGTCTCTATGTATTTCTATAGATTCCAACTCATGAACATGACTCCTCACAATGCTAACCAATATACACAGGGTATCTAACAAAATGAAATAGTAGTTTGAATGGCAAAGAGCCCGGCTTTTCTTCATTCTTCCCTTCCCGTCAAACCAGAAAAGAACCAGCCCTCATGTCGTAGCCTCCTGGTGTTTCTTCTTCAACTTCTTCTCCGTCCTCATAAACTCCCGAATTCCCACAGGGATACCGGCAAATATATCTTCCTTCTGGTCCTCCACAGGCCAATTCGCCTCACTGCCACCCCCATCATCATCCATACTCATACTCGCACTCTCAACCTCGGCCCTCTTATTCTGCCGCATATCCGGAGTCTTCGGTACACCCCTCGCCTTCGCGTGCTCGAGCCTATTGGCCCACTCTTCCATATCATCACGATAATCATCCCATACACAATGAGCGCAGCCACTCATACAGCAATTATCCGGTTCCGACGGCCGCGGCGGGATCGCAACCCCATTGATAGTTTTCCACATCGACTCAGGAGGCACGTTGCCTGCGTCATATCGCGATGAACGGCCGGGAGTTTGAAGCCGGCTACCGAAGACAATCGACATCTTGTCCTTCGGGGACTGCGGTTCGACCGTGGAGGCCGGTGTTGATTTCTCGGGTTTCGTGGGGACGGGGCGCGAGGTAGGTGCTTGCCGATGGTAGGGAGATTTGGTTACGAGGATGTCATGGTAGTAGCCCGACAATGGGTATGCCTGGCGAGGTTCTTCGTTGCCGTCTATGTCGGCCTCGGTTGTACGCTCACGAGAGTTTATGCGTCGGGAACTCGGAGGAAAGGCATAATGAGGGCGTGATGTTTGCGAAGAGAGGAATGGGCGTGTTCGGTTCAAAAGGCTTCTCCCAAGAAGCGATTGCTTCCTGGCAGCGACTGGAAGCCACTCCATTATGGATTGGTGTTGGTGGTGGGAGAGAAGAGTAGCAGCTATTGCGCTCTGTAATAATACATGCCGATTATGACGTACCGGGATTTAGCGAGATTTCTCGTTTTCTTTTTCCGGACGGCCGTCGCATCCATAAACTTTAGATTGCTAACATTGGTGGCTCTTTAAACATAATAAGGTTGATGTACAGCAAAGGATAGGTATATCAAGTACTACTTCTCATAGAACTGAGCAATGTGTAAAGATTACGGACGAATACACATAAATCACGTGATTTTAAAATGCAAACAACACAAACACCCCAGGGAATGTTGAAGATCGCCGACGTGCTTCAAGCAAACAGATGCGATTCGTGATTCGGTGGTTTTACAGCAAGGAAATACGATACCTAGCATGCTCTGTACATTATCCACCTAATCAACAAGTACATACACACACCGGCACAGCTCCTCCGTGAAAGTGGTGCTTCAGACAGACAATGCTCTCCTCCCCGGCCAAACGGCGCAAGACGAGCGAGACAACAGCCGCCGCAATCGACGCGTCGCAGACGAACCAGAAAGCCCACGAAAATAACAGTCGAGTGCACCAACGTCGCCCGTCGTTTCAGTCTCCCACGCAAGCAAGTCTAGCGAGATCGCATCCGGACGTTCTAGCACGTGCGCTTAGTCGCTCACCAACGAGACCCCTGCGTAATGATAACGGTAGCGAGAATGATCAGCAGAAGGAGCAAGAACTGGTGGATTCGAGAACGTTCGGTTTGCGCGATAGGAAGGCTCTTCGGCCATCGATAGCTCCTGGTGCGAGTCCAACGGATGTTTCGACATTATCGCCGCGCAGTGCGTTTGCTGCTCCCCCGCGACGGGTATCAAGGAAAATCGGGCCGTTAGATCTAGCATTCGGGACCCCTGAGGTGAAACCGGAGAACGAGACGGCAGACCCGTCGCCTGACGATACACCAGGGGATCAATTGGAGGAAATGGGCAACGATGCGAATGAAGACAACATGGATCAGGGTCCCTCGTTTTTGGACAGACTAGAAGAACCAGAGCTACCCCCGACACCTACTCAGTTAGGGCTGGAGAAGCCACCTGGTCGACCGAAGGGGCTTTTGAGCAGCAGCCCTTCTGCTCGGTATGAAAAGAGGGCACGGCGACGAATCGATGATACCAAATCAAGCGCACTGAAGCTGGAAAGTTTCAATACAACTGGCGATTCAACGACGAAGGATTTGAATACGGACAGAGCGCCATTGCCAGAGTCTGAGCTGAAAAAGCGACAGAATAAGAAGGAGCTTTCCGCTGAATTAAAACGATTAAAGGACGACGTTGCGGAATTGGAAGCATGGACCGAGAATCTGAACAACCCAGACATGAAGACGGAGTCGCCCAAGGATCTTAACAAACTCATGTAAGTCCATCAGAATAAGACGAAATCGCAAGCCAGACAAAATTACTGACCACGCCACAGCTCCTTGTTGTCATCGGAAAATGCTTCTCATAAGCAATCGTCACCTCCAACAAACGCCTCAATCTCATCCATCCTCTCCACCTTACTGCCCTTCTCTTCAAAAGTTTCTTCCAAGCCCGTACACGAACCGCCATTACCAACCAACCCCTTTACCCTGAAAGAACACGCGCAAGCGAAGCAATACCTGACAGTCTTCGCGCCATTGTCCGTAACAACACATTCCAACAAAGTATCTGCCTCAAAATCAGCACCCCTAACTGAATCGCATAGCCTGACATTATCAGCCGGGCCACCATTTCCGCCAAAACTCTACAACATAACCATTAACTACGAGACAAACCCAGAAACACAATCCCTAATATCCGTATTTATACCAGAGAGCGACGGATCGACAAATGTGCCAGGCGGACTACTCCGCTGGATTGACACTAGACTATCAAACCCACTTCTGAAACTCGACGTCTCTGGTCTATGCTGGGGCACCAATCGCTACTGGGAAGCATCCATCTCGCGCGCACAAGTATGGTCGAGGATCGAAGCTCGACATTCCAAACTACTTGCACATCGTAACCACCGGGAGTCAAAACACAAAGAAGACACAACCGACCTCCGCCATGTACTTCCCCATCTCGACCGCACGAGCATGACATTCTCTCTAAAAGATACATCCAAATCCCTCCGGGTGCTCATTTCGTGCGCATTAACCCTCGACGAATGGACAAGTGAGCCGCGACTACTTCCCGAGATCAGTATCTCGTCTCCGGCTGCATCGAGCAAGAAGATAGAACAAGAGACTAAGAAGTTGTTTAATACTCTCTTAAGGGGAGAGCAGGGGACGGATAGCGACGGCGTTGGAGGCGATGTTGAGGCAGATGCTATTGTGCGAGCTGTTGATGGTGTTGTGGGAGTGTTGTTTGGTCTTGATGATACCCATGTTCAAGGATTCAAAGGGAAGTTGCCTGTGAGGTGATGGAATTGAGGGTAGATTGTTATGAATATTTGTATACATATAGGTATATAGTAACGGTAAATAATATGGGACGATTCAAACAAGCATATGCATACACGATTCTAGGTGGGAGAGATAGGGCACATTTTCTTCGAACAAGTAAACCATTTGTAGAGCCAGTTATTCCCTTGGGAACAAGTCTCCAACCTAACTCCGGGTACTTTTCACCAGAAATAAGATACAACAGGAAATTGGGGACATCATTTATTTAAAAAAAATTCGGAGCATTTTTTTTACCGACAAAGGTTTAAAAGGAAAAAGAGACCACGCCATGCCACAGTACACTAGTAATCCCCGACTTGAAAAACGACCCGATCATCATTAACAGAGAGTCAAATTGTCTATTTCTTGGCAGCAGCAGCCTCATCAGCCTTAGCCTTGGCGCGCTTCTCCCGAGTACCCCGGAGACGGGCCTCACTGCGGGCATCCCGCAAGCGTCTGTAAGCAGCCTCCTCACCCTTGGGCAGGCTGTCACGGCTAACCTCGGTGATGGCCTCCTCGGCGGTGGGGTTCTTGACGGGGAAAGAAGCGCCAACGTTGGTAGCGTAACCCTCGGTCTTGCCGTCGGCGGCGAAAGCAGCCTTGGCGGCGTTGACCTCGTCAGCGGACGAGTCGAGCTTCTTGAACTGACCGCTCTTGCGGGGGAAGAGGATCAGGCGAGCCTTGTAGTCCTGGAGGCGGTCGACGTTGGCGACGAGCGACTCCTTGGAGTAGTTGACACGGCGGTTGTCAACGGCGATACCGACGGTGCGAGCGAGCTTGGCGGGGATACCAGCTTCCTATAGATTCGAAACCATGTAAGTCTCCGTTTCACCCTATTTGATCCAACCCAAAGCAGACGTGCGATCCAAGTCGTCCTCATCCGCTGTCGGTTCCATTTTCGAGGGGTAAATTTACCTTCAGCTCAGCACGGGTGAAACCACGACCACCCCGGACACGACGGTTGTACTTGACGGTAGGGCATCTCACAACGGGACGCAGCTGGTCGACCGGACGGGGAGCGACAGCAGCGGCCTTAGCGAGACGGGCATCACGTCTGCGGTGCTTGCGACCGGGCTATTCGAAAAAAAATTTATTAGTCCATCGTGGATTTTGCGTTTCCCCCCAAAACGAATCGAGAATCGTATGTCGTTTAATTCGTATAACACAATTCGTTCAATCATCAGGGAGGTTTTGGAAAAAGTCGATATCGTACCTGGTCGAAGTGGACGCGCACACGCTGCTGCCAGTCCTTGCGGAAGTCTGTATAAAATCCCCATCAGTCCATCAATTCCCATAAAACCTCGCAAGCCAAAAAATTCTTTCCACAGGTCTCACTCACGCTGGTTGAGGATTTGGTTGTTGTGCTTGATCGCCTATATACCGCACACACACAATCAGTATTTCTTCCTCCATAACCGATACAGACAAGATAAAAGCCCCGGAGAAGCTCTCATCTTAACCTGTAGATAGAAGTCGATAAATCGAAATAACAGGGATCCAAACGCACCATTGTGACGGATGGGGATCAAGTCCGGGAGATGGTCGTTGTCGTCGTGGGAGGTGTCTGGTCGTATCTCGAAACTCCAGCGGAAAGACTCGTTTCAATATTGGGCGGAACTTTTTTTGGTGTGGCCGCCTGCGCAGAGCCGCCTCGCTTAGCGAGCCCTAGCCTACTTTCCCCTTTCGGAAAGCGTCTTTCATCTACAAGGCAAAACAACGATATAACTTGCAGTTTTCCTACTTTTTATTCTCATGTTTGTTTCTACAGTTTATAAGCGTTATAATGAATGGTATTCCATAGCCAGTCTGCAGCTCCCGAGTGCTCTAAGCGAGGGATACCTGTTGTTACCGGCTTAGTAAGGTCTACAAGAACTACACCCTTCAAGAGAATGCTTTGTTTCTTTTATTTAATTCGTTGCTATCTAAGACCCAAAACGGACTCCAATGACCACCCTATGGCCCAATAGTACTCGAAACTGTTGAACCAACCTCAAAAAACACCATGCCCGTCCAATATTTGCATACGTTCATCAATCATCATTAACAGCAATCAAAGATCCAAAACGCCAGTACAGGACTTAGTCAGAAGCCCAAGAGGTGTTGAACGCCGAAAAGGAATAGAAAACGAAAAGCAGCGAGACGCTATGTGCGATTGCCCCATGCGTCAATACCAAGTCCCACCGCCTTGGACTTCTTTACCCCTCGCTCTTCTTCGTGAGTTGCTTTGCGTTTCAAACTAACAGCAGGCTCAGCTCCAGCTTTCTTCACCTGGCCAAATAGTTTTGTCTGCAACAGGGTGCTGGTCTTTGGGACATTGGCTGAACTTCGAGTCTCTTGACGACGGCTCCCAGCGTTGCGGCGAAGCATATCTGTTGCCAATGAACTAGCCTGCGAACCTGGGGCCTCTTCTTTTCCATCATCATCATCATCTTCTTCTTCTTCTTCTTCTTCTTCTTCTTCTTCTTCTTCTTCCTCCTGTACAGTATCCGCTTCTTCGATATCCGAGGCAGAGATGGTGCTGTCCCGATCATACTGCTCTTGGCGGGTGTTTCCCACCGGAGTCAAGTACTGCAGATGGGCTTCCTGGGAGCGGGAAGGCGTCTTAGGGACAGACGACACTTGATGGGAACCATAAATGTCGCCGTTTGAATGCTGACTGTGCACGAAATTTTGATCAGGAGTGGAAGCAACGCTCGCGGATTCTTGACTGTTGGAGAATCGGTCCGCAAATTGGCCCGCAGCAAGAAGAGCCGCAAGGCCACTTTCTTCCCTGCTCAATTGGTGGCTGCCATAATGATTACTCGTATTACCGTGATCGGAAATGTGGCGACCAGATCTTCTGCGAGGAGTGTGGAGCTCTGTGTGGGGACTGAGAGACATGGATCCTTGCTCAATCATCAAAGAGAAATGTTGCCGATTGTCCCGAATGCGCCCCTTTAATCGCTGATTTTCCTCGTTGAGCATATCAGATTTGACCTTTTCTTGCTCGATGAGTCTCTTTGCGCGACGCAGTCTTCGATCAAGGGTGTCATTGTTTCTCTCGAGTTCTTGATTTCGCCGGAGAGCCAATTCCAGCTCCGCATTGGAAATCGGCTGCAATGGCTTGATTTCGGCTGGGCCATGACGGTTGCGATACTCTGAGCTCTGGAGAATCTCAACCTCACGTCTTGCCAATTGGTGCTCGACCTCAGCGCGTTTGATCGCCTCATTGCTCGAGAATGATAACAGGCTATGTTGCAGTTTAAAGTGCAGAGCGGACATGCGAGCTTCTTGGGCTATGTTAAGCAAATCCTTGGAAATGGCACGAAGTTGGGGCTCGCTGGCTGTGTTGATATCATCGACTGTTGGCAGGTTCTCGGAAGCCCCATATGCGGCGCACAGCGACTTTTCCATATTTGGTGGGGATACCAGGAGGGAGTTTGATCGGGATCGGGATCGGGACCGAGAGCGACGGAGAGGAGCTCCCGGTACTTGCGTCGATGGCGGAGGGGTCATGTCTGATGAGGACAATGGAGGGGGTGAGAGTAACTTGCTTTTCTCTGAATGCGATGTATGACTTTCAGCCCTTGCGAAATTTGGAGATGCAGAAAGGTTTGCCCGCTGGACCGGATTCGCTGGAATGTTAAACTCTACAGGAGGCGCAAGAGAACCTTGCGACAACTGAGGTTCAGTGTCTTGTGACATGATCTGAGTTATATTTGTCGAAAGCCCACACTAAATAGCGAATCAGTCAATTGCTCGCGACACACAAAGGAATAAAGAGCGCCATCCAGCACGTACCGATGTGAGACCGGGTAGAAATGATCACCTAAACCCGACTTGATAGCAATGCTTTCGACAATGCGATATCGGAGTCGCAATCGCGCAAGACAATTGGACTTTGGAAAGAGATCGAACTTGTGATATGCAAGGCGTGTGTTGATGATATAAGAAACCGGAATGATGATAACACTATAGAGTGGGATGTTTTGGGCTTATCGCCGATAGGGTTTTTGTGTCCAAGGCTGACACAGTAAAACCACGCGCACAAAGAGAGGAAAGATGTACGAGATGTCAGAGGAGTAAGGGGCGTAAATAAAGCGCGCGCGAGACGTAAAGAAATAAGAGTCAAGAAATAAAGAAGGGGGATTGGATAAATGAAACAGGCTGGGGCATGCACTAGTAGTATGTATGTATGGGGAGGTGGTCGGAAGTGGGAGGAAGATGCGGCGGGCGGTCGTTTTGATGCCTGAGAGCTCCGGCTGGAGTTATTGAGGGGGCTGGGAATGTGACTTGCAGCCAATTAGAGCTGTCTCTTACGGTCCACGTGAGCCCAGCCGCGCGCCAGAACCCCCGATTACTTAATATGGTTAGCGTGGAGATCGGAGGGACATAAACAACTGCCGCAGCCGATCCCCCGGCGCTCGTCACTCCAGCAACCAGGCACTTGTCTGGAGTACGAAGTGTTGCAAGTTGAAGAAAGAGTCATGAATTATAGGTCTATGATACGTCCAGAGTCGGCTTTCTTGCATCTGGAGAGTAGAGTCAGCTGGTTAGTAGGTCAGTTGGTCAAAATGAGACGTGGAATGCTGGAGATCTTCTCCGTTCTCCATACTCGTACCGGGTATGCAGCATTACAACACAGGGCTAGTGCTTCTACGGCACGCAAGTGCATACTCCACGTAGAGTGCTGATCTCTCTGCTCCCATGAATATCAATGCAGAAGTATTACATGACATGTCAAGATTAATATTCTACTATTTACTTATTGCATGCATTTACATGCAGCACTAGATACAGGAGACACAGACTAAACTAGACCAGTCACTCAGCTCAAGATGCACCTCTCAGCTTGACAGCCACGATCTTGGCAGGCTCCACCGTCTTGCAAAGGACTGGCTCGACCGACGCACCGCTCGTCGAGACATACAAAACCGATTGCTCATCATTGGCGAAAGCAACTGCCGTCGACCCTGCGACGGTTTTCGTAACCTGACTGCCAGCAATAAGACGGACCTTGCCCTCCGGAGAGATTCTCAACAGTTCATTTTGAGGGTTCGTCGATAGATACGCTGTCCCATCGTCCGCCAGTGCAAAGTCGTCGAAGGTTAATCCACTAGTAATAACCTCGATAGGACCAGTAGGGGTCGCATTCTCGTCAACTGGGAAGCGAGCGAACACCTCCTGGGTGGTACTGGTGTAGTAGATATAGCCTTTTTGGACCTTCAATCCATTCACACCCACCAGGATCGGCTGCCCGTCCGCTGGCTTCATGGACGGATGGGACAAGACCTGCGAGCTTTCTCCAGTCGTGGTATTGAGGCGCCAAATGACGCCCTTGGCGGCGTCCGTGGTTAGGAGGAGATCATCACTGAATTTAGCCAGTCCATCCAGGAAGACTCCATCGGGAATCGGTGCGAGAAGTTTTGCATGGGGCTTCTCGCCGGTGAGATCAATGGTCCATATCTTGTAAGATCCCGGCGTTGGTATCGTACTGGGGAGAGAAAGGTTACCAGAGACAATCGCGAACACGTCCTTTTCAACCTCTGCGATGCCTAGAAGGCTTGTGGCGTTGGGAAACTTGTAAAGCAAGGATCCTGTTCCTTGGCTGCTGGTGCCATTCTTGGTTGCTGGGTCAATTGACCAAAGCTCCGGAACGTCGATGCGAGTTGCGAGGATGCTGCTATTGCGCTGCACCACAAGATTCTCGAACCAGGTTTGATTATGGTCGAGTTGGAAGACAGTCGAAACTGGCGCGCTGTCGTAGGGACCTGCACTCCTGCGTTGATGGGGTGCGGCGAGGCATGTGGGACGACAGAACGCTAGAAGGGCGCTGCTATAGCTGAGGATGGATGAGAACGCGCGCATTTGGGCGGTTAGAGATACGATCAATTCGAATGAAGGAGCAGTAGAGAGTGTTTTGAGACTCACATAGAACTCTGGCTGAGTACCAGCTATATATCCTTCGCAGACTGATCTACGTTGCATATCTAGAAGCATACCGACGTGTCCCAAAAATCGGATCTCTCGAAAACAACCTACCCGAGCACTTCTCCATTCCTCCGGTCATTGTTAGTGAAGATAGTTGCCACTCACGGCTGTGGTGGCTCATGCGGTGTAGATCATTGAACCAACCTGATCTACGAGGTGGCCGAGATATCCGTCTCGAGCAGATCTGATGTCATTCCAATTCTTGATGGAAAAAGTGATTCGGGATTTCGGAATTGTATACACTCACAAGTACTCCGTACTTGTATAATTCAACTGAGAATCCCCGGAATATTGAGAGACTTTATGCCTCATATTATCGGTTAACGGCAAGAGATCGATATCCAGAGTACTCCCGTAGAGTAATCGTAGAACAACAACTCACCCTGCAGCCTTTCAGCTACAACTCACTGGTTCAATGCACCCCACTAGTACTGAAGGACTATAGTGAAGATCAAACTGGCAACCTCAGGGCATAATAATGCTGTGCAAAATATCCATTCGCATATGTACAGGTCACATGATTTTTACTTTGCAATTGCTCAGTAGTACCATGGTACCACCACTATCTATATCAATTGCAATTAACAGGAATGTGCCCATTATTTCCATCATTCATTCATTATTAAATTAGTAAGATCTTAACAATCTAGTTACGGAGTAACTACTCCATAGTTAGTTAATTAGTATGGAGCGAATCACCGCACCAACATCCCTACATGGCCTCAGGCATCGATGTAAACAACCGGGACAAACAAACACCAGGAAAAGAAGACAAGCACATAAATTCTCTCCGTATCACAGCTTGGACCAGCTTCCTCTGATACGGTCATACGTTCTGGCGGGGTTCTGCGCCACGTACTTTCTTATTCTATCTTCTTTATTGCGACCTTCAATCCGTCCCCCTCCCCCTAGAAATGGGAGTCTCCATCACTTCCCCCTGATCTCGTGCCCGCTATCCGCAAAGCAACACCAACCATTGCGCACCCCTCCTGTTCGTCCGCATTGACTTGCAACTCCTAGTAATGCGCAAAGATGGATAATCAACCGAGAACTCCAACGAAACCTAGTGGGATCCCGCGCCCAGCCCCCAGAGCTTCCCGTTTGCCTTTGCCTTCGTCCACCGCATCGAAATCGCTCAAACCTTCGCCATCGCGGGAAAGGTTGCAAGCAGACCCAGGTCTTGACGCTACCAAGCTGCGCAGACCGTCTGAGGATAGTGTATTCAAGAAGCCGGCCCTTCCCAGACCGTCATCGTCTTTGAAAGGCACGTACCGGCGATCCGGAGTACCCCAGACGGGGGTAAGCGACATTGCAAGACAAGAAGCGGAGGAGCTGGATGATGATACTTCGACTGTGTATACCAATGGATCGGAGTTGGATGATGTAGACGCTCGTGGGCGTACCATGTTGGAAAAGCCGTCGCTGTCGGACAGGACGATCGAGACGCTGTCCAAGATCCCGCCGTCGCCAGGTCCATCACGACAGTCCAGTTTCTTCAACGCCACAAGCCCGATTCGCTCTCCATCTCGTCCGACCTCCTCCATGACAAATTATTCGCGATCCCCGTCGAGGTCATCGTTCGCTCGTCAGCCGATTGGCAGCGATCTATTGTCCTCCCAGCAACCGTCCACAATGCGCCTTCCATCCAGATCCAGGATATCAGCAACCCCGACACTACCCACAAACATCGCATCAACTGACCAGGACTCCGTAGCGGCAGCTCCTGAAAGCCCCTCAAAATTGAAGCGACCTTCTACGAGAACAAGTCTGTATGGTGGAATAAAGAGCACGGGAACCACCGCGCCCAAGCCACGCCAGTCTCTGAGCAGACCACCCTCCGTGAAACCAACAGAATCAAACATGGCACCCCCGTCACAGACGCTACAAGTGAAGAAGACACGGAAAGTGCCGTCGAACTCTTCGCTTAAACGGTCACCATCTTCCGCGGACTCAAGGAAGTCGTCGGCCACATCTACGGCTCCGGACCTATCAGCGGAGCAACAGTCAGAAATCGAAACAAGAAAGGGTTCAAAATCGTCTAATGCCCTGAGGGAAAGCATTGCGAAAGCCAAGGCCGCCCGGAAAGCAGCGGCACAGAACACCACGCAGACAACAGCAGCCCCTGCAGACCCATTCGATATCACCGATCCTTTCAACCAGCAACCAAACGATTCCAACCATGGGCTTTTTCGGAAGCGCGTTGAGTCTGCTCGGACTTCTGGTAACCTGAATATTGCGGCCATGTCCCTGACGGAGATCCCGCAGGAGGTCATGACCATGTACGAGTTTAACCCAGACTCGTCCACCGACTGGTACGAATGTGTGGATTTGGTCAAATTCATTGCTGCGGATAACGAATTGACGGAGATGCCGGACGCTGCATTCCCTGACGTTAATCCCGAAGACGTTGATTACGATTCTGACGAAAAGGGCAACCAATTTGGTGGACTGGAGATACTCGACCTTCATGGCAATCTGCTCCGGTCTCTTCCCATGGGTTTTAGAAGGCTGCAACATCTCCATAGCTTGAATCTGTCCAACAACCAGTTAACCACAGATGATTTACATGTGGTCTGGGAAATGGAGTGGCTGCGCGATTTGAAGTTGGCTAAGAATCAGTTGCAGGGCGCTTTCCCTTCTGCCATTGGCAAACTCCGGGGTCTGGAAGCCTTGGACTTGCATGAAAACTCTCTCGCAGAACTTCCTGAAGAGCTTGGGGAACTAAGCGCCCTGAGATCGCTGGACGTCGGCCACAATGTACTGGTCACATTGCCCTTCGAGGCTCTGAGTCGACTTCCTCTGAAGGATATCCGTGCACCGAAAAACAAGCTGGCAGGGACCCTGATTCCTGCATCCGTACAGCAGTTTAGTGCGTTGCAGAACATGGACGTAGTCAATAATGCGTTGGAGAAGCTTTCGGACAACGACAAGCTCGAGCTCCCTAACCTACAGACTCTGTCCTTGAGTGTAAACCGCATCAAGAGCTTGCCGGATGTCTCTACCTGGCAGGCACTGTTGTCATTGCTTATGGAGGATAATTCTTTGAGTGAGATTCCACAAGGTTTCATCGAACTCAAGAGTGTCCGTAACGTTGACTTCACGGGAAATGATATCCTGCGATTGGATGAAAAGATTGGACTGATGGATAACTTGGTGACATTCCGTATCGCCAACAATCCGCTCCGCGAACGGAAGTTCCTGAATATGTCCACGGATGAGATCAAACAGGCCCTGCGGAACCGATGCGAACCGGAAATCCAAGCAGATACAGACGATGACGAGGGCTCTGTCGCTACTCAGTTTACTCTTGCTCCGGAAACTCGAGCTGAAACCCCAGCTGAGACTTCAGCTGCGAATCCACCCAAAAGTCCAGCTAAATCGACAACAGCAAGTGCTACTACGTCTACTACTTCCTGGCAAATTAGACCGGGAGGGGTTCTTGATAGATCCTACACCGAAACGCGGGAGCTGGAGACAGAACAGCTCGAAGGAGTTGCCAATTCTCAGGATATTCGATGTCTCTATCTGCAGCATAATGAGATTTCGCATTTCCCCGTGCCAGCACTCAGTATGCTGGCGCACAGTTTGATCGACCTTGATCTGTCACACAACGCGCTGAACAGCTCTGCTCTTTTCTCGTCATCTGTTTCTCTCCCGAACCTCCAGAACCTGACCCTTAACTCGACCGGCCTCTCATCCATGGAACCTATCCTAACCAACCTGTCGGCCCCGCTCCTCACTTTCCTGGACGTCTCAATCAACCGCCTTGCCGGAAACCTCCCCGCGGCTCGCCAGACATACTCCAACCTAAAGACCTTCATCGCCGCTGATAACCAGTTCGACAGTCTGGAATTCGAGGCTGTCCAAGGTCTACAGGTCCTAGATGTCGGGAACAACAACATCAACGCTCTTCCGCCGAAGATCGGCTTGCTGAGAGCAGAGGGATCCAGCAAGAACTGGGGAGGCGGATCCGCTTTGAGGCGGTTTGAGGTCGCTGGTAATACGTTCCGGGTTCCGAGATGGCAGACTGTCGCGAAGGGCACAGATGCGGTCCTGGAGTGGTTGAAGGATCGGATTTCGGCTAAGGAGCTTCGTGAGTTGGAGTCGGATGATGAGGGGGATTTTGAGGAATGAGGGAGTCCTTTTTGAAGTGATTCCATGGCAAAGTGGTTGTACATGGCCGCCACTGGCCCTGTTTTGGATGTGGCTATATTTTTGGTTTTCAGTCTTTGACTTTTTTGTGTAAATATTCTGAAGCGGGCATTTGCGCTTCTGTTGTTTCTTCCTTGCATATTTTCGGGATAATATATGTACTATTAATTGGATATAGACAAAAACATAGCAAATTTATAACTTGAGACTTTGAAGGGCTGCGCCAGGCTATGCTTTGTATTCAGATCTAAACTTTCATGATCGCACTAGCTTGTCGCTTCATCAATCGACTTGCTAACCTCATCTACCACTTTCAACCAAGTCTTCGACCAAGTCGTAAACTTGTCCTCTGTGCCCTCTGCTGCACCCCAAGGTAGCTTCACCAGACCAACAGCCTTCGCAGCATTATCCTTGACCTTGCCTAGGAACTGAGTATGCCTTTCCCAGTTTTCTTCGTACAGCGCACCGGCTACCTCATCGATATCATCGGGGATGGATTGTAAGTTCACCATCAGGGATTCGAGTTTGCGGACACCAGGGTTGAACGCAACAGGAGCGTTACCAGCATTCTTCAACCGGTTCGTAGAAATGGCGGGAAAGACTTGCGCGACGGGTTTAAGAATACGGAGGGTCGACTTCTTGCGGGCGTGCGAGGCAGCCGTATCCTCCTCATCACCGTCATCTTCATCGTCATCATAATCACCAGCATTCTTTTCATCCTCACCCAGCAAATCATCGAAAAAGTCATCATCCTCATCAGGATCCCACTCCTCAATCTCCTCAACCGCATCCTTCACAAGATCTCTCCACTGCTCAACACGCCGAATCACAAACCCCACAACACCCTTCGTCGCAACGTCAACAAGAACATCGCAGGCATCCCAGACCCGTCCCGTCGCAACGGTCACAACATCCTTCTCCGCCTGCGAAAGATCCTCTTCTTTCTTCCCCTCACTCTGTGCTTTATTCTTCTTATCCGCGACACCCTTGACTTCACCAATCAGCGCAGCTAATTCTTTCAAGGCTGCCTTAGCAAGGATCTGAACCTCAGCATGAAACGCCTTCGTAAAGTCATCCGGGTTGACAAGTAACGCAGCCGTAACGAGCGACGGGAGCACGGATTCATTCAATGCGCTCAGCACCGTACAAACAGCAGAATGCGTAAACGGCGCCGTAATAGTAAGAAGCGAGAGCTTCGTGACCTGCGAGTGCAACGCGTGCGAAGAGGCTGTTAGGAGGGAGAGCGCGTCGTCTTTTCTCTTCGCATCATCCGTTTCGTTGGGAGCGGGCTTTTGGGGCGGGGAGTAGATGGCGGTTTGGAATTGGTCGAGGAGGGTGAGGGTGGTTGTTAGGACGAGGGAGAGTTTTTGGGACATTTTGGCTGGTTGCGCGTGTAAAGAGGTGAGGTATTATTGTCGGGCGTTAGATAGAGGATGGTTGATGCGGCGGGAGAGAAATTTCGGAGGGGCTGCGGGGCTGTTGATTAGGGCTTGGCGGGGTCACCTGCAGGGACCTTGAGCCACAGCGAACTATTACGGTCTTGGACATATGTGAGTTAACTAGTGTTATCATTAAAAAGATATTCTTCTATGTTTAATTCATGTTGATATATCTTGGGTATGGGATATCCCGTAATAGATATGTTCAATGATGGTTGGTGCGCTCGTTACTTGGTGGAAGAACGCAAGAAGGGTAGTTCGAGATATTAAGATATATCTTACTTTATTGGATTTATGGGTACCTATCAAACTCAAAATATGCTAAAGATAAAAAACGAACATACAGATCTTGATTTTCAAAACCTCGAATACCTGCAGTGCCCTAATCAGGAGCCCTAATTTCCTAATCGGTACGATCGGGGAAACGTTTAGCTTCACCTCCGATCTCCGTCGTCAGAAGCTGTCAGGTCAATCGCAACCCAGCGCAACTTTTCTCATCAATCTTACTTTCTATAATGATTTCCAAATAAATTCTTAATATCGCAACAAAGACTAATCAATAATGGGGACGACAAAACCCCGCCCCCCAGCCAAATCCTCAACCACCGAAGCGCGATCCCTCCCGGAGAAGACCTTCATCATCGACAATGGCGCATACACCATGAAAGCAGGCTACGCGCCTGAATCCTCTCCCTCAGAAGATCCACTATCAACATGCAGCACAATACCAAATACGATCGCAAAAACGCGTGGAAACCGCATCCATATCGGCTCGCAGCTCAACGCGCAGCCCACGGACCTGAATGAGATGATGTTCCGGCGCCCGGTGGAGAAGGGATACATAGTGAACTGGGAAGCGCAGAAGGAGATCTGGGAGCATTCGTTTTTCGACGAGAAGACGGTGCGGAGTAAGGAGTTTAGGATTGCGAGTCCGGAGGAGACGACGTTGATGCTTACGGAGGCACCGAATGCTTTGCCGGTTCTGCAGAAGAATGCGGATGAGATGGTTATGGAGGAGTGGGGGTTTGGGGGGTATTTGCGATGCGTTGGTAAGGATAGGAATTAGGAAGAAGTTCTTTGTTTGATTGTTTTTAACAGTGATTTGTTTCCGCTAGGTCCGTCGCTGAACGCTTGGAACGAGGTACAATCGCTGTTCGGAGATCCGATTTCGCAAAAGCCCGATGCCGTTGTTTCTCCCGCCGAATGCCTACTTGTTGTCGATTCCGGATATTCTCATACCACCGTCACCCCGGTCTACAAGGGACAGCCTTTACAGCGCGCGATCCGTCGACTCGATCTGGGAGGGAAACACTTGACGAATTTTCTCAAGGAGATGGTGTCAATGCGACAGTACAACATGGTCGATGAAACATATATAATGAACGAAGTCAAGGAGGCCGTCTGTTTCGTGAGCGACGACATCTCCAAAGACATGGAACGGACATGGAAAGGAAACCGGAAACGTGACCAACCTGACCCTGGTGAAGGGGTTGTGGTCGACTATGTACTTCCGGACCCCAACGCAGGGAAAAGGGGCTTCATGCGACCGCATGATCCGCTTTTGGGCGTAAAGAAGAGGAAGAGTGTCTTGTCTGGGGAGTCCGGCGCCGAAGCGTTGTCCGAGGATGTGTTGGTTCTGGGTAATGAACGCTTTGCAGTGCCCGAGATCCTGTTTACGCCACATGATATTGGCATGAAGCAAGCCGGTATATCGGACATTATACTCCAGAGTCTGTCCGTGCTGCCACCGGGGTTACATCCGGTGTTTCTGGCGAATATCTTGGTCGTCGGGGGGAATGCTCTAATTCCCGGGTTCCTAGAGAGATTGTATGCATCTTCTCTGGTCAGTCATTTTTGCTTCTGCTAATTTTTCTCAGACAAACGGAGCTACGCCAGATTGCCACGTCTGAATGCACCGTTCGAGTCCGATGCCCCGAAGAGTATGTAGCCCATGTCCCCTCTATGTCTTGCATGCTAACAGTGAATCTCCCAGTCCTATTCGCTTCGCTTGGCTAGGCGCATCCCGGCTTGCCACGAACAGAGACGAGCTAAAGAAAGTGGCCATTACCCGCCAGGAATATCAAGAGCACGGTTCTTCATGGGCTGGTCGGAAGTTTGCTGGTGCTTTGTGAGGTTGTCTTTTTCTTTTATTAGCATGGTGGTATGGAGTTTACGGATTGGCATGTTTTATTCTAGATTTCCGTATATATCTCCCAATGGTCATGATACCCTTGATGTATGTCATCTATTCACTACAGTATTTCTCGCTCTTATGCCTGTACAAATTAGTTTTCCCCAGTGACTTGTGAAGTTACTTTTCTAGGGTGCTATTGCTCGATGTGGAAGTCTGAGAATTACTACGACCCAGGACGAGGAAGATGTGGCCAACGTTAGCGATGAGCTATTCAATTTAACCCTACTAATTTGAAATTCTCAAGTAACTGGTACCTTCGTTCCTTGCACTTCCATGAGTCAAATCCAATCCTAGCTATGCCCATCTCCTGTATCGTATGCCTCCCAAGCAGACCTTATAATATTCCTGCACACTTGAGCATTCCGGAATTGACGGAATCTGTCGACACGATCTAGTTGCTCGTCGATGTTTTCTCTGCTTTGTTGCTGTATGCAAGCCATCCCGATAACAAGAACTGGAAATAGGGCAAACGATAGTAGATCCGGTAATTCAACAGAAGATAGACATTGTAAGCCCCTGTCGACCACATTTTGCACTTTCTCATCGGCAATTCGGTCAGGATAGACGATAGAGAAGAGCCAAATAAAGGAAGCGGCAATCCAGGCCTCGCACATATTGCGGTAGTCGTCTGATAGTCCATCGTCAGGGAGATTCCAATTGTCAATATCTTGCCAGATGCCAACAGCTTCAGTGATTACTGTTGCTTGAAGAACTGGTGCGGCCGTGGCATCCGAACGAAGGGAGGCGATGCGTGAGATAATATCGATAAGTCCATTATAAACACCGAACATATGCTCTTTTTGGTCGTCCATGGGTGAAGATGAGGCGTCTTCTTGCCTGCAACTGATCAAACTGCTTTTGGGCCGTTGAACCGTTACACTGGCGAGGATGTCGTGGTAAAGGAAGAATTGCATAAGGAAGCTGTCAAACCCTAGTTCCTCCAGCTCTTCACGATCCGGTCCTTCATCTTCCTCGTCATCCTCTTCATCAGGCTCACCCTGCTGTTCCCCCCACGCGCTGAAAACGATATCCCTAGCCCTGTCAAGCCGTACTTGACAACATTCATCACCTGTCCCTTCTGAAAGCTCGTAGAGATATAACAAGAGGTAACTCGTAAGCAAGGCTTCATACTCTGCTTTTCTTTCCTGTGTCCCACTATCGAGATCCTGCAGAGCGGTTACTCGCGAGGATTGGAGCTCTTCCGTCTCCTGTAGCAACCTCTGCTTCTCACCAGCAAACATACTGGCCTCGGTATAATTGGATGATATGTGATTTATCATATGCGAGGCTCCCAAGCAAAGAGTAGCCTTGAGAATCATCAGGTCATCAACGGCCATGGGAACCACAACCGACATAACCGGGTCGTCATCCTGGACCGACGGAAGCGTCAAAATATGCGAAGTTGAGTGCACAAAGTGGAAGAAAAATAGTTTCTCATGAAGAGATTCTATACCTTCTAGGATTTGGCCAATATCGTCCCGTGTGGTCGATAAATCTATGAGATATGCGTTGGTCAATACTTATGTTTTTGCAGATAGGTATAACGGTGTGCAACGAAAGAGGCCAGACCTTGTCTATTTTGACATGCAGGGCAAGGACATTCATGTTGCTCGTTATTCATGTTTTCGAGTGATTCTTGTATACAACAATCCAAGAGGAAAAGACCAAGTTGTTTCTACATGAAAAAGCAATGCGTTGATTTTTATCGATCTTTTCATACCGCATACCTGTCCATAACTCTATGAACAGCATAGTCCCTGCGGCAAACGCGGAATTTCTATAAAACAAAGAAACAGGGATGTAGCTATACAGCTGCCTATTGAGGTAATCTCGCTTCAGCTATGGGTCATCCTGCCATAGGGCATGAAGAGGCGAGAATATGTGCGTTAGAAATTCTGGGCCCGAACTGAGCTATTTCTATCATATTCCACACGATCCACCAAAGATGTTCAAAACCCCGATAATGCACAGTGATCGCCCAGCGTGGCTTGTGCACGGAATACGCGTATAACATTCTAGTTCCTCATTGAGTTCGAGCGTCCCATGGAACAGACTGGGTGCAATTCAAGCAGCCTCAACCCTATTCTCCGCGGTACTTTGTATAGAAGTCCATGCGCCTCTTGGCTGCCTTTTCTGATAGAGAATGTGGAGTGATCTAACCAGATGTGTCTGGTTCTAGCCGCGTGTGTGGGGATTTACGTGCATAACCGAGATAGCCGCGCTGTAAACATCCACCTCTTCAGGATTGCAGTCCAATAGTACTTGCTGAATAGTAATATCCATGTATGCTAGTCTATAAATGTCTCCTCAGCTTGCAATACCCCGTTGAAGACCTCTGTCTAGACTTGTGGCGACTGCGTGGTCCACGGATCCTAGGACAGAGAATCCGAGGAGCTCCCAACGCCATCGACATCGGGGAGGGCTATTTTGGGAAATCCTTCTCGGGTAGCGAAGCCGAATTTACTGCCGATGCATGATTCTACGGAGCTGTTCACTCCAACCACTCAGCCACTCACGTCTCATCGACAACTTGTCTTATTTCACACATCGCAATTCTGAAGCTCACACGATGATTGCAAAGTGACAGCAACAGTTCATCTACGCCCAAAACTCCCAAATGAGCTGCAGAAATACTGGATTGCGCGAAAAAGACATTCTAGGTCCGAGCTCAGTCGACCTGAGAACAGGCCCTTGGTGATCATCACATGGACGACCACGTTGTACGTATGAAGACTAGCATGGCGGCCCAAAGCTTGCTCATGCACCCAATATTGTGTTCGTATCCGAAACAAGGCAAGGTCATACCACTCTTTAGAAGGAAGGCGGCAAGAAGGAAATTCATAGCAGTTAAATGCCGCATTATGAAGTTGCGGGCTCAGTATCGATTCTTCCAATCCTACTGAACGGGAGGGTCATGGCTTTGGAGATGGGATGTGGTTCGACACTGGAAGTACAAGTTTCTCAGAGCAATGGTGTCCAAGTTGATGATTCGCGGAGTTACTGAGGGCGAATTTTTCGGCTAAATCATCGTCACTCTGCTGCCTAACCCTCGCAGATGTACTCTACCCGTTGAGAAAAATATCAAGAGGGAATGTCAGGTAGTATGTATGTAGGATACAATGTGGCAGGGGACCACTGGCTTAATGTGACTATACCTACACAGCCAATAGCCCCCCGCTCCAGCCAAGCCCTAATCTGCATCTCGATGGAAGAAACCGTTGTTTCGTCGACACGTTTTCGAGGAGCTGCATATGAATTCTTCAATATGGCCATGAAAGATGTGGCAATTAACAGTATTATATAACCTACGTCAGACACCGGCTTGTGATTAACCAACTCACTAAGCATGATGATCTCTGTCAACTCTTATCTCGTTCAATGTGGCGAATGACTTTCTTGACAACCTGTCCATACTCGAAAAGGTGCCTCCCTCGATGTAGCCATAGCATGGGCTTCTACAAGATACAGTTGATGGGGAACACAGAGGACACAACAACTAGCTATCTCAGAACCAGCAATATTGTAGCTACAATAGGCCATAAAACCGACCCAAGTCTAGAGGACCTGAATCCGGACTTGATAGAGGTTAGAGAACGCGGGAAGAGAGGAATTGTTAGGATATGACAGTGGAATTGCCCCTAACTTTTCCAGGAAGCTGCTTGTTAGCGCATCATTCTGGGGCCCATATTCAACATTCGAATCGATGGCTACGCTCATGTCTCTGTATTTTTTTTTGCTGAGACGCGTGCCTATTTTGTATCCGAGGATCCCTTAATCATACCAAATGGATCTGGTCCTAATATATCGTTTCTTTTACCATTTATATACTGCGCTATAAGACAATCATATACATCTATTAGTACTCGTAGAAGCCCTTTCCGGACTTCTTGCCCAACCAACCGGCATCAACCATTCTCCGCAGCAGACCGGACGGTCTGTACTTGCTGTCACCAATCTCCTGGTGCAGGACATTCATGATAGCCAAGCACGTGTCGAGACCAATAAAGTCCGCCAACGTCAACGGACCCATGGGGACGTTGGTTCCGTTCTTCATAATGCTGTCGATATCCTCGCGGCCACCGACGCCAGTCTCTAGGCAGATGATAGCCTCGTTAATATACGGCATCAGAATACGGTTGGCGAGGAAACCGGGAGCATCAGCCGAGACAGACGCGACCTTGCCCATACGCTTCACAAACTCGACGGCTGTGCTGAGCGTCTCCTGCGAAGTCTGTAGACCGGAGATGATCTCAACGCCCTTCTGAATCGGCACTGGGTTCATGAAATGTGTCGAGATAACGCGCGAAGAGGCCTGCAGGTCTGTAGGGTCCTTGGTAGTCGCAGCGGCAATCTTAGTGATAGAAATCGACGAGGTGTTTGTCGCGAGAATGGCATCCTTGGAAGCAATCTGAGCCAACTGGGAGAAGATGGAGGTCTTGAGGTCAGGAATTTCAGGGACAGCCTCAATGACAAAATCCACCGAGGAAAGGTCGTCCATTTTCAGACTGGTAGAAATGCGGGCACGAGCGCTGTCTGCTGCATCTCGGGTAATACGCTCTTTGGAAATGTCCTTTTCAAGTAGCTTATCTGAAAGGCGTTAATCCATGCATCTTTTACCGCAGAATTGGTCTAATCGTTACCGGCAAATTTAAGACCCTTATCCAACGATGCTTGGGAGTTATCGACCAATGTCACGGGGACTCCGGCCTTCTGGGCAGCCACCAGAGCAATTCCCAGTCCCTAGACTCATTGTCAGCATTCAATTCAACTTTTTTTTTTTTTTTTTTTTTTTTTTTTTTTTTTTTGAATATATCTGTGCATGAAGGGTACTGCCTACCATCTGACCAGCTCCAATCACACCCAGCGACTTGACCTCGGCAGCCGAAGCCGCGGAAGTGGTGCTGAAAGTACGAGAGGCAATGGAGGGGCCTCGCTGGCCGAGCATCCTGAGGGAAGACAACAGCATGGCGACAGTATAATCCTGTGGTTAACTGACAATATGCTGAATCTCAAAGCAAAACAAAAGAAGGAAAGAATACCTCCGGGGTAAAGTTGTCTGTATAACTCGATATCTATCATGTGACTCGACGTCATCGGCTATTTTCGGCTCGGCGGCGGAATTAATCCTCCGACCGCCCGAGGCTCTTTCGACACGGGCAACGCGTGAAAGACACGTGCTCATTGGCTGCGCGGGCGCGCATTGCCTTTACGGGATATTGGTCGTTATCGAGAAATTCAATTAAGCCAAACGAATCGGCCACGGCAACGACGGCATTATGGAAGACGACGGTGCCGTTTTCGGCCAGAATGTCCAGGTTGTGGACCCGGACGTTCGGGCTTATGTCTATAGTCTGGTGACTGCGGTAAGTTGCTCGAATGCTCTACGGGGAGGGGAGAGACATCGCTAATGGTCCACGCAGCTCGGTGGTTTCAATGGCGAAGATGCGGATCGATATGCCCTGGGAGACGATGCGCTGGCATGCTTACGAGATATCAAGCGGTGGTTGAAGCTGTACGACGAGAAAAACAACCGGATGGATGTTGCGCGATGCCTCGGAGAATCGAATCTCGTGAACGGCGACTTGATACCGATCCTTACGCTATGGGGAAGCAGCGAGAAGGCCAGCAGGCATATGTCGAGGGTAGCATTGGCGTGCTGTGAGTCGTACCCGGGAATGGAACCTTGAACAGGGACAAGGAACGGTGCTGATACCTGACAATTGACAGTGGAATTGCTTGTTCCTATGACTTGGCCGTTGGAAATACACAAGGAAATGACCGTCAACCATGCCCGCCATATGCCGTATCTGCAACAAGTACAGGTTCAATACAAAAAAGGCCTTCTCAGCAATGCGAGCGCCGGTCTCCTCCGCACCATCATCCGAATTGGCCTTCCCAGTATGGCCATACCCCGATCCGAACGCACGAACCGAGACGAAGGGATCCTCAAGCTTATGCTCTACCTACTTCGAAACGTAACGATCATCACACCGGATACTCGTCTTATGGCAGAGGGTGAAGAGGAGGAGACCTCTAGGTCTAGAACCATCAATGCGTTCCAGGAGCAGGATGCGTTTGCCCTCCTTCTGACCATGTGCTCGAACGTTGGTGACGACTTCAGCTTACAAGACGTGGTCCTTCTCGAGATTTTGTTCCATATCGTCAAAGGTGTCAACGTGGAAAAGCTGTTTATGGATGATGAACAGCGAAGCGCAAAGCGCACAAATGAGCTTGATGACCTTCTACGACAAGAGTCGTTGCTACGAAGAGAGTACACAAAGAATGCACCAACACGACACGGCAGATTCGGCACTATGATCTGGGTCAAACGGGATGATGCCAAGGTTTCTACTGTCTCGGGGCAGGATGTTCTCAAAGGTGGTCAAGCAACGATGCAAAAAATGGACCAGACCAAGAAGTGGAACAAACCACTGCAACGCAGAAGGATAACTGAGGTCACAGTGAACGATGATTTTACATCGCCGGTCAGTATCTCATCGACTGCATCGAGGAACCTGCGTAAGTTTGTGGAGGAGTTTCTGGATTCGGGCTTCAACCCGCTCTTGACCCACGTCCGGAAGGCAATTGAACGGGAGGCCGATCGAGTGGTCAATATCAATTCCCGTCAATATTTTTATACCGTTGCTTGGTTCCTGGAGGCGGAGCGGGCACGGCGTGACCGTCAGCGCAAGAAGCATGCAAAAGAAGGGAAACGCTCGAAAGATATTGAACCTGATAGCTTTGGCTTGGTTGCCGGTGTTCTGAACCAAGAGACCTTCGTATTTTTAAACCGCGCTATGCAGTATGCCTTGGACAACAAGGATTGGGAAGACCTGACTGCCGAGATGCGTTGTTTCACGCAAATTCTATTGGCTGTCCAAGAAATGGCACTCTCACCACTTGAAGAAGATCAGGAAATCGCTGAAAATATTCAAAGCCGGATCTTCTACGAAGAGACCACCCATGACCGGATTCTGTCTATTATTCGCGGCTTCAAGGATCAAGGTTTCGGTTATCTCGACGCGTGTACAGAACTTGCACATGTATTTCTGCGTATGCTGGAGCGTTACTCGAAGACGAATACCGATATGCAGGTGCGATCGCGCCGAAAAGCTCGACGAAAGGCCAAAGAAGACCAGCCCGTCGGTGAGAATGAAGAAGAAGAGCACGCTTCCGAGGACGAAGACCAGGAAGATGCCGAGAAAGTATCCAGAGAACGCAAATTCGACTTTACACGATTCTCTGCTAGATTCTGCAACCAGAAATGCGTCGACACTTTTATCGCTTTTACCAGAAATTACAAGGAGTTGGACACGGAGCAACTAAAGCGCGCTCACCGTTACTTTTACCGGATTGCTTTCAAGCAAGAGATGACCGTGTTGCTGTTCCGGGTGGACATTATCAACCTCTTCTATCGGATGATCAAAGGACCCGGAGCTCTGGAACCGAGCCAGCCAATCTTCCGAGATTGGGAAGAATTTGTTAAGCAGATAATAAGGCGGATGGTAAAGAAGATGGAGCAGCGCCCTGCATTGGTCACAGAGATGCTATTCAGCAAAATCAATGCGACTGTATTTTATCTTGAATACGGACACGAGAGGCAAACGATATCCGGTGTGAAAAAGGCACCGGCTGAGCTTGAAGTCAATCCTAAAGAAGCCACGACGATCGAAGATAAGCTTGGCATCGTGGTAGCTGCAATGATTAAAGATGAACAGACGGAGTTTGTCAAGTGGATCGGCGAGGTTCTGGGATCGGCAGCCGATGAACGAGAATGTTGGGAAGCCAACGAGGCAGAACGACAAGCTGAAGGGTCGCAGAGACCGGACGCCCCTAACCCGATGATTGGTAGGTTTAGGCCAAAATTTTTTTTGGTAGTCATCATACTAACAGACATACAGCCGTCACACCGCCTGATGAGAAGACTCGGAACGCCATGTTCTCGAACGCTAAACTCCGTCTCCTGATGACGTTGGTTAAGCTTGAACGACTCGGAATGGAAGATGTTGCTGGCGCGCAATGGGTTGTTCCCTCGGTTCTTAGTTCGCAAGACCTCAAGAACACCAAAACTATCATCGATCAGTCCCTTGACAAGCCTATTCCCGGTGACAACGACCCTCGAGAATTGCTTCGACGGAAGTACGGTGAAAACGCCAGAGGCGGTGATCCTGGATCCACGGGGAATGTCAATTTCGGCTCCGATTCGGAGGGCGAGGACGATGTACCGGATGGTTTCCTTTTCCCGCCAAATTTGCGGACCAAATCTAATGCTCTCGATGAGCTGAAGCAAAAGCGCAAGAAGAAGCGGAATCAGGACGTCGAGAAGGAGCCACTAGATGACGAGACGATAGAGGCACGACGACAGACACGCCTGGAGAATGCCCGCGCCCGCCAGGCCAAGATCAAGAGTGATCTCTTCATTCATGCAAGTGACGAGGAAAGCGGTGACGATGAGGAGTTTTTCCGGCTCGAGGAAGAGAGACGGAAAGCTCAAGCCGATCGGGTCAAGAAAGCTCTCCTTACTGGGGACTTAGGCGATGGTCCAGGCAAAAAGAAAGGCGGGCGAAAGCGGAAGAGCGATGTCGCAGGGGCCCAAAGCAAACGGCAGCGTCGTCCTCAGGCTGAAGCCAACGGCGGCAGTGATGAGGACAACGACGATGATATTCTCATGACAGGGGTTGGCGACGTGTCTGAGAAGGAGGATTCACCTGCTAAGGATACTCGTCCTGCGCCCGTTGAGGATGACCTCGATTTCGACGATGATCTTGCATTCGGTCGGGATCGACGAAGAGAGTCTGATTCTGCTGATCAAGATGAAATGTTAGCGACCAAGACAGCGGATACAAATATCGCAGGCGATGATGAAGATGAAGATGCAGTGCCTACTGCACCAGGCCGAAGACGCATGCGAGCTGGGTTTGTGATAGAGAGCGATTCAGAATAGTTGTCCCTTTCTTGAAATGTCGATGACTTAATGAGGCGTTTGGTTGGGTTTAGCTTGGGAAAATAGATACACCCGAGGTGAATGCATTTGTATTTGGCATTTTTATTTATAGAAGTTAATAGTGAATATAAAGTTGCACATATAACTGTGCTTTGGCCAATAGACAGTTTCATTGCAGTTGCTTTCCTGACTGGCAAACAAACAAAACCCCAGAACCCTAACCTTACCATCAACAACTATCCTTCTAACCGCGTAAAAACCACTGAGAAGGCATCTTCAAATCGATATGCCAAATCCCCTGCAAATTCTTAGAAAAAAATCCACTGGCAGCCATCATGAAGACAATTGTCCCCAACACACCGCACACAATAACCACCCCAATACTTATGCCATCAATTTTACTACCACCACTACCACTTCCATCTCCAAAAGCAACTCCCTCTCATCCATACTCTCTCTAAAGTCATCATCTAATCGAAAGCACCGTCACTCTTCATTGCCTCTACCTATAAAGCGACCTGGCCTAAATCACAATGGCTCATCCCCCTCGGAACGACAACCGTTGAAAGAAACGAACAAGAGTCGACTCCAACGCTTGAAGCTACGAGCACCACGTCTGTCCGCACCCGCGTCATCAAAAAGTGTCGAAACTACAACGATTGCCAAACTACGGATAGATTCGAATCAAGAGGACACGACGACTACAACAAAAGCGCGTGTGAAGTCGAGGCCCCCAACGCCCCTAGATCTGCCAGACGAGGATCTTTGTTCTCAGAAGGCCTATCAAAGAGAAGGGAGAAAGAGTGTGCTTTCATCTTTGGGGAGACGGGCTATGGGTAAGGAGAAGGACAAGATGGAGAACAACAACACTGGAACAAGAAGATGGAGCTTTTCGTACCAGTATTCAAGCAACAATAAACAATCTGGATACCATGATACAGCCTCAGGGACTGATAATTCTTCATACGTTCCACCACAGGCATACGTTCACGAAGACGAACCACTGTCCAACCCTGATTGCGTGGAATCTGTCGCACGCACTACCAAATCTCGCACAATGATCCCCATCCCTACGTCAGCTTCCACACCAAGCTTTACTAAGATTGAGGAAGGACGTAAGCGTCACTCTCTTTCATCTTTAGTTTCCCCCAATGGACGACTCAGCAGTCGTGTTCTGTCTTCGAGGTTTCCGCGTAAGGAAGCTACGATTGAGGAAGGGCAAGCGGATGACATCCAGCAGATTCCAATGGCTAGGAAAGTGCAATTCAAGGCTCATGCCACCAGCAATCCGCGACCACTTCCCCAATTACCAAAAGAAAAGGGTTCTCGACTATCCGGCACGTTTGCTTCGCTGGACGAAATGACAAACAAAATGCCAGAACCAATGGACAACGTCGAGCCACGCAGGTTCTATTGGACTAGGAGGAGCTCAGAGACCTTAAAGAAACCATCTTACGACACAAACCCAACCATGCCACCTATTTATGCGCACCTCGACGAGCCCTCCTACAGACGAACAAACCGCACCCACACCCTCACATCCACCAGAACGCAAGAACGAAGCGGACACAGCACCCGCGCAGATAGAATGGCCCAGCCACAGGCTCCACCTCTCGGCGAGTCACAACCTCATGAGGAAGATGACGAACCCACTCACCCCCTCCACCAAGCCTCCCAGGCCCAGCCTACCCAGTACTGGCTCGGCCGCTTCGTCACCCTAACCAACGCCTTCCACTACGAAGACTCATTCAACCAGCCCGACACCACGACGGGATTTGGCATGCTCTCGAGTTACTCGCGTCCGGATGGGAGCGCGGAGAGGAATTTGGCGAATTACAGGGTTAAGAGGGCGTTTATGGTGTTGGAGAATGCGTGCTTGACGGAGGAGGCGAGTCGGAGTTTGAGGGCGTTTCAGAGTGAGTATATTGGTGTGAAGGGGGATCGGTGGATGGCTTGATGCTGCGCTGTTCTTAGATGGGCTAGATGGGATGGTTTGAGTAGGGCTTTGCTCTCACGTTTTCAGGCATGATTCTTGGGAAATGTACTACAAAGTTATTGGATTTCGGGCTTGAATTGCGCATGTGCGGGTTATACCAAAAGCATAGATAGAATGCGTTAAGTAATATTTAATATTCATGTAGCATAGTCAAATCTTCATTTGATGGACACCTCCTATGATCTGTAACCTGATGACGACATTCTATATACCCAAAATTATTAACCATAAAGTATGTTGACACCGTAACACCTTACCATGCAAAACCAACGTGCGCCATTTTGTTCTGTAAACCCCCTTCTAAACAACTTTCATAGATATCATCACTTCCTACTCCTCAAAAATGCAGCCACCTGCTCATGCCTCGTCACAAAGAACATCCGCTTCCGGTCAGACTTCCACGTAAGAACCCCAATATCCTCCGCATACCGACACGGGGCCTCGTATTCCGCGAAGCTGACAAAATCTTTGAACAAGAAGCCAGCCGTCGCCTTGACACGGTCCCGCTCGAGCTGCCAAAGTCGGATTTGGTCGACTACTGTAGGCGGGAGAACTGACGGCGGGACCCCAGCTTGTGGGTTTGTGGTTTTGGCGATGTTGTGTTTGCGCATTTGCGGGTGTGCGTGGGTGGATATGTACGAGATGATCTGGTCTGCGGTGATACCCATTTCGACGGCGCGGCGGATGGACTGACGGGTGATTTTGCCGGTGATTAGGTTTGGGAAACGGTATTTCAGGGTGGAAAATAAGGCGATTAGGGAGATTTGGAGGGGCGATGATGTGTATGCGTATATGCGGTAGTTGGTCTCGACGATGATGAAGCCCGAGCCGGCTTCGGTCGATGTGTCTGTCCCCGTAAGTGAGCCTGAGATGGAGTTGCTGAGCGCGCTGGAGTCGGATGTGAGCGTCGTAGCGAGACGAGTAGGGTAGAACCGAGTGGCTTCGGGATTTTCTTGGTATACGATACCAAAGTCGGTCAGATCGGTCAGGGTGCGGATTTGAGTCGAAGTCAAATCCTTCTTCTGGTATGACTTGCCCAATTCCAAGCTACTCAGAAGGAAGATGAAAGAAAGGACCTCAACGCTGTCCATCCCGATATGCTCTGCACTTTCGACGTAGAGGATCAGAATATGCCAGACTTGCGTACCAACATCCTGCAGGACGAATGCGAATCCATCTTTTGTAATCTCGACCCGACGGTCCCTGATCTCGACGAGGTGCCCCGCCTGGAGAAGTTGTTTGACACCCTTGCTCAGATTGACGTCGCGCTGGATTCCTAGTCCACTGGTTCCCACCATGTATCCCAGCACACCTTCCCACTGTCGTCCCGCATATTCGTCCAGATCAGAAATGGTAACCGCTGTTTCATCGCCTAGTTGAGAAAGGACACCAAAGGATTGTGTTTGTTCGGTTCCCATGAGAGCCTGGCGGAGGGAGGCGGCGAACGGGTTCGTGACCATATAAGCGCGGACATTATTCGATGTCGTGGTGTTTGATAGAATGTGTAGTCGTCCCAGTATCGACAGCGCGTTATCTCGTTCTCTTGTACGCGATCATCTGTTAGATCTTGAAACGTAGTGATAGAAGCAAACCGTACTCACCTCAAACTCTCCGATCTAACCCAATCCTCCAGATCCGTCGCAGGAAGGGGATCCTTGAGATATAGTAGTGCCATCACAAAACATTTTGCTAGTTCTCATCAATATCTCCTTCCTCTGCTTCTCTCTAATCACAGGAGAAATCATACCCAGATCCGGTAGCATGCGCCTGAAAATCGCGAGGGCCGTGGATGGCTGCTGGTACAGCTTGTAGAAAACTGTCCCAGGCAGGCCCTCCAGGAAATCGAACGGACGGGATGGTGCAGCAGCCATCTTGAGCAGAATACTATCACCTCAGTTGCATGATGCGTCCACGGCGACAAAAAGCAAACACAAAACAATCGCAGTTGATGCTTCATCGCAAGGACTCCGGTGACCCACGCGGCCACATGCGCAGTTCCACGGCGATGACTTCACGCTGTACGGAGTGCCGACTGCCTCCCCGATTCACCACCAGAACTAATTTTCCTTGTTTTATAGTGTTGCGAAGATGACTGCTTTGCGCTTTGTTAGATCGGTATGTGAGACAACTCTCATACAATGGCACCCCAACAGCATATACTGATCACTGCTATCTATATCTACATAGGTCTGGGAGTCCTTTCGGGCAACCTCGGGCCTAGAGCCTCGGTAAGTATTGACGCTCACTCTTGATGATAGAATGCTGTTGCTGATGAACTTGTGATATGTAGTCTATTGAACAATGTAAGTTTGGCATGAGTCCAAATATCTTCTATTAGACATCAAGACAGGCCAATATCTATCGAGAGGCCTTTGTATAGGCCATGGATTCGGCTAGCATATCGGCATAGACTAATACCGATTCCCTCAGCTGCAAGTGACTGCTGCCAGACCTGGCATTGTCAACTTTGAATTGGATGTTCAGAAGGAGCATACGGTAAGTAGTGACTTGGCTATAAGTTAGCCGGTGATCACCAGCTGACATCCAACAGAACCGCTTGAATATCCTCCATGGAGGCACAATTGCCAGCATGGGTATGCCAATTGGAGAATGTCTGTTATAACAGATCATGTACAGGACGCTGACTTTGTTCTAAGTCGACCTTGGTGGGTCCTTGGCCGTGGCCTCTCGGGGTCTCTTTGCGACGGGTGTCTCGACAGATCTCAGCGGTAGGATAGCCGGAACCGTTAAACCTTTATAGAGCTCCCTTATTGACTTGCTGCTACCCCAGTGACATACCTGAACTCCGGAGGAAAGATTGGCGACAAGATCTTGGCTGTAAGTTCCACGATCCTCATGTGTTTGTTATGCACATATACTAACTTGCTAATAGGAGGTCACCTGTGACAAATGTAAGTCTCTACTGAGGCTCACATTCTGAAAAGAGCATGTAACTAACCAACACAGTTGGTAAAACCCTTGCATACACCAACATCAAGTTCACCAACCCTGGAGGCGACATTGTCGCAAGAGGGAGCCACACGAAGTACGTCTATACTATCCTTGTGCGAGACATGGTTGTAAGCGCTAACCAGTAACAGATTTGTCGCACTCGCCTGGAAGGATCCGCAGAACATCGTTGAACAGCTGAAGGAGCTCAAGGAGCTCAATGAGCAAAATGAGCAAAAGTCCTGATACCATTCACGCCATAGATCTTGATAGCTCTGATGCTATGTCGCTTTGTGGTATATAGGAGACTTTGTATAGACTACATGGAAATAAAGAATGAATCTCAATGTATGACTGGGAGTATATGTGCTAGCTTAGGCGCCTTTTATGGGAAGGCACCGGAAGGTGACCTCCACTTTCTCACCCTATCATCAAGCAAACATGGCTTTCCCACCTCTTTGAAATAGAACGACTGTACGACATGGAATGATGTGAATTCAGTCCTGAGATGACTTGTTTATGGGAAGTTATTGAGGGCTATGTTGACGTATGAACCGTCAGAGCGCATTACTTCGAGTGCAGTGATTGGAATGAAGACGAATCAATTACACTACTGGAGGTATGTGTTCACCAACTCCGAATGTCATTATTACTTTTCACACGAACCCAAAGCAAAGAAAATAATATACGCAGTAGATGCCGGCAACGGCTGGTTGCACATTCGAAAAAAACAAGCCCAGGATATATCGTATGTGAACAAGTTAATAAAACAATACCTGGTACCTAGAGAATGCACACTCATGCAACGTAATCCTCCTCATCCTGCTCCTCCCCAGCTCCAAGCATAACCTCATCTTCATCCACCAATTCAGCATCCGCATCAGGCATCGCATCTTCCACCATGATATCCTCACCCATGGCCTTCAGCTTCGCTTGAGTCATCTCAAACACGTACTGACCCAGATGCTCCACCCCTTCCATCGGTGTGCCCTGGACTTCATCGTCCACGGAACGTGTGGTTGGGAACATCTCGCCAGGCGCGAGCATGAGTTTGTCGGGGCGTTGGAAGAGGAGGTCGAAGGCGGGTTTAAGCTCGTAGCAGGATTCGAAGACTTCACGGCGTCCGAGGATGTAGAGGCCGAGGCGGGCGCGGGAGAGAGCGACTGTAAGACGGCGGACGTCACGCATGTAGCCGACTGTGCGGGTTCGCGTGAGTGATAGGATGACATCTATGAGTTGAGTTAGCATGGGAAGTAATTAAGATTATATACTGCGGGATAGAAACTTACAGTCGTTCTGTTCACCCTGGTATTTGTCCACCGTCGTGACAATCTTGGGCATACCAAACAGGTTGTTCTTGGCACAACGATGGCTCAAGACATCCTTGATCAATGCTGTTTGCCCTGCGTATGTGGCCAGAATGGTAATCTTCGATGCCGGGTAACCGAGAAGTCGCATATATTGGTACATGGCCACAGCATATTCTGCTTCGCCCAGGTTCTGAATGAAATGGGGAGTTGGTTCTCTTTCGCCCGAGTCCAGGTAGTCGGGGACATTGATGAATTGGTAATCGAACTGGAACCCGGAGTTCGCCTGCTTGAACTCCTGTGCCGTCTCGACCACCGGGAGGTTGCCCAACTTGTCATAGCGCCACCGGAAGAGCTCTGCGATGCTGGGTCTTGCACGTCCTTGCTGGTCAAGGGTGATAACAGGAACACCTAACCGGACCAGACGCAGGAAGAGACTTTGCTCGAAATGAGCGTACTGGCGGAAAGCAAGGTTCTGGATGATGGGGGAGTTTTGGAGATGGTCACCACAGAGAACAACGCGTTTCAGTGGCAGTTCGCCGTTCTTCATGTTCTGAAGGGCGACAGGGATGAAGCTCTCGATTTCTGTGATCTGCGCAGCTTCTTCCATGATGACATTATCGTAGTGGAAGCCCAGATCGGCGATTTCCTTACGCCGCATGGCTGCGTGTGTCGAGGTCATTGCAATGATTCTGGCCTCCTTCACCAAGAGGTAGTTAGCCCTATCCCGGGGTTGTCTCAGAACTTCAAAAGGACGGATATCTTCTAGTTCGGCGAAGATCTTCGCAATATGCCGTTGACAACCTTCCGCCACGTCCAGCACGGTATCTTTCGTAGCAGAAGGGTCGAAGGCAGGCTGTGGTGCATTAGAGAAATAGGCATGGAATGGGAATGCAGAGATTAATTCCTCGGTAGAGGTATTTTCAGCGCGAGCATAGTCCCAGAACTTCGCCCACGCTGGTTGAATGTAGACCGTGTTAAAGTATCCAGCAGTCTCACAGGAGTTACCGTGAGCACCCTCTGCTGCGATAGATGCTGCTAACCGTGCAACTTCGGACAGGTAATAGTAGCGATTGTCGAGGAAAGACTCAACTCGGCCATATTTGCTGTAATTCGACTCTGTTTCCAGCTCCTCTTCACCATGACCGAGTCGTAGAAGATGGCGCTCGTCAATGTCAAGCGACACAATCTTCTGGAAGAGTTGATTGAGAGCTTGATTGCTGTGGGCAATGAGTAACGTGCGCTCGCTGGGGAAATTGTGATAAATATTATTGATAATCTGTGTTGCGACATCTGTCTTGCCAGTTCCTGGAGGGCCCACAATCACACTGAGACCAGGTTGTGTCCCGGATGTAATGGCTTCCACCTGGGCTGGGGTGAAACGGACAGTGTTCAGCTTGGGCGCATCGACTGGGTATGGGCCCGGGTTCGGAGGCTTATAGGTCGAAGCACGAACTGAACTTGATTCTGTCGCCTTTTCAGCTTGGTCTCTCCGCCGCTTTTTCGACGGATTGGCCGAAGCGGGCTGTGAACTATTTTCAACGTACTCCAATACATATGGAGGGCCGAAGCTCGAATTCTCACTTCCCGACGGCTCAATGGTCAAACCAGGGAAGCTCTCCACCAAGTGCTGCCAGTTCAAGAATGTATCACGGAAATCAACCGACTTGAGACGGTTCGGAAGTTCCGTGTATCGAGCACCGGCTGGGTCTCCATATCCCAGGAAAATGTCCTGGATCCAGGATGGAAGGGTGATGTCTGAGACGATGAGTTTCTGCATCGTCTCGAGGATGGACCTGAAGTTGTTCTCTCTTCCTTTCCTCCTTGTGATCACGTTTATTAACGGATAGATATCCGGCCGTCCCTGTGCGTTCCGGTCCTTATCCGCCTTGAAAGCAGCACTGTCCAGGTTGAGCAGCAACTTCCTGACGCGTGGTCTGTGATGGTAACCATTCGCACCCGCAGGTTCGCGCAGGGGGCGGCCCTGTTCATCAAGAACTTGCACGACTTCAGCGGACCGGAGGTACGTTAGACTAGGACCTTCCGGTTGATCGTGAATCCCAAACTTGTTCGAGGGGGTCTGCTGGACTGCCAAGAGGAAAACAACATCGTCTGGGCGAAGCGATTCCCACTCCTTTCGAATATTGTCTGCTAATCTACCAACCTCGATAGCAATCTCGGCGCGGACGAAGGCTGGGTTCGCCGAGCCAACCTTCGGAGGTGCGACTTCAATGATAGCCGGCTTAGAGATCGGGATAGCCATTCGGGAGAATCCATCAAAGCTTAACGTTCTACCGTCTCGACTGGCCCTCGGTTGCATGCGCTTAACAACTGCCTCCATATCTTTACGAATCTGGAAAAAGGCTTCGGAACGGTATAGCAGGAACGAACGCCAAAGGAAGTCACCAAGGCTCAGATATTGAAGATTCAACTTTGGGATAGCGAGCGGTCTCGATCCGTCGTAAGTCTCGTTTCGAATGAGCGCTGGGTCATAAAGACTTTCCTCCGTGGGAATGGTTGTTAGATGCGACGCAGCTTCCTGGAAGGGTAGCTTCCGTTCGTAAAACGACAATAGTATCTCCAGGTACAACTTGCGGTTGGGCGTAACCTGCGACTGCTGGGGGTAAGTTGCCCTGAATCCAAGGTGGGAGCACAGACTCTGAAGCTCCGAATCCTCCAAGGAAGACAATTGCCCCTCTAACTCAGAACGCTGCTCGATAGAACCGTAGTTTGACAACGCAAGGATCGTTAACTTATCCCTGAAGTACTTCATGGACGTCCTCTGCAGCTTCGCCAACTCCTGGCAATGGATATCGTACACAGCCTGGGGTGACAGAGCCTGACCCGAATAGTCGTCAATCGCAAAGTTAACGAAATGCTTAAGGAGATTGTAGAAGTCGCGGAAAAGCGCATTTTCGGGAGAACTGTACAGCTGAGATAGGCGAATCACGGGCAGCAGGTTGAGGTCCTTTAAGAGTGTGTTGACATAACGTCTTGTGGGAAGCTGGCTTTCCAAATCAACCAAGAGTTCGAGGAAGCGTTCGCAGTATCTTAAATCGTCCGCCTGTTCTTGTACCGGCCCGTTCAACCTCCGCGTAAAATCAAGAAGCATCGTGTAAAGCCACGACCTCTCGAATCGCATTTTTGCCTTCGTTGCCTCGTCTCCCGCGTCGTATCGCTTCGCCGAAGCCCTCCATGCTTTTTTCAACATCGGTCCCTTGCCAAGTATACGTTCTCTCGCTTCGTCACTTGGCAGGTTGTGCCAGATCGAGATGGAAACAAGAGGCGCGCATTCTTTTCGTACCAGGGTGTTCTCGAGGGATTGGAAAGCGCTGATAATGAAGGATAGGATCGCCAATCGCGAGGACACAGCTAGCGAGTTATCGATGCTCATCGAGAGAATTCGGTGGAATAGACTGGAGAATTCGTCTGGACTGTCGGAGAAGATCCCTGTAGCCAGTTAGCTCCCTCGTCACATCTTTATTTCGGTCCATGACATTGTACATACCCCATATCGAAAGATGTTCGCGTTGTTTGACGCTGACAATCAATGCTATCAGTAATACGTGGTAATTCGAAGCATCGTCGGTGTATGTCGGCCAAAGGTACCTATAAAGCAATGTTAGCTCTGTTTTCTTGTTCCCGATATAGAGCAATGGCGGATCGTACTTTTCTAGGATACTCAGATTCTCTAATGTAAGAAGCGAACGAACATTGAAGCCCTCCGCCTCTAAAGGATCCCAAATTTCCTTCTTGATAACATCCTGCTTCGCTTTGCGGACGTTCGACGTCTCGAGCCAATGGGTCTTGGCCAACTTCACCCACGCGCTGTCTTCGCGAAAGTCCTCCACGGTCGGCCTGGAATCAAGACCTTGCGCCATTGCTGGACGAGTCTGTAGTCCCATTCCTCAAGTTGGGATAGCTCCTAGAAATGTTTAACAGTCCAGGCGCAGGTCCGGTCCAGTTGCACCATTTGCGCAAGTGGTTCGTTGCGGGCGGAACGGGGACAAGCTTCTGCCGCGCGGCTACTGACTCCCCGGCGGCTAAATTCCGCAGAGCCGCGGTGAATGGCCCTGAGATCATCCTAACCAACCCGCGTGTGCGACATTACTGGACGACAAAACTACGCTCTTTTTCGACCACGGATCACGATTTTGCTGCTTGGAGATCAAGATGGCGGACGTGGATGTCGAGGCGACTCGAATCTACAGGAGACTGGTCGATGATCTCCTCGATCGGGCTGAGCGCGTGAAACCGGACAAGCAGATCGAGCCTCCGTTGACCGAAGCGCAGTTGGGCGAGTCGATATGGCAGGTGCAGGGAGACGACGCACAGGTGGTGGATCGAATGAACCAACAGACGCAATTAGCTGCTGTTGAAATTGCTTTCAGGGAGAAATTCTACAGCGTTCTTGTATGGATTGCCCCTTTGTCATGAGACGCATAGTTGCAGAAGACGGCTGACCATGGATTTCTCTCAAGGCGACAACATCGATCGATGATCTTGGTTATATTCAGATCTGGAATTTGCTTGACATCGTCTCTATTTTCTCCGATAATGGTTGGTCATGGATGTGAACAGGAGCTTTGATCTATGAGCTAACGTCTCTAGAACAATGCGAACCTGGTCTGATTTTCTGGCTAATTGAGGAGCTCCTTGATAGCCAGACAATCGATGGATGTCGAAAGGTCTTTGACTACCTGGAGTCACGCAGGGAGCGCAACACAAAGGTATGTACCCCATATCTGGAAGCTAAACTATTCTACCATGGTATGTTCACTGACATTTCCAAGAAACACTTCAAGCAGAAGAGTCTAGTCATCCTTCGATCGTGTAACGAATTACTCCGACGGCTGTCTCGAGCAGAGGATACGGTTTTCTGTGGACGAGTGTTCATTTTCCTCTTCCAGAGCTTCCCACTTGGCGATAAAAGCGCTGTCAACCTTCGGGGCGAATACCACACTGAAAATGTCACGACCTTCGATGAAAACACCAAGACAGCATCGAAAGAGAATGAGGCGGCAGACATTGAGATGACGGATCAGAAGGAATCTGAGGAACAGAAGGCCGAGAAAGATACCCAGCAACCGTCTGGTGACCAAGAGGCCCCGAAGACCCCGAAGGTCGTCGTATCGGATAATACCAACAAAGAGCCCGAGAAGAAGGTTGATCTGGATGCACTATACCCGATGTTCTGGGGTTTGCAAGCATACTTCTCAGCACCAACCAGGATGTTTGATCCTCAGCACTTTGCGACTTTCAAGACCGGACTTGAGTCGACACTCTCGACTTTCAAGAACATCAAAACGGATCTTGAAAGCCAAAGCAGCAAATCAGCAGAAGAGCTGCGCAAGGCGATGAAGCGGAAGCGCACGCCGGATGATACTGAGATCGCAAGCAGTTTCAACCCGAAGTATCTTACCAGCAGAGATCTGTTTGATTTGGAGGTAGGCTACAACATACGAAGTCATAGTTTGATATACATACTGACATAATACAGATCAATGATACAGCGTTCCGGAGACACGTCCTTGTGCAGGCCCTAATCCTTTTGGACTTTATGCTCTCCCTTACACCAAAGGCCAAAGGCCGTCTAGCCGACTTGACCAACAAGTCCGTGCTTTATGGCTTTGTGCTGAGTGACGAAGATGTAAGTAATACCACCATCGACCGGCCATGGACAACTTCTAACCCGTGCAGGCCAAATGGGCAACCAAAATGCGAAAGGCGATCGAGGAATACCTCCAGGAAGGAGCGGGAGGCAAATTCTACTACCGTATGGTCGACACAGTCCTCTCGCGGGATAAGAACTGGGTCCGGTGGAAAGCCGAAGGCTGTCCGCTGATCGAGCGGCCTCCCGTGTCGGTATCCGAGTACGTCGCTGCCCGAGAGCAAGCGTCCAAAACATATTCCAACAAACGACTCCGCCCTTCGCCCATGGGATCCCTCGATCTAAAGTTCCTGTCCGAAGGCGAGGCACTGGCTAGTCTTGACCGACTCAAGGAGCCAAACCGGTATGTTATGCTCACGGATCAATGTCGACATCGACTAACTGATTATGTCTAGGTTCAACGTCCCGACGGCAGACTCGTTCATGATGGGCATCATGGATGACGAACTTGATATTGATATGGCGCAGTCAAAGGAGGAAAAGGATAACGCTTTACGGTCGAAGGCGAGCAAAACATGGCGGATACTGCGTCTGTCATCACGGAATAAGCTAGCTGCGTTCGACAAGATTGATGATGGAAAGAACCTGAAGGCGTTGTTTGAGGATCCTTCGCCGCCAGAATCTGAAAAGGGAGCAGGAACGTCCCAGTCGCAGACGCAGGCACAGACACCAGCACCTGAACAGGCGCAAACTCAGGAACAGAATCAAGACCAAGCACAAGAGCAGACCCAAGAGCAAACGCAAGAACAGACACAAGAGCAAGCACCGGAGCAAACATCGCAGGAACAAGCTTCAGCACCCGAGACTGCCCCAGCGCCAGAGCAGACATCATCACAAGAGCAGACATCTGCACCCGCACCAGAACAAACAATGGAAGAAGTGGCTACGGAGACTAAAGAAGGCGGAAATGGCGGTAACAATGACCAGGGTCACGAGTCGACCGGTGGCGAAGCCACTACTGCAGTCCCAGTCACTGAAAGCCAAGAAGAGCAAGATACAACGATGACCGACTAGTCGGCCGAAGCCAACCACCCTCAGGAAACTCCGGCCGCGACTGGTGCAGCGTCGTAAGGGGCGGAGGATTCGGGGGCATGGAGAGAAGACGAGAAGAGAAACATAGAACCGAACGAATGTGGCCGGTCCACATTATTGCCATACTACATACCATGTCAGCCAGTGCGTGTACAAGTAAATACGTGCGTGCATAATAACGAATCGAGTATTTTACCGACACTGATCATCCCCCATTCTATTCTTTTCTTTTTTTAACCGTTGCCTGTTAGCCGCTACCCGTTGGCGCTAAAAGGAGAGGAAGAGGGGAGGGGGTGAAGGGAAGAAAACCATGCATATGCATGAATGGCTAAATGGAATGGCAACGGACTTGATTGTTAGAGCAAGGCAGATCTCTCATCGAAGCGAGGCGGGTCCAGTGCTCCTAGGTTCACTTAATTCCGTCCGGTGCTTACCGGTCTACGAGATGAGATAGGGATTGGGATGGATCGGACGGGATTGGACCGAGCAGGGGACTGGGAATACATCCGGTACGCGCCGGCCGATATCAACGGACAACAGATAACGGACAACGGCTAAGAATAGTCATACGGGAAGTGGAGAGAGGAGAGGAGAGGAGAGGGGAGGGGAGGGGAGGGGAGGGGAGAGAGGGGGGCGTGAAGGAACAAAAAGGGAAAAACCGGCAGCGTGGCCTGCAGGACAGACAGGACTGTTCGGAGATGAAGAGGAACAGTGCATTCGACTATTGATTCATTACTCGCGTGGAAAGGGAAATGGAAGGCATACTCCGTATGTATGGACCAGGGGGTTTGGAGGAGGTGAATGGGTTCTGTTGTCGTGTGTGCGCGTCTATGTCTGTGCCTGTGTTTGTCTGTGTCACTGGATTGAGGGATTGGCAGTGGTCCTGACTCTTATTTGCTTTTTCTGACATCCGTCCTTTTGACAGCGGGTCGAGGAGGGACAAGCTGTGGCGGGACGTAATGGGAATGGAATAGGATGGGATACAACATGGAAGGCATTCCGCAAGCCGGTTTGTAGCAGAGACCAGAACGTGGGGATACGCAGTTTCCGGATTGGACGAGGTGCTTTTGATGAGCAGAACCAGGGCCCCGCGGAGTACATCTCTGGAACTCACTGGGATGCGCCGCAAGGCTGCATGCTGCATATTCTTCAACATCGGAAATTGCAGGTTCTTCAGGGCATTCAGGTTGATTGCCGGACGGACAGACAGGTGAATGGACAATATTGTATTCCATACCGCAAGGTTTGCCATATCAGCTACCCAGTCATGTCAATCAGTGCGGACCACAGTACGGAGTATGTAGTATGGCAGAAGGTACTCCGCCAGTGTGTATGGCTCGTATAATGCAAACAAGATCAGCACATTTGATTAGAATGGAGACTTGTTCCTGCATAGGCGCGTCCTCAACTTGATAGGATGGAAGGATAGGAAACCTTGGAATTGGATGGATGGAGAGATTTTCTAGACTCGACCCCATCGCCATGTTTACTTGGATATAATAGGTCCGTGCTATAGGAGGGGCATGTTTCAGTTTGTGGTCGGAATTGATTTATGTGAGAGGCTGCCTTGTTCGCGGAGGAGATCCGGAACACTGGGACGTATGAGAATATGTAGAGGGAATATCACGAAAGTCATAGCGGGAGTACGGAGTATGGAATACAAAGTACATCGTAGAGAGGAACGAAAGGAAGATAGAAGGAGCATTGGCCAGGAGTAGTCCAGATGAGGTGTCACTCTGAGATCCCAGAGATGGGAGATTACAGGTTCTTCAATCGATCGGGACCCTGATCTGGATGTTTGGTGCGGACGAATCCATGGATAATCTGAAGACTATACCTGGAGTTCCGGCCGATACCATGAAACAAAGGCTGAGATTAAAGTTCCTTGGATCAGGTTCAAAGTCCAGAGGATATACAGGATATACAGGATATACGGGTCAAGATGCACACTGATCTCCCCCCGCAAGACTAGCCTTTTTTTTTTTTTAATGTTGCTCAGGGCTGATTGTTTCCTGTAGATGGTCTCCAAGCCCACTATGTATGTCCACTTCCATGTGGTTTATCGTTGAGATTAATAATGCTAACGGATCATACCATTCGGGGGAATGTTCCTCCGGCCCTTGTGGTTTCAGCTCCTCCCGTTCGGTCGATATTTCCGAGGTTTCTCCTGCCGGAAGTACTGGTATTGTTCTGTATGCGTAAGGTCTGTACTCCGTATAAGCATTGTAGTGTGTTTAGAGTGCAATATATTGCCATTATACGGAGTACGCACTCCATAAAAAGCACTCTAAACATCGCCAGGCCGAATTAAACTCCCGATGTAAAGCCGATAAACTCTGTGTGTAAGATGACTGACAGGTGACACTTGCTTTCCAGAAGGATTTTGTACGGTAACATTACGCTATTACCACCTGTCGATCATTTCCTTTCGTGTCAGTACTTCTGCCTGTACTCTGTACTCTGCAAGTACTCCGTACAGTACACACTCTCGTGCATACATATATAGTGCAGAGTACAGTATATACCTACAAGCACTGTTATACCATAGCACATCTCTTGGTTTATACAGCGATCTCATTGTATACTTGCAGAGGACTCTGTACGAAGTGCAGAGTCCTCCGTGGCGGGCAACCTCGGCTAGAGCACCCCTCGCAAGGTCCACCACTTGAACCCGTCTCCAACACATGGCGGCCCCGCTGTATTTTATCCGTATCGATGTCTGACTGGTCGAGGCCTACGAATGTTTTCTTGGCAGGCGGGCGAGACCGCATCTAGCTTAATCAGGCTGTTACAGTACAGTACAGTAAACAGAGGAAAGAAAAATATATACGGAGTACAGAGAAGTACAGAGTACAAAGTGATAACCCGGTAGATCTGTAGATGAATATCATATACGGAGTAGATAATAAGGATATTCCTGACCATAGGTGTTAATCAAGTACTTCTACGAGTAACGGAAGACTCCCACCGTACCTGGTCTACTCCACAACCCCCACTGCTGCAGCAGCCCAGCCGTTGCCCTAAAACCAGTGGCCACAGACCTGACAGGAGTTCTCTCAGCACTAGTGCCTGTAGCATCACTAGTCCATGCTACTAACAGTTAGTCAAGCTAGTAATAACGGTATTATTCCTGGTTATTCTCGTGTCAGACTATCAAGCGGTGGTCCGTCCTCTTTTTTCTTTTTCTTCTTTTTTATTGTTTATTTTTTATTTTTTTATTTTTAATTTTTAATTTTTTCTTAGCATCGGAGAATCTGCACCGTTGAGTCTATGGGTGGGTTCTATTTCCATCGTCTATCGGAGCAGGTCCTGATGTTCTTATTTCCACCGTCACCTCCAGCTGAATCCATATTCTCTCTTTCTTTTTCTTTCCTTTTTTCTTTTAATCCTTTTCGACTTGATATTCCCAGGGGCCATTTTCTCATCCTTCGTTTTTGCAGTGGTCACCTATTCCCTCGTTCTTCTACATAGTAAACACCACTACTACAGTACTACTGCTATCGGAATCTCGACTCCTTCAGGAAACATCCCGAACACCCTGGCCCGCCCCACTCAGTCTGTCGTCTGCCTCCTCCAGGGTCTCTTTGGCTGACTTACTTCTCATCGCTCTTTTCCTTCTTCTGCTTCTTTTCATCCTTTCGTTACAACTTTCGTTTATGAAGTAAAAAAGAATACACCCTGGTATATATCCGGTGGTATACCATGTCCGTCAGTGGCCCGTGTCTCTGGCTGCCCTCTCCCGCTGCATCTTCACATTACTCCGCCATTCAGACCCCGGCATCAGCAGCAAACACTTGGTTCTCAGAACAGAATCTCACCAGAGCCCAACCAGAAAAGACGGAAGGTCCAGTGCTGCCGGCAGTCTCTTCTACCTTTTCCTCTAATACTACCAACACCCCAGCCCAAACAGAGTTGATGCCCCCAAAACACGCAGACGATCGCACCGTCCAAGCGACCACTGACGCTCCTCTCTCACGGACGCGTCTAGAAAGGTTCAACCGCAGTGAGCCGCTTCTGTCGGGTATCAGCCAGGATGCTACCAGTTCAAGTCCGGCCACGCGCGAATCCAGCTTGGAACGGAAGAGAAAACACTCAGACTCCCATCTCCATGACAAGGAGATATTGGAAGGAGCTATGACTCCATCGGATGATGGAGGGGAACGGCAGAATACGCCTTCCGATGGAAAGCTCGAAAAGAAGAAGATGAAGCGATTCCGGTGAGTATCCCATGGCTTCTGGAGTGAAAACGCTGGCTAACGAAGCAGTCTCACCCATAACCAAACCCGGTTCTTGATGAGCGAGTTCACTCGTCAGGCCCATCCAGATGCGGCCCATCGGGAGCGTCTGTCAAAAGAGATCCCCGGTTTGACTCCGCGGCAGGTTCAAGTCTGGTTCCAAAACAGGTTCGTTTTTATTTTACCCTTTTCGGACAATTAGACGGTATCTAACCTTCTCCAGACGGGCAAAGCTTAAGCGTCTGACTAGCAATGACCGCGAACGAGTGTTAAAGTCGCGGGCCTTGCCGGATGACTTTGACACTACCCAGGTCTTACGAACTCCTTTTGACCATAAATCCACATCCGAAACACCGGTAGCGTCACCTCGGGCCCAGTTTCGAGTTTTAAAAAAGAAACCGATGCTAACCATTTTCCAGGGTCTACTGACCAACCCAAACCGTCCAAACGATGAGGAATATGCCATGTCCCCGATGAGTGCGCCGTCGGCTGGTGGAGGCTACTTCCCTCCCACCCCGGCTGCGGAACGACCCCAAGACACTTATCCCATGGCCCCCAATCGACCAGCGATTCCTACGTCGCTGTCGGACATTCACCGAGCCGGTCGCGGTGCTTATCCATTCCCGCGATCCAGCAGTTTCTCGGATGCATATCCCGGTTTCCCACATAGCTACAGCCGGTTCTCGAGTCCAAGTACGGAATCACTTGGTCATGGACTACCCTATGGACGCCGGCCCATGGACTACGGAATTTCAAGACCTGCCAACGCCATGGTTCCGGGATACGATCCCAATCGACCTATTGAGGGCTCTGTCTCGCCTACCGAACAGCAGGAAGCGCCCATTCCCTACGGCATTGACCAGCATGGTACGTTTGTCGAAAACCAAGCAATGAAGGAAGAAAACTAACAAACAAAAGGTCAGCAAATTCCAAACTATCACCCGTCTATGGCAATGCCGCCCCCGAAAGGATACGGTGGAATGGAAATCAACACGTCCATGCAACCACCTCGCCAGATTCCCGCCCTCCACTCCGTTCCTGTTTCGGATTCTCCCGATTACCGACCCTACTCCTACGACCCTCAGTCCTATCCGATGAACAACAACATCCCCTATACACAAGCGAACACAGCGGGCATGCCACTCCCGACGACCTATCCGTCCGACACGGGACACATGCCCCCGACCACGGCCGATGGCCGAATGAACCCTCCCCAAATGATGGACCCCATGAGGGCCAGATTTGGAAGTCAATCGTTGGACTATGCCTCTTACCTCTAAGAGCACCCGAGTGCTCTTCTTACCATATATACAACATTTAATGTCTGCATCGTTGCGACCTCGAAGGAGGTGCATTTCAGGAGCGACTCGAACTGCATTTTGGCTTCCTCCCTGAGTCGATCGGTTATTGAAAGGACGGATCGTGTAACTGTATCATCACCTTGCATGGCGTTGTTTGCTTTTTCCTGTATTTACCGAGGATTGCCCGCCTTGTTTTTATTCTATGTTAATATTGCCCACTACCCCTGGCGGGTAGTGATCTGAATATACTGTTATCAAAATCAACTTGTACTCGTTTTAAACTTCTGCGGTAGAAATAAGATTCAAAAAAATAAAATAAAAATCTCCGATACACATGCCAATACAATATGGATTAATTAATTAAAGTTCGGAGCCAATCGCAGCCACGCTTCATTTAATCTCATTTAATCGGGTCTGTCATATCACCGTTGAGATCTGGTCTTGGCCAATCAAATCATTCAAAAAAGAAGGATTGATTTATCGACTGTGTGTCGTTCATCATTCACTGCGGAAACAAATAGCGCTATCCACTGACTTTATGTATATCCCATACACTATTTATCTTGCATTGCTATCCCGATCCCATGCCGATGCCGCATATAGTAGGTGAGATTAGGTTGCAGACGGGCCGAGGCGCAGTGCGTTCCACAAATGTAAACCTGGATTCTGCGTACTGTACAGAGTATGCGTGTGCGTATATAGGATGTAAGATGTGCTTGTAAGATGTGATATGTGATATGTGATATGTGATATGTGGGATGTGGGATGTGGGATGCTGGTTCATGCGTGTAAGATGCTGACTGCCGTTATTGACTCCCCTAGGGCTGCGATGTCATCTATGTACTCCGTACATATTATATCTTGCTTTTGGTGCTACACTTGGTAAACCACCATTAGGGACACTCGAGGTGACTTTGTCTATTCAGACTTCGATATCTGTTCTTTGTATGGAGCATCCCAACTGCACTACGGTGTGCTCCGTACTGTGACTAGTAATGTCGCAGTTTGCCATCCTTTAGATGTTGCCATACTTGATCGGAACTTAGCGCAATGCGTGATTAGGTCGAAGTAAGTCATGCAGTCCAGCACAGGTCCAGCAAGTGCCAATCGAACGCAGGTATATTCTAAGAGTACGGAGCACTGTACCATTCGACCAGTGGCAAGTTCCCCTAAAGTCAGCAACATAGAAACAAAAACCAACGAGAAACCAGCAATTAAAAATCCCAACCAATAACAGCCCGTCCAAAATAAGAAATGACTGTATACAGAAAGGCCAAGTTGTATTGAAGGCAAAATGGCTGACACAGCGGCACAGCTCCAGCCAATCAGGAAGCCCGCGTTGGTAATGCCCGCGTGGCTGCGAACAGTCATTATTTCATAAAGAGGGAATATAAATACTTGGGTCCCTGTTGTTGACAGAAACATCTCTATTCAGAAAACATCCTCTTCAGACTATTCCAAAGTTCACTGTTCCTGATTTGCAACCTGCATCTGTCGTGATTGTCGCATTTTATCGTTAATTGATCTCCGAGATCGACCTCTGAATCTTACGTCATACATCAAATACTTAACTTACAAGTACAACAACAACAACAACAACGACAAAATGGTTCACCCTAACACTACCTGCTGCAAGACCTCTGGAGACGCCGGCTGTGTTTGCGCGGCCCAGGCCAAGTGCTCCTGTGGCAAGGAAAACGCCCTTCACTGTTCCTGCAACAAGGCGTCGAGTGAGAACGCTGTTTCCGGTGCCAGATGTTCATGCAGTATGTTTTCCCCTTTCTTCATAAGGTATCGGGATCTTGAGATGCTAACTTACATAGGATCCCGCCCCGTTGGCCAATGTACCTGTGAACGATCCACCAGCGAAAACCAGTCGTTTACTGGTTCGAGCTGCCCATGCGGAGCCAGACCCGAGGCATCGTGTACTTGCGAGAAGGCGGATGCGGTTGAGTCGGCTATTGAGACCGATTTCACCTCGTTTGGGCGGTAAACAAGATCATTCAATTGATTGACCTTCATGTGCATTATCGGAGCAGGCGTTAGGTTCGGATTTGGGTTAGATTTACGAAAACATCAAGAATACCACACCATTACCATTATTTCCTCCCCAACACTGCATCCCTATGCTTGAACCTCCCATCCCGTTTAATCTGCTCATAAAAACTCCTAGCCCAATGTAAATGATACCCATCTCCCAACTCCGTAAACAACCTCACCGACACCTCCTGGTCCCGTAAATCCTCAGAATGATTAAACGGCGAATACATATACCTCCTCAGAATACTCGGCATATTACGATCCCACCCACGGCCCAGCACCGCATACCGCGCCACGGCTACGGCTTTGTTATCCGTGGCATACGCCCGCGGTGAACCTCGGAAGATGTTCCGGGGGACCTGGTCAAGGAGTAGAATTAGGGCTAGTGCGCCCTCACCGTCGCCAAGGTGTTGCCAGTTATCTAGGAGGCCGGATTGGGCGGATTCGTAGTCTGTACCCAGGTGATGGCGGACGTGGGCGTCGTCGGATGGGCTGCCGTACCAGAAGGATTTCTCTTGGAGGTGGGTTGGGGAGGATTTGGGGCTAAACCAGAAGTCGAGGATTCGGGTGTAGGGTGGTGCCATCATTGTTTCTCTCAATATTCGTATTAAGTGTCTTTAAGTGTGGTGTAGTTATGCTATGGAATTGGTGCGGAGAATAAGGGTAACGCACCGCCACCGCATCAATGTTCTTCCCGCACCGCCACAGCGGAACGCCGGCGGATCGGCGGAAAGCGACAACGAGGTTGAGCATCGTATTGGACACACGAGCATCTGGCTTGTCTTATGCTTGTTTAGTTGGGCATATCTCTCTTTATTCTACTTTATTTAGCCACAGTTCGATTGTGTGGGTGAACTGGAACGACACCGAACCCGCGTCCCTGAGCCACCTCCACCCCCTGTCGCGTTTATCTGATCCCCTCAAGCTTTCGTTGCAGAATTGCGGTTCCTTCACCCTACCGCACGCCATGATCGATGTGGAATAAACCCTGAGAAAAAAAACCGAAAAACAACAAACCGGGAATGATTGTATGACGCCGTGCCCTGAAAACCGTTGTCCTACGACCGGAAACCCCGAAAAGTGTGAGAACGCCGCCGACACATAGTTTACTACGCCCCTATTCCCTAAATAACCATACCGGTGCGACAAACAAATACATGCCAATTCCAGCAACACCATGGCATCCATGCGAGGATTAGTCCAGTTCATCGCGGACCTGCGCAATGCACGCGCGCGAGAACTCGAGGAAAAACGGGTGAATAAGGAATTGGCCAATATTCGTCAGAAGTTCAAGGGTGGCAGTTTGAACGGGTACCAGAAGAAGAAATACGTATGCAAGCTGCTCTATGTCTACATCCAGGGATATGATGTGGATTTCGGACATCTTGAGGCTGTGAATCTCATTTCGAGTTCCAAGTACTCGGAGAAGCAGATTGGGTATCTGGCCGTTACGCTGTTTTTGCATGAGCAGCATGCGTTGCTGCATTTGGTTGTTAATAGCATTCGGAAGGATTTGCTGGATTATAATGAATTGTTTAATTGCTTGGCGTTGCATGCCGTTGCCAATGTTGGTGGGAGAGAGATGGGTGAGGCTTTGGCTATGGATGTTCATCGATTATTGATTTCCCCGTGCGTTCCCTCCATTTTCTGCTGTTTGCGCCTGGTTGCTAATTGATACAGCACCTCGAAAGCATTCGTCAAAAAGAAGGCCGCCCTGACGCTTCTCCGACTTTACCGCAAATACCCCGGCATTGTGCAGAACGAATGGGCCGAACGTATTATCTCTATAATGGACGACCCTGATATGGGTGTGACTCTGTCCATTACCTCGCTGGTCCTGGCATTGGCTCAGGATAAGCCAGAGGAATACAGGGGGTGCTACGTCAAGGCTGCGCAGCGGCTGAAGAAGGTTGTCGTGGACAATGATGTTGCTCCGGATTACCTTTACTACCGCGTTCCATGCCCATGGATCCAGGTCAAGTTTCTCCGGCTGCTGCAGTATTATCCTCCTTCCGGTATGCACCTTTACATCTCCTGTTAGAAAACTTACTAATTCGAGTAGAGGACAGCCATGTACGGGAAATCATCCGAGAGTCCTTGCAACAAATCATGCATGTCGCCATGGATACGCCGAAAAACGTCCAGCAGAACAATGCTCAGAATGCTATTCTGTTCGAGGCGATCAACCTGCTCATTCACATGGACACCGAACACAATCTGATGATGCAGATTTCGTCGCGCTTGGGCAAATACATCCAGTCGCGAGAGACCAACGTCCGATACCTGGGATTGGAGGCCATGGTACACTTTGCAGCTCGGGCAGAGACACTCGACCCCATCAAGAAGCACCAGAATATCATCCTGGGCTCGCTTCGGGACCGAGATATCAGTGTCCGGCGTAAAGGGTTGGACCTGCTGTATAGTATGTGCGATACGACCAATGCGGGTCCCATCGTCAACGAACTCCTACGTTATCTGCAAACGGCCGACTATGCAATTCGGGAGGAGATGGTGCTCAAGGTGGCTATTCTCACGGAGAAGTACGCTACCGACGCCCAGTGGTACATCGACATGACTTTTAAGCTCCTCTCCCTGGCAGGTGACCATGTCAACGACGAGGTTTGGCAGCGTGTGATTCAAATCGTGACGAACAATGAGGAAATCCAGGCTTATGCTGCGCATACATTGCTTAGTTACCTGAAGACTGACTGCCACGAGAGCTTGGTTAAGATTGGTTGCTACGTTCTAGGAGAGTTTGGACATCTGATTGCCGACAATCAAGGTTCCAGCCCCATTGAGCAATTCATTGTTTTGCAGACCAAGATGATCACCAGCACCGACAACACCCGGGCAATGATCCTTTCGTCTTTCGTCAAATTTGTCAACCTCTTCCCTGAGATTAAGCCCCAGCTTCTACACATCTTCCGGTTGTACTGTCACTCTCCAGACTCGGAGCTGCAGCAGCGGGCGTTTGAATATCTGTCGCTGGCGACGCTTCCCACGGACGACCTCCTCCGGACGGTCTGCGATGAAATGCCACCCTTCTCCGACCGCGCATCTATCCTTTTGTCGCGGCTACACCAGAGGACCGCAGGAACAACCGAGAGGAAGACCTGGGTCGTTGGAGGCAAAGACGCCAACGCGGACAAAAAGGAGGTTCTCATGGCGCAGAACACAGGCCTCAAGCGCACCTTCACCACGATCGTCAACGGCAGCAGCAGCGGCGCTGCCAGTGCAGCCTCACCCGTGTCGAGCGCGGGCGACCTGGCCGGATTGGATCTCAGCGGTCCGCCCGCTGCACCACCGCCGAACCTTGCCAGCGCGGCTCATCTCACCCCCGAATGGGAAGTTGGGTACAACCGGTGCTACTTTGCAGACGAGGGCGTGCTTTTCGAAGATCTCCAGATCCAGGTTGGTCTGCGGTCCGAGTTCCGTGGCCACATGGGTGTGGTGAAGATCTACTTGACCAACAAGTCATCCTACCCCATCGGATCCCTAACAACGACACTGGACAACCCGTCGTCACCACAGTTGAAGATCGACTCCAAGAACCTCCCCGAACCACACGTCCCCGCCGCCGGCCAAACACAGCAAACCTTCTTCTTCGAAGCCCACGGCGCCTTCGCCGCCGCCCCAACAATCCGTATCTCATATCTGGCCGGTGCCCTGCAAGCATACACGCTGCAGCTCCCGATCCAGATGCACAAATACATGGAGCCGTCGACCCTATCCGCTGAAGAGTTCTTCAAGCGCTGGAGACAGATCGGCGGAGGACCGCTGGAGTCGCAGCAAACGTTTGGAGTCACGGCGAAGGGGAAGAGTATCACGGAGGCATTTACGAGGAGAGTTGTCGAGGGCTTCCGATTGCGGATTCTGGATGGCGTGGATCCGAATCCAAAGAATATTGTCGGTTGTGGGGTTTATCAGTTTGCAGGTGGGAAGACGGGGTGTCTGTTACGGTTGGAGCCGAATTATGAGCGCAAGGTAAGCCTCTCCCCTCCCTTATTAAACGTGAATGCAGAAGCTAACATGCGCAGATGTACCGGATTACCATCCGTGCGACGCAAGAAGGCGTACCGCAGTCGCTGGTCAAACAGATCGAGCAGAAGTTGTCGCAGGGCACCAAGGGCGGTGCATAGACTACTGTCCCTTGTTTGTTCTGCGTTTTGCATAATATTCGATTCGATAATTATAATTGTAATGGCGGTTTGTTATTTCTGCCATATACCATACCGCATTTATTCAAATGTAACTATGCATTGTCTTCGTTTGATTCCCCTGCTTTGTGTGAGATGGTCGGTGTATTTATTCATTATTGTCATTAATAGATTTACACATGAGGATAAGGATATATCGAGGATGCTTTTGTAATTCTGTAAGGATATCTGTTGTGTTGTACAATAAAGATGCAATTCATGCTTCATAATTCATAACCCAACCACCTCAAACAACCCTAGCCTCAGACTTGGGCGGCCTATCCCCAAAGATAGTCGTTCCAACACGAACCTCATCACTACCCAGCGCAATAGCCCCCTCAAAGTCCTCACTCATACCTATACTCAACTCCAGCTCTTCCAACCCCAACTCCTTGACAATATTATCCCTCGTCTCGCGCAGACAGATAAAATCCTCATTCTCATTCTCCGGCGTTGTAGCCTTGGACCGCGCAATCGCCCCAATAGTCATAACACCCTGCAACTGCAACCGCGAACACTTATCCTTGATAAACCGACACAGTCCCGGCGCAGCATCCGGCTCAATACCCGCCTTATTCTCCTCCCCGGACGTATTCACCTGCACAAACACCCTCAATTTCCTCTCCTTCTTCTCCTCATCCTCACCTACATATTTTCTCTCTCCCCACCCCTTATCCAACAACGAAGCCTTCTTCTCCGAATCCACACTCTCAACCGCCCATAGCCCTCTCACCTCCCTCGCCAACAGCACACATTTATTCGACTGCAATCCGCCGATAAAATGCCATCGAATAGTCGGTGGCAAGAGACGGGACTTTTCGAGGAGTTCTTGGAGGTAGTTTTCGCCGAAGTGGAGGTGGGAGGTTGGAGGGGAGTGGAGGGCTAGGATGTCCGAAGCAGGTTTGAGTTTGGAGACGGCGATGAGGCGGGGTTGGTTTGTTGTCTTTGTTGGTGGTGTGGTGGATGCGGATGATGTGGATGTTGACGCGGCAGCGGCAGAGATGCGGGAGGTCACGGCGGAGAGGTTGTTGAGGAGGGTTGTTGTGCGGGTGGAGGAAGCGGGGGTTATCATTGTTGGTGAGGGGTCTGTCATTGCTCTCGTTTTTCGTGTGCTTGTTTTGTTTTGTGTTGTTTTGGGGTATTGAATAGGAATAAGAATTGCTGGTGGGAGTAAAAATAAATTGATGACACCTGAGGCAACTAGGCCAGATCGGGTTAGGCGATTATCTCGTGGAATTCACGTGAATCCGGGAGATCGGCAGTATAAGTATCCGGTTTTGGCAGGGAGCGTCCCCGCTATCCCAAACGGGCTAGGGCATATCTGGGGAACAGGAGGAGTGCACTGGACTTGTCAGAAAAAGAAAATAGAAAATATTAAGATACATAAGTACAGGACCCTGTGCAATTATTCGTATTTATTATGATATCCTGCTACATATCATAGTACAAAGACCGAGAAACTAGTACTATGTAAAATAGTTTGCCGATGACGCGGGAAGCTTTCCACCGGGAGTTCCGGATGTCCATGCTCATTTGTAATAGGAGAGGGGATAGCTCTATAGCTGTACTATATACAGAGCACAGAGTATAAGATTCATATTTACTCTGTAACTTGGGGACTTGAGAAGGATCATATTGATCATATAAGACACTTTCAATTCGTGATTTCTTCATAGAGTGGATTGCGTACCCAGACGGGAAGCGATACGCCGAAGGATTCATTGATGTCATAATCGCTTCATCCGAACCAGTCATCTTTTGTTGTCGCTACCAAAAAGGCGTTTAGAGAGAGAAAAAAAAAGAGAGACTGTCCATTCATGATTCACCACTAATACTACTTATATATTCCCGTACGGTGGACTATATAAAAGTGTAGTGGATAGTTGACGTCAACTGATCAACTCCTGACTATTTGTATAATTATTCTCTCACTTATTCTTAGTTCCCCTCCATCATCTCCCTTTTCCTGTTTTGTTGCTTTCTAATTTTTCTCTTCTTTCTCCCTATTCCTCCGTGCTCTGACAGGTTATCTTTTTTTTTTTCTTCCTGTCTAATCTATTCTGTATTCTTTCTGCTCTGTGTTGCTTTATACAGAGCATTCACTACTACTGCTCTTCTGCGTTGCTGTCAGGGCTAACTGGCCATGCGGTAAACCCCCAGAGCATGGCCCAGACCCCAGTTGGACCTTCCCCAACATCCATGGATACACATCGTTGAATTACTCCGACGGTATCGAAATACTCTGCTCGACATACTCAATTGAGAAATCCCACGATTCCTACCGTTAAACAACCCGAACAAAAAATCATCCGGAACCGCGCGGATCCTCCGAATCCTATCCGATCCTCCCATATCTTCATCTACTACAAACCGCCAACATGTGCCGTCAATACCTCACCGTCTATGAATGGTGCCGGTGTGAAGAAAACGCCGGCAACCTCATTTGCGCCCCCCACGAAGAACACGAATGCCCCGGCGTATTCACCGAAGCCGTTCATATGCACTGCTTCTGCCATTGGCATGCCTCGAAGGGCTGGAAGACGGAGCATAAATTGCTTAAAAAGCATAACAAGATGTCGAAGAAGACTCAAAAGCGGCGTTCGACTCTGAGTGAAAAGTCTCTTACTCCGAAGAGGTGGTTTTCATGGACCAGTTTGCGATCGCGAAATTCGATCTAGTCCTTCTTTTCAGTCCTCTTTTCGTTTCCTTTTCCATATTGTGATCTTGACATTCGTTCGTCGACATTCGTTACATTTCATTTCTCGTTTCTCGTTGCTTCGTTTTCTCGTTTCCTCTAGCATTGACCATTTTCTCTTCTTTGAATCTGGCACTGGCGTTGGTGGATTGATTGAATCTTTTCTGGGATAACTGGCGTTATCTAGATAGATTGGAGGCAGGTCATATACTTTTTATCTTCATCTCATCTGGAGGAGTTGGTTTCTTTCCTAGGCTTGAAAAGTCTTTTTTTCTTCACTTACTGGGGTTTTTTTTTTTTTTTTTTTTTTTTGAAGTAAAGGGGATTAATTGCCTGATTTCACTCATTCTGATTCATTTGTATATAGCACCTGCATATGACAGGCAAAAATCAATATAAAAATCATATATTTGAGGCATCACATGTGCAGATGTTCTAGATGTAGTAGTGATTCTTTATGTGGGCGTGGAATGGAAGATCGACCCCCCCTTGCCCCGTATTGGAGATCCTAAACTTGAGCCTCTACAACTCCCTCCATTCTTCTACCTCTGCAGCCTCACCCCTCAAGAACTGCTTACAGTGTACTTGTATTCATTCACTTTGTTGCTCTTTGTCTGTTTCACTGTCTAACCAGTTCCATCCTCTTTCACTCTTGACTCTGATCCCCATGTTCTCACCATGGACCCCTCCAACCGTGATGACCTCCCCCCAGTCCCATTCGCCTCCTCCAAGGCTACTCCGTCGCATCATCTGAGTCTGAATCCTCAGACGCTGGCTTCAGCTTCTGTTGCTCCTGCGCCCGTATCGCCTGCCCTGTCATCGTCATCCTTACTTTCTCCCTCTGATGCCACCCCGCGTTCAGCCTCCAGAGATAACCACCACAACCAGACGGCCCCTAGACGTATCCCTAGCTCTGGATCGCTGAGAGACGAAAGTCGCAAGTCAACACCCAGCTTACAGAAACGCTCTTCAACCGCATCGTTGCGATCCGTTCGTAACAGCGCTGGCTCGTCCACCGGTACTCTGTCGCGACGCTCCTCCTCCAATTTCGCGACCTCCCCCACCACAACAAACAACATGATGTCAAAGAAGGCGCCCGTGCAGGAAACAATTCCAACTGCTGCGACAATCGCTGCAGAACATTTCCAAAAAGACATCGACTGGCACCAATCCGCCGATCTACAATCCAAAACCCTTGTCGTGGTCCACGATGCGTGCTACGGTCATCGTTTCGCGCGACCCAAAAGTTCTCGCGCTACTCTAGGCTCGATCGTTGAGAGGCCAGAGCGTATTCGCGCCGGTGTGCTGGGCGTATCTGCTGCTTACGTCCGTCTGGCCCGCAGGCATGCCGGTGAGCGCTACGCGCCGCACCCTAGTCTGGACCCTCACGCCTTGCCTGCGCCTCCGTTTCAGATCCGCAAGACGGCGCGATCGTTGGCGCTTAATTCCCCCGCTGTTTCCCACGTGCATGGAAGCAAATGGATGGATGATCTCAAGACCATGTGCGATGCGGCTGAGTCGCGACTTGCGTTGAATGGGAAGGAGCTGGTTCGTCCGCGTAGCGCTGGGAAGGATGATCATGTGCCTGAGTTCCACCAGGGGGATTTGTATTTGTGCTCTGAATCTTTGAATGCTTTTGAAGGAGCCCTAGGTGGGGTATGTGAGGGTGTGGATGCTGTCCTTGGCCCCTCGTCTACGAAGCGGGCGTTTGTCTGTATCCGTCCTCCTGGTCACCATTGTTCGTCCGGCCATCCGTCTGGTTTTTGTTGGATTAACAATGTCCATATCGGCATCTCATACGCCGCCATGACACATGGGTTGACCCATGCGGCTATTCTGGACTTTGACCTGCACCACGGTGACGGTTCGCAGGAAATCACATGGGCGCAGAACAGTCGGGCCGCGACTGCACCCAAGAATGCAGCGCTCTACAAGAAGACGAGAATCGGCTATTTCAGTCTGCACGATATCAATTCCTACCCGTGCGAGATGGGCGACTTTGAAAAAGTGCGCAATGCAAGCGTGTGCATCGACAAGGCACACGGTCAGTCGATCTGGAACGTCCATCTAGATCCCTGGAAGAATGAATCGGAGTTTTGGGAGTTGTATGCGACCAAGTACGCTATTCTACTCGAAAAGGCCCGTGCTTTCTTGCGACTGCACACGGAGCGCCTTGTTAGCACTCCTAATGGACCTAAACCCAAGGCTGCCATTTTCCTTTCCGCTGGCTTCGATGCAAGTGAGTGGGAGGGCGCTGGTATGCAGCGACACAAAGTGAACGTTCCTACCGAGTTCTACGCCAAGTTCACTGCAGATGTCGCGCGCATGGCTGAGGAGGAAGGGCTGGGAACTGATGGTCGTGTCATCAGTGTGCTAGAGGGGGGCTACAGCGATCGGGCTTTGACGAGTGGAGTTCTCAGCCATCTTTCAGGATTGAGTGAGGTGACGACTAGTGTGACGGAGGAACAACAGATTGATCGTCTCGCATCCGAAATGACCGACTTGGGTCTGCAAGACATAGAGACGGAGATCAATGCTCAAAAGACTCAGGCAAGCTCTTACGACCCTACCTGGTGGTCATCACCCTTGCTCGAAGAACTGGAAGCCTGGGTCTACCCTGCACCAGCCGTGAAAAGTAATGGGAAAATCCCGACATATCTTGCATCGACGCAATCGTTCACCGCCAAAGTCGTGCCATCAGCACGAGATCGAATGTCAGTCGGCGGCTATGTCACTTATGAACCAGAGTTGCCCCCACTGCCTGAAGTTGGCTGGGCCACTGCAACGCACGAACTATCCAAGATCTTGATCCCAAGCGACCGGCAAACAATGAGTTGTCGGCCCGAGGACCTTAACGCTGAAGCATCGCGCATACGTCGGGAACGTCAAGCAGCTGTGGAGGGCATTCCCATAGCGCCAGCTGCTCCGGATGCGCCGATTGAGCCAGTTACTCGTGAAGCAAGTCGGATGCAGCTCCGCGTGCGAAAGCCCAAACAGCCTCTACCAGGCACACCCAAAGCCGAATCGACCCCGAAACGCCAGGCAGTCAAGGGGACTCGACGGACCACCATCGACGCAGCCAGTGACCCGACTCCATCGCTGGACAATTCGCCAGCCACTCGCATGAATCGCAGGAAAAGCTCAGCCGCAGCTACGAACAATCCCGAAGATGGGCGATCGCCATCGCGTGCGACAGCACCTCCATCACGCCCTGGCACCGCCGCAAGCAACCGGTCTACAACTTCTCGAAGGACCAGCACCAGCCGTGGAACTACCCCGAAATGTTCTACAAGTCCTACCCAGAATGTCCCCCCTGTGCCACGGGTTCCATTTGGTTTACTTTCAACGGCGTCAAGCGAAGCTCCACCCCCAGCAGGCGCGGAAAACACTCGACCCGACGACATGGACAGTCTCATGGCCGGTGTGCGGAAACTCAACATAAAGCTGAAGGTCCCCTCCCCAGAAGAGAATGCCGCACGAGAGAAGAAAGCAGCAGAGGAACGCAAAAAGGCGGCCAAGACCTCTAGATCTCAAAGGTCCAGCAGCGTTCTCAAACCATCCACTACCAAAAACCCTGCCTTTTCCGCATCAGCACCACCGTCTACAGCACCTCCACTCGAAACAAAACAAGAAGCCAGAGAACCTTCACCCGACATGGCCTCAATCCCCAGCACCGTCACAATTGGCAGACCAGGCTCGCGAAAGGCGTCCGCGCAGTCTTCCTTCGCTGCAACCGCAACCACAACAACGTCCACTACTCCACCTCTCACCCCCGCATCTGCGTCCACAGCCACAACACAGGATACCATCCACCCGCAACAACAGTCGCTGTTCTCCCCCGCTACGTCAGCTACCCAGTCTAAGCACGGACTTCCTACATTCACGTCAAGTGACGCGATCCCGTTTGCTTCTGCATCTGGAAATCCGACGCCGTTTGGATCTCGTCCATCTACGGGGTTTAGTCATGCGGTTTCGGATGAGTCGAGTGGTGATGGTTCTTATGTTAATGTTGGTTATGATGGACAGGCTGATGTATATGCACGTCGGGAGTAATTCCCTCCTTTCTCTTTTTCTTCACGTTTCCTTTCCCCTGTCAGCTCCTTGAATTGGTATCGTGTTTAATTCGCGTTCCGCGTCATCTTTTTTGCGTTACTTCTTGATATCCCATATTTGTTCGAGTTTGTGTTGTTTCGATTCATTTCTTTCGCTCTTTCTGGTTTGTTGGAATATACCCCTAGGCGTGTTTGTACGAGTTATTTTCTTTTATCATTTTTTGTCTATTTGGAATCGTACTTAATACATACTCGAAGAATAATAATATGCAATGATCAGATGTATTGAATACCAGACACCTATTCAGTTCAGTCGTACATCATGCTAAGTATATCTTTCTTCAATTCTATTCTGGTCCATTTGGCACACAGCTTTGGCCATCTATATAAATGCTGTAGTCATCAGATGCACATTAGGGCAATCAATCTCAGATGAGAGGCCCAAGTTCTCAATGTCATCTGCATTTTGGCGCCAATCGTTATGATATACCCAAGCAAAATTACTTCTTACTAGGATTCGATGATAGAAACAGTACAACATAGTAACGATAATTCTAACTACTCAACCCCAGACAGACAGAGAGGTGTTAGTTACGTCGGGGAACAGACAGGCCGGAGGCAGAGTGAGAACCATTGATTGGACTAGACAGCAATTAGACCAACTTGGCCGATGATGATTCGGAAGTTCTTCTATTTCTGCTGCTGCTTCGTCACTCAGAGTAGCTTGCTATTGGGACTGAAAAGTGAAGACAGTAAAAGCACCATTTAACACCAGTAACATCGTGCTAAACATAGAAATGACAAAGCATGTTTTGAAGAATGAAAGAACGACTATATAGGTACAGGAACCCGCCTGTGTGGCTCGGAAGCTTGGGTAGGCCCAATTCACCATCCATGCCGACTGAAGCATATCAGATGAAGTAATCCGCTTCGAAGGTTCATACGTCAGCATATCGAGCAACAACCGATGGATCTGCTGCAGCTCCTCAGCGCCGAGATCGCGTGGTTGATTGCTATCGTTAAGCATTCTTCCCATGCGGACTAGTCGCTCACGCAACGGCCGATCATATGGCGCATGTGCACGATGCATGTCTTGTTTCCATGATCCGTCTTCGAGGAAGAAATCCGTCTTTTTGTGCCATTGTTCCCACCAGCGCTGAGGGAGAGGCCCGAGGGTGCTGATCATCTCTGCAATTGCATGGTCTTGGTCTGCGTTGAAAACTTCGAAAAGTGGGCGTTCACCAAGGAGTTCGTAGAGGCTGCACCCGAGAGTCCACACATAAATTGCGGGGCCGAGCTGCTCATGGAAGAGATATTTTGGAGAGAGTAGGCCTGGAGTGTGTGATCCTGCTTCATTTGCAAAAAAAAAAAAAAAAAAAAAAAAAAGCTTGTCCAAAGCCGGAAATGACAATCCTAGCATCCTTTATATCTTCACTTGTCTCGAAGATTATCGCGGCAGATTGAACGCAGTATTTCGGAACCTCCGGACCGTTTGGACCCTTGTCCAACCTCTCAACTGGCAACATTTCGGGCTTTTACAAATGGGTATAGAGTTCATCTATGTCCCAATCATCTTGGATATGTAGCGGCGTGAATAGGATATTATCCAAATGCAGGTCTATTTCTCAATCATTAGCCCCTTCGCAGCTTTAGGACTTACCACCATGCACCACACCACAAGAGTGGATATAGTCCAATCCTTCCCGAATCTGTACGGCAATTGCCCTGGCCTCGACGAGTGGAAACATCTGAGATATACCAGCTTCCTTTGACTCTGCAACACGGCACCCATAGACTTCAGTCACAATACAACCATGGCGACCATTCACACCATCAATGGTGAATTTATCCAACAAGCGTGGCACAAATTTCTGCCCTGGATGTTCTGCTGGCTCTGAGTTCAACGCGCGTAGGATCCTGCCTTCAAAACTGGTTTTAGAGGCCTCAGCAGCCACAATCTTGACAGAAACGTATCGTCGTTCCTGGTTATCCCTGGCAAGCCAAATAGTCGACCAGCTGCCATAACCAAGCTTATGGATGATCTCGTAGCACCCATCGAGGAATCTGTCACCAATGTGAGCTGGGTGGTAGCCACCGGGGCGATAACGGTCGAGGTCCTCGACATCTTCCTGCCACTGATGTATCGGCAGAACAGGCATCGTGAGCGCCTTGAGATAATGAACGAAGTGTAGCTGTAGGATGCGAGTATGGTGATGGGGAGAGAAAGAGAAAGAGGTAGCCTACAGAGGAAATAAACAGAAGTCTCACATCATCGCCAGCAGTTCTGTCTACTGGTGAATGCTTCCATCTTCAAATCAACAATAACTCCCTGGATTCTTGATATTTTGCCTTCAAATTATCAGTAGTAGATTGCAAAAAGAATTCTATATTGTATCAAAATTCAACTAAAAGACTGTATTGGAGGATGTTAGGTTGTATTATGGTGGCCACCACTATTAAGATATTAGTACGAACTGGATTATCAACGCGTTCCATGAAATCGTTTTTTTTTTTTTTTTTTTTTTTTTGGTACATTGCATCTTCAAAACTTTGCCCCCCTTGGCCAAATGATGGTTTTGTCTGTACTTTTCGAAGTCCTTCTTGACCGGGCACGGTCACCACCACCCAAGAGTTTTATAACTAATCACTTGAGAGGGCACTTGAGAGGGGAGGAGCACGTCGGTGCAAGCGATGCAGGGTTAGGCCTGGAAGAAACGATACTGTTTCTGTGGTCCAATTGAACCGTTATGACCGTACAGGAAAGCAACGCTGTTTTCATTAGGATGGTATAAGATAGGGCTCGATGCTATCTCTAATAAAACCAAATATCATAGGTTGCTTTCAATAACAACCATTTTGCTTTTGATCCGTTGGCATGACCGAAAGGTGGGAGTGGTGGATTTTTCGAATGATGAATCAGTGCATGGTTCTTTCTTTGGGGGTATAGTATTTATGCAATATATCAGTACTAGGGTTATCGTGAGATCCACGGCCTCTTTAACTCCCTTTCACTTCGCGATGTAACCTGGATCTCAATTTTGTCAAAGCTTCTGAAAATTGCTAAACTACTAGAGGAGCATAATGTTAGGAAGTTTACCCATGATCGGATCATCCTAGATGTGATTGACGGCTTGGTGCCATTATGGCTTGTCGATCTCCTTATGTTGAATGTTCCCCAACACCATTCAAGCTCATTTGACTTGTCGTTACTTCGAATGCCTTATCGGAATTTAGGGTTGCCTCAATTCTCGTTGGAGCAAGTCGTAGAGGTTCGAGAGGTCTGAGAAGCCCAACGAGTTGCACATAGTAGGAAAATGGTGAAGCGAACGCGAAATATGAGAGTTAGTTGGCGCCCGGTTGTAGCTCGAGGAATTCGATCCAACGGCCAACGCTGAAGATAGCGTATAGGGCAACAGCAGCTTGCTTTTTCTGAGGGTACTTTCCACGGGCTGTAATGTGCTCATCATGTCCCTCGGCCTCTTCCCAGATGAATATCCTTTTCAGAATGCCACCAGCCATATCATTGGTCTGTCTTGCTGGAAAACCACTTGCCTTTCACGTTCACACCTATCAAATACTTTAGCCCCCCCGTTTTTCCACGAGCCGTCTCATGAGTTTCGGCTTTCACCGGTGCAACATCTACCACCATGATCACATGTCACCGGAGCCATTCCCACTTCTATAATTTATCAGAAACAGGACTTCGTTGCATGATTGACTAGGTTACCTAATATGAATTTGGTGGCCATCGCGATTCGTTGAAAACAGGATTTATAAAACTCTGCATGATATGGACCAGCCAGCTTCCCTCCCTTCCAGGAAAATACAACAGTCGCTAATGCCATTTGGCTCACCGACCTGTTTCATATGGAGTATAGTAAGATACCAGCTAGACAGTTTCAGTACAATAAGGAAAGAATCGTGCTTTACACACGTACATAACACACCACCCGGATTTCCGGTGGTTCTTATAACAAGCAGCTTGAAATCTGGTCTTGTTCCCATTTTGACTCGGGAGAATATCAAGATAGATCTCGTGCCTGCTTATTCCTGAGTTAGGAATTCCAGCTGTAGAGTTCCCATATAAAATCGGGTGGCTCTCTTTTGGATAGCGGCTATCACGGCATATGCTGTTGGTCTCTGACAAGCAATTGATATAGATGTCAATCAGCGGGAACTGATACTGCGAGCCTGTATGTCTGGAAGAATAAATTGAAAAGGACTTAAGACGAATACAGATACTAATGCCATGACTAGGAACAGGTTTGAAGTGAATAATAATCGCACCGTTCAGAAATTGATAACCAGTGAATACTAAACCCCTAGTTTATCTCTTTACTAGCCTCAACTCTCAAAGCCCCCTCAACCACTTTAGCAGCCGCCAACACTTCCTCATCCTTGAACTTCTTCCCAACCAACTGCAACGCAATCGGCGCCCCAACATACCGCTCAGGGCTATACTTCTTCCACTCCCTCTCATCAACCGCATTCCTCGGCTGGTACCCCTCCTCTGCTTTATCAAGCTCTTCATCAACGACCAGTCCACTCGGAAACACAACAGCCGGCTGATCGAGTACATTCCAGATAGCCGTGTAGTTCCAGTACTGTGGCTCGCCAACCACAGCCGCAACGCCCAGATACGTCGGTGTGAGGATGAAGTCGACGCCGCGGGATTTCATGAGCGCGTGGTATTCGTCGCGGTAGTGGTCGCGCGCGTAGTTTAGGGACCAGTTCTCTGAGACGGTGAGGGGGGTCCCGGAGGAGTATCGGAAGGCCCATTTGGTGAGGGGGAGGTAGGGTTCGCCGGATTGCTTGAGGATGGTCTGTTGGGATTCTGTGCCGTCGGCAAAGTACATGGCGGACTGTTCGTTTATTAGCTTGGTACTGTGTATTGGGACCTTGATATGATACGCACCACTATGTCCCAGCCGTGGTTGTGCTTGTAGGGCTCCCAGTCGACAATTTTGATACCGGCTGCCATTAGCCTTTCTTTGGCATATTGCAATGCTCTGATAATTGGTGGATGAGGACGGACTGATCTAGTCGAATGTTCAGTGATATACTCCACCAAAAGCTTATAGAAAGCAAACATACCCATCATCCCACATAATCCCAACAGTAATGTCTCTCGTCGGCGTAACCCTCCTCCAAGGCACCGGGACCAAGCTCGTGTCAATATCCCACGGCTCCTGATCAATAATAACCCGCTGAAACAACTCCAAATCTTCAATACTCTGGCTCGCCAATGGCCCAAGTACAGCTCTAATCGACTCTTGTCCGCCCCCAGCGGCTCTAATCCCGTTCAAAGAGTTTCTCAATGCCGTCGTTTTCAATCCATACGAACCGCAAAAGGCAGCAGGTGCACGAATGGAGCCTCCGATATCCGATCCGACGCCTAGAGGCGCGCATTTGAAGCCTGTGGAGGCGCCTTCACCGCCTGATGAGCCTCCCGGGGTGAGGGTTCGGTTGTGCGGGTTTAGAGTCGTTCCGGTGAGGTTGTTGCTGCAATCGAGGTGCTTTGCTTTTTAGCTTTAGCTGTGACTAAAGGGGCTGTTTGGAGTACCATGAGAGATTGTGGTTGGTTCGTGCGGACGTGGAAGATAGCACCGGCTTTCTCCAGACATTGCAGGAGTAAGGCGTCTTCGGTGGCTATTTGGTCGGCCCTGGATTTTGTTAGCTGAAACATTCGTGTCGTAGGGGATCATCATACCATGCCACAAAGCCTGCATTGCAAGTCAACCCTTTGATCCCAACATGCTCCTTGACGCTGATCGGGACGCCATGCTACATCATCAGCCCCATCAAGAAATACACATCTGCGTATCTACTTACCAACGGCCCAATTAGCTTCCCTGTCTTCTGATGATACTCATCCAGCTCCTTAGCTCGTGAAATGGCCTTTTCCGCCATAAACTCCGTCGCAAAGTTGAACTACCCAAACGTCAGTAAGGTAACCTCTATCCACAGTCCAAGAAGACGTACCAACTGATGACCTAAAACAGACCTCTTCAAGAAAGCAACCACGACCTCCTCAGCACTCAACTTGCCTGCTCCGATTTCCGCCACGAGCGCCGTAGCAGACAGTTCGGTGGTGTCGAGTTCTCGTTCAGTCAACAACCCGCTCTTGCGCGGGAAGTCCAACACGCTCTTCTCATCCGCGGGGGGTAGTTTGTCTTTTGGGAGGAGCCATTGCTTGGGGATTGAGCTTTCGAGGATGTCTTTCGCTTTGCGGGCTTGGAGTTCCCAGGGTTGAGGTTGAGACATGGTTATAGTATAGTTGGTCAATCAGGGAAATTATTGATTGAGAGGGTGTACAAAGGACATAAGGGAAAAGAAAGAAAGAGCCCAAGAAAGAGTCGTAAGCATCATTATATGTAGTACATATGGCCCCGTAGATCCAATATGTCAAGATTTCCCCTCATCCAAGAAGACCCCCGCATCTCAAAAGCCTAGCATCAATGAAGCACCCAAGTGGATATCGGCACCATTCCTTATCTACAACGAAGTTTGTGCTTCGGTAACTCACCAGCATAATAGATTGATAGCCGTGTGCATAAATTGTTGTGCCAAATATGTTATAGACATTCAGGAAGGTGATCCTACCGGACTATCAGAATCGATTCCGTATCTTAGATTGTCAAAGATAAAATTGGGAGATCGAATTAGAAATATAGAACAAGGAAAGGAAAGAACAAGAAAATTCTATCTTAGGATTCATATGCGATTTCCATTTAATGACATTCTATCCATAAAACCGAGACCCAGCATCGCCATCACATATCGATATACAACCACCCTCTATCCACAACAAGTCAAATCTTCACAAACCCGACTACACACAACCTGGCACTTCTCCAAAGATTTTCTCCGCAGATACTGCATCTCCTCAGATTCCTGATCTTCCTTCACAGGGATATGCGACGTAATCTCGGGCTGCAGCGTCACCGAATGAATCCCGTATTCGTGGAAACATTCATTCATGGTCTTTGCTATTTTCAAGAATTCGGGCATTGTGTTCTCTGAGACGACGACGTGGACGGATGCTAGGACTTTTTGTTGGTTGAGGCGCCAGATGTGCAGTTCGTGAATGGCTAGGACGCCGGGGATCTATGAGGGTGGTTAGTTTGTGTTTGTCAAGGACCTTACAGGGGTGATTCTGGTTACCAATTCCAGATCGTGCTTAACGTCGTCTACGCTGACTCCATTGGGGAGGCTCTCCAGTAGGATGTGACCGGAGTAGCGCACTGTTTATGGTCAGCAAATGTCACAATACAAAGGCATCAATGGAAGTGACATACTCAAAGGAAGCGACGTTAAAATAATCATAATCCCAATTCCCATACTCGTCCCCGGATCCGCATAATATCTCCCCTCATAATGCGTGTGCCAAATTACCAAGGCCGCTGCCATGACCCCCAAGTTATTCGCTGCGTCGCCCATGACATGTAGCAGCACTCCCATCATTCCCAGATCGCGGCCGCTGGAAGCTGTCTTTTCTTGATATTGATGCTTGTGACCATGATGCTGTTCCGGTTAGTATCGATACAAAATGTCGAGACGATGGACTCACCTTGCAAGCAATGTCCCGGAATTCAGATTCTGCGACGCTAATGCTCTCTTCGAGCATCTGGGGATTTTGGACACGGCCATGCTCATGATCATGGCTGTGGCCGTGACCGTGACCGTGCCCGTGGTGATGATGGCCATGATGTTCTGCGCATCGAATTAGTCCCTGTCTCAACCACCGAGTACCATAATCACATACCATGCAAAAACAAGGCACTGAGAATATTCAACCCAAACCCAACACATCCCATAATAAATATCAACTTCGGATTCTCCACGCCTATTACCAACGTCAGCGTCCAAACCACCCCGCATCCACGTATCTCGAAACCAACGTTGAAGTGACACGAATCGCTCAACCGACTGCAGGAAGATGCTAATCCCCAACGCAAAGAGAAGGGCGCCGTTGAAAAATGCACCCAGCAACTGGGACCGTTGCCAGCCGAAGGTGAGGGATTTGGGCGAGTCATCTCGTTCGGAGACCTGATATTGAGGTCAAGTCAATCTTTCCATATTCCCAATCTCTGGAAAATGGGTAGTGGATGCTTACCTTAACAGCAACCAAAGCAACAATAAACCCCACGAGATCATTTAACTGACGTCGAAGTCAGTTATCAATCACACATTGCAAAATCTCCGACGCATCCGGACTGAAACATACATAGTGAAACGCATCTGCCACGAGAGCTAGAGAATGCGTATAGAAGCCAACTGGAATAAGTGAGAGGAAGTCAGCAATTCAACCAATGAAATTTTCATCTGATCCAAACGGCCTTTGATTCCCCCAGCCAGCTCATCCCCAAGGGAAATGAAAAGAAACAAAGAAAAAAAAAAAAAAAAAAAAAAAAAAAAAAAGGGCAAGAGATGCATACCGGAAATCTCAGCCAGAAAGAAAATAGACGCGATCCCAATCACAGCCGTTAAGCGCTGAGAACGCGATATCCGTATTGCCATATCCGATTGATTCCAAATTGAAACAAAGTCGCATGCACAAGAGAGACAGATCCAAATCCAGACGTCGTCCTCCTATATCATACGTTTTTCCAAGGGAGAAGAAGAGGGTAAGTAGGAAGAGACGCCCTCTCCCAGTGACGAAACAAAATACCTGCCAGATACTTAGCTTAGCTCCCTTCTAGGCAAGATATCTGAAGAGTCATTTCCCATTTCTCCTTTTCCAGCTTGCCTTCATTTTGCTTTCATTGTCAATGCGCAAATGCGCATCTCCGGCTATTTTCTTGCGTATGCCGTGTAACACGCTAGCTCTGTGGTATGCGGCTTGCATTACTGGCGATGCAATGCCGCTGCTCGAGAATGTAGATGATGCGATCCCACGGCAACGCTTTTGTCGATCCGGATTATCTATTTGCACATGTGTGGCAGCATGCCTGGGATTCCTGTTCTGCACGGTCTGTCAGGCATGAGTTGATATCATGAGTCTAAATTGCTGCATGCCTGCGTATCGGTCATTTCTCCCTCTGACCATGGTTGTGCAATGAGCCCCTGTATACCGTTAGATCTGGAGGATGCTTGCATTAGAATCATGTGCCGTTTCGAGAGCTATCACTGCTGAGAATACCTTGGTGGTTCCTCGGCCGGTGGTAGTATATATGTAGTACATCGGTAGCACTTGCGCGGGATTTCAAAACCTTCGGGGACGGACAACGGCAGTGAACTGTGTTTCAATGTATACTATGCATAAATTCCAACTGGAATGCGAGGACCTGTGAAAGTGACATCAAAATTAAACAGCAGTACTAAGCTATTATTTCAATGTCCCATCAAGCATTGTTTAGTCACTAGCCCGTAATAATATTAGCCCTTAATCTCAGTGAGCATGCAGTATATAAATTGTCACTTGCCCTCACACTACTATTCCTTCTTCTCTTCTCACCCTCTCATTCCTTAGTCTGCCTCAATGCCCCCCTCTTCAATCCCTGAATCGATTGCTATATAAATCAAAATACAGTTTTCTTTATGTCAACTACGATTGCTCAGTATGATGTATTAGGCACTATTCTGAGTGAATGGAGAACCGGCGCGGATGTGTCAGTCTGGATCAGGCAAACACCGGTACCAAAGTATCGATACTGAGGTATATGGTTTACTGAGCTCATAGATGGAGAACCAGGCGACTTATTCATTACCCAAATAGGAGTATCCTGCATACGACTATACCTATCTAGCGATACGATATCGACTCGTGACCATCAACCAACTACAAGTACTAAAGGAAATAATTGCGAAAGAAGTTCAAAGAGACAATAAGAATGGAAAGTGCATAAAGCATGTATGCATTGGCCATAGTTAAAGCCATAGTTCCCCGATCCTATCAGTATCCATCATATTCGTATCCACCAGTGGATACGATCAGGGCGTACGTTCCGGATCACTACGACTACCTATCGGCTTACCGATTGACTCATCCTTGTTCGCTCGACTCAGCCTTGTCTCCATAACAGGAGGACCAACGAATTACAAAAATCGCGCATCTAAATCAGAAATGAGAGCAAATGTTGATGTTTGAATTAAACTGTACATAGACCTTTGGTCCCGGAACTCCAGGCTACTTAAACGGGGGCAAGGGACGACATAACCCTTGTTAACCAAAAAAAGAAATTGTGTCAGTTTGTCTTCAGTCTCGATTAGTCACAATTAGCACTTCGTCATGAGCATCTACTCCGCGCTAATACTACTGGTGTGGTCATGTATGTTCATATCGGCGACGGCGATATCGTCGCAAAACGTGGGCAACATCACCCTGTACGGGCCCGATCAACTAGACAGTCAAGTGTCACGTGGTTTCTTGGATTGTCTTCGCAACACCGGTGTCGAGTATAATATCTATGTCGACGAGGACGGGACCACGGTGGTAGTGCCGACGGCGAACCGAGACGTGGACTTCGACGGCGAAGACCGAGAGCTTCTCAGGTGTATCATGGATGTAAATCATCGCATGAAAGTGGCTGCCAAATCAAGCGAGTACTACCAACGCGAACATGAGAGTGCGGTTCCCAGCAGGTCCACCACGCATGAGTGGTTGAGCGAGCAGGATGCGCTAGGCAAAACACCGATTGGCACGCGGCCTGCTAAGACACATCTGACGGGCGATTTCAGTGGAGGAGCTGCGGCCACGGGCAACGGGATAAGTATTAGATGGAGGAGAAGAATCGAATTGATGGCCCTTTCGCTACGCTACTGGACGTATGCTTCAGACTATACTGGTTAATAGCTACGCTTCGCCGTTTTACAGTGTACAGTTTGAGAACATGGATAGTTCTGTATATTTAAACATGGGGATCTGGCCACATAATGATTGCGGAGAAGGCAATGCGAGATGGCTCATGATTAATCCTGGCACTTTCGCGGAGTGTATCAACAGGAAAACATACTCATATTCAGTCCCTGTCCACCATGCGGTCTTCCTGAACAGTGTCATAAAGAACCCAGAGTCAGGGCTAACCTAATTCTTTCTCGAAAATGAAGTTGAACTCTCACAATAACAAAACCCTTGTCAATCAAAAATCTATAGCCTATGCCAAAGATTACATCCCCATACCTTTCTGAAATCCTGCAAGAAACCGGTACAACCAGCTGAGGTAGAATCTTTCACATCTTCATTATACAGACTAAAAATATATATAGGTATCTCTAAACTAAATCAAGCAGCAATCTGATCACTCAATCCATCCAACTCTCTCTGCCAGTTACGGTGTCTCGAAATATGCCAGATGAACTGCTCTGCAAAACCCTTCGAGTCCTTGGATACATCCGAAACCTTAAGCAAGTTGCCGGGGATTCCGTGACCAGTAACCACACCGTAACTCTCTGTCACATTATCCTTCGATGCAGCAGCGAACTTGACAGCATCCAAGTCGATCTGTTTCGCGATGAAACCGACAGCTTCGTTCAAACCAGCAATTGCCTTGAGGTGTGCAAATGATTCTGTGATCCAGTACTTGGCCACTCCGTTCTTGCGAAGCGCTTCGATATGCTTGCCGCCGGGGATAAAGACCGCATCGAAGAGAGTCGACCGCATGCCTGAGAAGTGGTGGTCGGGGATGACAGTCTCGCCAGATTCGGCTTGGACACCCTGGCGCTGAGCGCCAATGGTGAATACGAAGGCATTCTGCTTCTGAAGCACTTCTTTGATGGTCGTGTAGGTGGTGTAGTCAAAACCGTCGGCTAACAGGACAGCAATGCGACGGGTTGCGATGGTTGGGGTTTCCGGGAGGTATTCCAGCTGACTCAGGCCCTTTGCCTTTTGACCCTTGTTTTCTTTTGGAGCTTTTGTGGGCTTGTCACCGCCTACATTCTTCGCAACGGTCTGTGCTAAGTCAAGGTCAATGTAAGTCAGACGCTCCGACATGCGCTTGTAAACGGTAGGGTCATCGCAGTGGTCCAGCTCGAACGAGAATGCCTTGGCGGAGTGAATCTTCTCGATATCAGAGAGGGAGTTGTAGTACAATTGGGCTTGGTTGTAGTGTTCCTTGAATTTGTGAGAAAGCATGCGAGCTTTCTTACCCTGAATCTTCTCAGGGTACGAAGTAAAGCCGCCCTCGGATTCCGGCGCGGGAGGATTGGCTTCGAAGCGGTTGGGCCAATAGTTGACCTTGCCCTTGGTGATACGGTGTTTCATGGCCCCATCGCGGTTAACAAGGCTCAGATACGGGCATACCGGCCGGTTGATCGGCAGCTCTTGCCAGTTAGGGCCCAAGCGGGAGAGCTGCGTGTCAAAGTAAGAGAAATTCCGGCCCTGAAGCAAAGGATCGTCGGAGAAATCAATGCCAGGCACGACGTGGCTGGTGCAGAACGCAACCTGCTCAGTTTGAGGGAAGAATTCATCAACATTTCGGTTGAGTTCAAGTTCACCAAAGTACTCGATGGGCACCAGATCCTCAGGCCAGATCTTGGTCGCGTCTAGAATGTCGAATTCGAAGTCGTCTTGCTTTTCTTCGGGGATAACCTGCATGCCAAACTTCCACTTGGGGAACTGGCCGGCATCAATGGCATCCATGAGGTCCTTGCGGTGGAAATCCGGATCCTGACCGCCGATCTTCAAAGCTTCATCCCATACCAGGGAGTGCACACCAAGCTCGGGGGTGAAAATAAACTTCACAAAGTGACGCTTGCCCTCGGAGTTAACCAAGGAAAAAGTATTGACACCAAATCCTTGCATCATCCGGTATGAACGAGGGATTGCCCTATCAGACATGATCTTGGTTTGTCAGCAATTGCACCTTAGCTTCTCGAGAGTATCACATACCCATTGTTGCATATGCGAGGTTTCCGTGTGCATATAGGCAAAATCCCAGAAGTTGTTATGCGCACTCTGTCCCTGGGGAATCTCGTTATGCGGCTCCGGCTTCACGGAATGGACAACGTCCGGGAATTTTATAGCATCTTGGATGAAGAAAACCGGGATGTTGTTTCCAACGATATCCCAGTTACCTTCGGGTGTATACATCTTCAGTGCGAAACCACGGACATCCCGGACAGTGTCTGCACTGCCCTTGCTCCCCTGGACAGTCGAGAAGCGCTGGAACAATGGAGTCTCGCGAGATGTGTCAGTCAAGACACCTGCTGTCGTGTAGTCCTTTGCGCTTTTGTGGAGTCTAAATGTACCAAATGCTCCGGTACCACGGGCATGAACAACACGCTCTGGGATACGCTCATGGTCGAAGCGCATAATCTTTTATCAGTTAGTAGCTATTCTCGCCAATTCAGCAGGCATTTCGGGGTCCAACCTTCTCCCGAGCAATCTGATCCTCTAGTAACGAGGGGCCACTGTGGTTTTCATCGGCCACGCGCAGCCAGTTATCCGCGTTCGAGATCTTAATCCCATAGTCGGTAGTCATGTGTTTCTTGTTGTCGATCTCGACCGTGTCCTTTTGAAGGTCAACGACCTTGGCGTCTGACGATGTCATGGTGGAATGCAGTTATGTGAGTCTAACAGGGGTATAAAAATAAGAATCGTTAAATCGTTAACAGAGACAAACAATGAACCACTACACTCAGCGGAAACCAGTCCATATAAGTACTACATCCAGTTGGCACATTTCTAATTCTCACAGGCCGGACCTTCTTTACGTCAATCTGTCCAATGATGTAACGTTTCTAATCCGCCGTTAGATCTCGATAATCTGGGGTTACTCGACAGACGCACTCAGACGAATTCGTTAATTAGCAGCTGGGCTCTAGACCACTGATCGCCTTAGGGGTATGGCCCATTGGCGCAGAGTCGATATGTAATCAGCGTTCCTTTCGACCCAGCTAAAGTGCCCAGAGGTACGGAGTATAGGGGTATGTGGAGAGTGAGGGGGGAGAAAACAAGGAACAGGAACGGTCCGCATTGTAGACAGGGCAGAAGTGACGTTTTCGGACGAGAATCTCGACAGGTGGAAGTTAGTAATGCGACGCCGTTCAGGGAGACGTTGTCTTTCTTGATTCGGATGGATGACGTCATTGATATTCCTTCCCGATTTAGAACACCAGCCAGAGCAAATCATGAGAGGCCGATTGATCAGCAACAGTATGTAGAGTAGCACTGTACACACGTGTACAGAGTAGTATCGCAGAGTATCACTGCATCGTACATTGCAATAGTATACAGCGTCATGTTCTAGCAATGTCTCTGGCCCCGTCTAGCCTGTCTACATAGTATATACACAGGGACCTTATGTACAACAAAATAGAATAGAAAAGAAGGGAAGCCTACACCTTGTGCTCGCTCTGTTTGTCATCCACAAACATCCCAACACCCAGTCCTCTCTCTACCCACTCCTTGCTGCCCATCTCTGCTAATCGGGAGAGCGCACGAGCAAAAGCGAACCGCTCCTCATCACCGCTGAATATCGAAGTAGACTTGAGAGCCTGCACGGAGAGACCCAGGTCGTCCATCATCATACGCATCGCATCCGAGAGATCTTCGCCGTCACCAGTGGAACTCTTGGCTTCGGATTCGGAGATAAAGAGGTGAGAAAGAGGGACCTCGGTCGTGAGCACTAATTTGGCCTATCGTGAGTCAGCATGTAACGTCTTGCATGGTTCATGCGCGATGACTTACCCTGCCCTCATAAACGGCATCGATGAACGTGATGAATCTCCGCGCCAAATCCCGTTCATTGATGGACATCCCAGGGACATCAGTCACGATAAAGGCATCGTAGTTTCGAACCAATTCGATATAATCGGCCGCACCGGTGGCACTCCCCAGCAGCTGCTGGAACTTGAACTGCGCAGCGCGGCCACTGGCCAGGGGAACCTCAATCTTGCGTCCCCAGACCTCCTGCGTCGCAGGGTGTGGAGGGTCATTGACCGTATCACCCAAGAAGTCGAACCATTTTTGCACATGCTGTTCTGCCTCAGGTCCGAGCGGATGATGGTAAACACCGGATGGTGGACGGGGGATTTTACGGTAGTCTGTGGGTGAGTTGAGATTGATCACGCCCAGCGCTGTCTTCAGGAGGTTGATGCAGGGGATGAATGACTCGCGCTGGATACCGTTCTTGTACAATTCATCTGGATGTCTGTTGGAAGTCGTCACAAGAACAACTCCGTGAGACATGAGAAAGTCGAGAAGCCTTCTCAAAATCATGGCATCCGCAACATCTGTACACTGAAACTCGTCAAAGCACAACACACTGGATGCCTCAGCAATATCCGCAGCCACCAAAGGCAATGCATCGATATCATTGCCGTGCTTCATCTTTGCTTGATGCATGCGCCTGTGTACATCCTGCATAAAGTTGTGGAAGTGAATCCGTGTCTTGGCCCCGATGTTCGGCGGCAGCGTTTCGAAGAACAAGTCCATGAGCATGGTTTTCCCACATCCAACATCACCGAACATATACAGGCCCTTGGGGAGGTCTTCGGGGATGGTCGGTTCGTCGGACTTTTTGCCGCCGCCAAACAGAGAACCGAATAACGATTTCTTGGGCTGAATATCGAGCGACTCAACGCTGGGGTGGTTGACCTTAGGCGGGGTATACGACTTGAGGTTCTCGAAAAGAGCCTGGAGACTTTCAATGATATCTGAAGTACGAATTTAAGGGTCAGCTGTCGCCCACACTAATCACCAATCCCAATCCATGGCACCTACGTCTCTGATACGGGTCACTCCTCAATCGTCCCTGCGCAATGCGATCCTCATATTCCTTCAACGGGCCATCCTCCAGTACAGTCTTCGATCCCTCGGTTTCTCCCTTATTCTCGCCCGCTGTCGCAAACTGTCGCACATGCTCGCAAGGCCACGGCAAACCCTTCATATTACCACACTGACGCACATCATGACCCGGTATGTAGCCCACCGGTCGACGTCCTTGCACACCATGTAGACCCCTCCTGGACTCCGCAATGCGCACTCGTCTTGGTGTACCCCGCCGCGGAACAGGCGCTGCGGGAAGCCCTCTAGGCCTAAGTGCGCCAGGCAGGCAATCCGCGCAAAGTCTTGCAGTTGGCCGGCTCATTGGGAATATCCGTAAATCGTTTATATGCAGGTAGCCGCCTTATCGTACAATCTTCCCAATCCAGCCTCTGGGGAATCCTGGTAACCGAGGTTCCTCGTCGGAGATCGGGAGCAACGAACTGGTCCGGCAGGGTAGTAGGAAAATCAGGCCAAAAAAAAAAAAAAATAAAGACAAAAACAAAGAGCGAATTCCTCTCAACAGGAAGGATATGTCCAAGCATAAAGAACGAAATATGAAATACGAATCGAGGATCTTCAGAATATCCCACGAGCGAATTATTGGAGTAATTGCGGCGAAAAAGAACCGCAGATAAAGTCATGTGACTGTGGGTCGGCAATTGTAGCGGAATTTATTATTGTGGAGCATAGTATGCATACTTCAGACACAAGAGCTGTTTTGCCGTATCTTTTCCTTCTTTTCTTTCTTTCTTTCTCTTTCTCTTTTCTTTACTCTTCTCAAGGCTTAATAAACTTATAGGGATAAAATGGGGCGTATATAGTAACGTGGGACCATGGTGGTCGAGTAGTTAAACTGGAGCCTTCGTCTGCTTGCTGCACGACCAGTCGAGTTCGAACCAGGGTGTGGCCACTGAAGTGGGCAAGGTGTACCTTTGCCATTCGAGCGCGCGCCATCGTGGGATGCTACGGAGATAAATGTGCACCTTTATCTTTTTGTCTTCCCCCTAAGTTGTCTTCCCTTTCTTTTCATAGGAGTAACGTATTGTAATTACACGAGCCCGTGACTCAAACACTGCAAACACTTATCGATAAGGCATCGCTGAGATGCCACCACTTTTGGTTTTCTTTTTTTTTCTATATATACACATAAACTTGCCATAGCTTAGCATCTCTCGATTGTTGATGAAAATCTCTTCCACTTGGCGGATACGCACACCATATAAGTATCCCATTATAACAGGATCTCCCAAGTATAAAAGTGCAGCCCTGCGCGGGGCTCGAAGCATAGTCATGTCGACAACTGTTACGGAGCACACATCAATGCCTTCTGCATTGGAATTTGACGTCCATGCCAAATGTTCTGTAAGTATCTATAACTCTGGCAGCCGGTATGCCAGCTCTCACAGCATGGTTTGACACTAACATCCTTCATAGACAACCAAAGCTCGGGCAAGCACACTGCGTCTACCGCACGGGTCTGTCTCATTGCCCATATTCATGCCTGTTGCGACACAGGCATCACTCAAAGGCCTGACATATGACCAACTCAAACAGACAGGATGCATGCTGTGTTTAAATAACACGTACCATCTGGGGCTGAAACCGGGACAAGCAGTCCTGGACCAAGTGGGCGACGCACACAAGTTGCAAGGATGGGATCGAAATATCCTAACTGACAGTGGCGGGTGAGCTTGCTTATATTATTGGAATTCTGTGCGAGTTTAACATATTCGTCTCCTAGGTTCCAAATGGTCTCGCTGCTGAAACTTGCAAATGTTACCGAAGAAGGTGTTCGGTTCCTCAGCCCTCATGACGGCTCGCCTATGTATGTGGTCCAGGAGGGTGCCATTGAAACTATCTGACAAAGAGCACTCCAGGCTCCTTACCCCCGAACATTCCATTTCTCTGCAAAATTCAATTGGATCAGATATCATCATGCAGCTAGATGATGTGATTGCAACTACATCACCGGATCATGCGAGGATCGAGGAAGCTATGGAGCGGTCCGTCCGATGGTTAGATCGATGCATAGCAGCACACAAATATCCCGAGAGACAGAATCTGTTCTGTATCATCCAGGGCGGCTTAGATCTGGACCTGCGGAGAAAGTGTTGCGCTGAGATGGTCGCGCGAGATACACCGGGAATTGCTATCGGAGGACTTTCCGGCGGTGAGGCCAAAGAGGATTTTTGTAAAGTGTACGCCTGTTTTGTTTGATCATGAGTTCAATACCGGCCATACTAATATCTGTCACATAGGGTGGATATCTGTACCGGGTTACTTCCAGAGGGAAAACCACGATACGTGATGGGCATCGTGAGTTTGATGCTGCCAGCTTCTCTTAGGTACACGCTAAATTGCTTATTAGGGCTATCCTGAAGATCTGATCGTCGCAACCGCACTCGGCGCAGATATGTTCGATTGTGTCTGGCCGACGAGAACGGCGGTAAGTCGTGGTACTTTTGGTCGGTGAATAACTTTACTGATGCGGCCATAGCGATTTGGAAACGCTGTTAGTCCAAATGGTACCCTTGACCTTCGGCATCACTCCTTCGCAGACGACTTTGGCCCGGTTGTGGAAGGGTGTAATTGCGCCTGCTGCACGCCTCGAGATAAGGGCGGGCTAGGAATTACCAGAGCATATATTCATCATCTGGCTTCGAAGGAGACTGTCGGTGCTCATCTGTAAGTGTACATTCCTTCATTCAAGTCTTGAATAATCGTTGCTCACGAGTTACCAGCCTCACCATCCATAACGTCCATTACCTCCTTGCCCTTATGGGGTCTGTCCGACAAGCTATCATTGAAGATAGATTCCCTGCTTTCTTGCGCGGGTTCTTTAGCAAGCTCTACGGGGATAAATCAGATTACCCGGATTGGGTCGTTGGAGCGCTCCGGAAAGTTGGTGTTGACTTGCTCGCGGATTTAGCATATTCTACTTGATAAGAGTCATCTCATTTCGCAGTTTTCATACAAGTAAAGCAAAAAAAAAAAAAAAAAAAAAAAAAAAAAAACGTTTTGATTGTTTACCAGCTGAGCATGCATTCAGATAGCCCTTTGCTAGCATATGGTGGTTACATCTAAAGTTTTGAAGATTTGAGAATGCCGGAATGATTGATATGCATTCCTTCTCCTCTCTCAACACTCCGTGTTTTTCAATTCAATCAATCCTATCATCGCATAGTGATCTAGCGAAAAATAACTACACAAAATAGGGGCGCCTGATGCCAAAATTACCAGTATCGTAATGGTAATATAGATTGGCTTATCAGTCATGTGACCTCGCGGCGCGTCGCGTCCCCGCGTTTGGAAAAATGACTTCGAGTTCCCCTCGCAGACAATCAAACCACTTCTGTTTTAAGGACACCAGCTTGAGATTGTAAATGATCATTCCGCCTTTACAGAACACCAAACCTCATCGCTGCCCTCTGCTGAGCCGATAAATACGATTACCAACATCATGACCGTCACTCCAGAGCAAAAAGCGCAGGCTCCCTCGTCCCCGCCGCACAACCCCTCCCACGAAGAACACCAGTACTTAAACCTCATCCGCACCATCCTCTCCGAGGGCGAGCATCGTCCCGATCGCACTGGCACCGGAACGCGATCCATCTTCGCGCCCCCGCAGCTACGCTTCTCCCTGTCCAAACCGGGCCCTACACCTTCCTCCGACCCGATCCCCGTCCTGCCCCTCCTCACAACCAAGCGCGTTTTCCTGCGCGCCGTCCTGGCAGAACTGCTCTGGTTTATCTCCGGAAGCACATCATCAATCCCGCTTTCTGAAGCCGGGGTCAAGATCTGGGATGGAAATGGCAGTCGGGAGTTCCTGGATAAGGTTGGACTTGGACATCGGGAGGCTGGCGACTTGGGACCTGTCTATGGGTTCCAGTGGAGACATTTCGGGGCGGAGTATGTTGATGCGAAGACTGATTACAATGGTCAAGGATATGACCAGCTGGCGGACGTGGTGCGCAAGTTGAAGGAGACGCCGTTTGATCGGCGCATTATCATGAGTGCTTGGAACCCAGCGGATCTGAAGAAGATGGCCTTACCGCCGTGCCATATGTTCGCTCAGTTCTATGTGTCTTATCCCCCGTCGGCTGAAGGTGAAGGCAGGAAGAAGGGAACTTTGTCTTGTCAACTGTACCAGCGGTCGTGTGATATGGGTCTTGGTGTTCCATTCAACATCGCTTCCTATGCGCTTTTGACGCATATCCTGGCGCACGCGACGGACCTGAACCCGGGAACGTTGATCCACACTATGGGTGATGCTCATGTCTATCTTGACCACATCGACGCTCTGAATGAGCAGCTTGCTCGCGAGCCTAACGAGTTCCCGGAATTGAAAATCAAGCGTGATGACCGGGGAAGTGGTGTCGTTGATGGCTGGAAGGATGATGAGTTTGAAGTGATTGGCTACCAACCTCACAAGGCGATCAAGATGAAGATGAGTGTGTAGATTACGCTCCTTTCTGTTCGGAAACATGATACCAGGATGTCAAGAATGTACATTATTTATACGCCATATAATAAGAAATACTACTTTGTGCTCTATCTCCAAGTCTATTCGGAGTTAGTATCTTATCTCCAGATCAGAAGATCACACCGCCACATCTGGAACGTTCTCCATATCTGCGCCACTGCGCTGAGTCATGTCTCCGCAGACGCCAGCGCCTTCCGGCCATTTCCAGGCATTCATCTCCAATTCATTCGTCTTCAGGCAGGAACGTTGTCTCCTACTTTCTTTCATTTCATATCATTACATCTACCATTATAGGCATCGCATAGCTTATAGGCAGCCGGATTCCTTCCTACTTATACCTCCCTCTTTCTCCTCTCCTTCCTCCTCTCCTTCTCTTCTTCTTTCTCCAACCAGCAGCACAGGTATCTTCTGTGCTGCCGTCTCTACCATCACCTTTGCTTTCGCATTTTCTTTCACTGTCGCTTTTACTTTGCTATCCTCCTTTCATCTTATCCTATCTAACTACCTCTTTAATCCGATACATCCCTCACCATGGCGCCCATCTCCATCTCCAAAGGAGCCGCCAAATCGAATACCGAATACACCAACCAACTAGCCGACAAAGACCTCGAAACCATCGGCCGTCACTGCCAGTTCGAATTCTGCGGCCAACTCGACTTCCTCCCCTTCCGCTGCGGCTCCTGTGAGGGCACATTCTGCCTGGATCACCGCAGTGAAACAGCACACAAGTGCTCCCGAGCAGGAGAATGGGCACGACGAAGGGCAGGCACCGACAAAGTCGAGAGCAGCACACCTATCGAGAAACCGAATATCTACAATTCGGACCAGTGCGCGCATTTGTCGTGCAAGACGCTTATTAACACGTTGAAGGACCCCGGCGTGCAATGTCCCAACTGTAATAGGCAGTATTGTTTGAAGCACAGGTTAAAGGAGGAGCACGACTGTGCGAAGATGACACCGTTGGGCGCCCGGCCAGCTGGGGCTGGGGCCTCTGCGAACGAGACGTTGCGGTCTATGTTTTCGCGAGTGAGGACTTGGAGCAAGGAGAAAAGTCAGGCGGCTACGACAACGACAACGACAACAAAGCCGAGGCCAAGTGGCCCTGCAGCGCTGAATACAATGAAACGCACCGCGAAGGGAGACGCTGGCGTCCCCACGGAGAGACGTTTATATCTGCACGTTGTGGGGACCTGTGATACGGAGAAGAACGAGCCGCCTGCTGCCGATCTTTATTTCGACACGAGGTGGAAGGTTGGACGGGTACTCGACGACGCCGCAAAGCGGTTACACGTCAAGAATGACAATAACCGCGTTGGTGAAGAGGGGCGGTTACGTATCTTCCACGTCGAATCAGGAGATTTCCTCGAATTTTCGGAGGCAATTGGTGGAGGAAATGTCAAACAGGGACATACTATCGTCATGTTGAGAGGAGCGGGCGTCATGCTGGGGAAGTAAACCCTGTGTGCGTGGTTCATTTTTCCGGCTCGCTGTTTCCATCTGCATATGACATCTCAGATTTGCATTTACTTGTGTGTTGCATGTATGAGGAACCTCTAGTGTGTGGAGGTTACATCTTAATTTTCTGTATATGTGTGTGTGCTATTCCAAATGAATACCCATCAGATTTGGATACAACGAAATACAAGTATCCATATCCTTTATCTGAAGCATCATTTCCTCTCCATAACATGGTCCGTAGACCACAAGTCAAGAAAGTAAGCCCTATTATAGACAGGTTCTATACTATACATCCCTCCATCCATATACCCGTCCTAATAGTAACCCCTAACCCATTCATTGTGCAAAAGCTCCCAAGCATCAGCCCTCTCCTCAGGCACCCAGCACATGGCCTTCCGTATAAACCTCAGAAAAACCATCTTATCCTCCCCTTCGAGCTGACACTCTCGATCTTCAAGTGATCTTTCGGGTACCGGGACAGCACCTCGCCAGTTTCCTGTTGTATATAGTTAGCAAACGACATCCTATAAGGCTTGGTAGACTTGCCGTGTTCATCCCAGTACTTGAGACTCTCATCACTCCGGCGGAGGAATTCGAGTGGCGGTGGACCAAGGAGGGAGATTATCTCCGCGAAGCGATGAGCGTGGTCGAGGTCTGTTTCGAGGGGTCGATTTGGGAATAGATGTCCTTTCTCGAGCAAACTCCATGCCTGCATATCCATAGGTCCGTCATCACTAAGCAACGTATCATAAACCATTAAAAAGAACATACCGTCTGCCCCACCGCCCATATATCAACCCTCTCATCCCAATCCATATCCAACAATACCTCCGGTGCCCTGTAAGCAGTTGGCATAATGAGGTCGTTTTGTTTCTGGCTGTTTTGGATTAGTCGTGCCTCGCCGAGATCACAGACGACGGGCTCGCCGGTTGTTATAGGCATAGGGCGGGAAGTGTAGATTGTGCGGTTGTGGAGTGGTTTGCAGGGTGTTGGGTTGGTGGCTTCTGCGGTTGCAAGTTCGTCGAGGATAGGTTCGTTGTCGTCGTCGAGGCCTAGGAGGATGTTGTTTGGTTGGACGTCTGAGCAGATTAGAAAGGGTCATCAATGAAACCATAATAGCTGACCGACCAGTGTGAACAACACCGGACTTATGAAGATGATCCAACGCAACAAGAACATTCCGGACAGCAGTCCTGTGGACAGCCACAGGTAGGGCTCCTTCAAAGACATCCAGCAACTCGGTCATATCCATCCCAGCAGGCTCATAAACAAGACAGTGGTGTACTCCATGCAGCCCTTCAACTTGGAACGAGTCCAGAGCAAAGCGTGTATACTTCTCGCCGCAGTGTCTTTGCCCAATTCCCTTCAGGTGCTTTGTGATTTGCAATTCGCGGATTGGGTGGTTTGTTCGGACGTGAAGTTTTAGGGTTAGATAGCGGTTTTCTCTGGTTGTAATTGTCAGCTGACGCTATTGTTGTCTGTTGTTGGGTCTATGTGACTGACTTTAGATCACGACATAGCCAAATCGTCGAGGTAGCTCCGAAACCAAGCTTGGTAACAACCTGATACCGCGAATTGAAGACCTGACCGAGATGGACTGGATAGTAACGTTCTGCGACGTAGCCATGGAGTGTCTCTTCTTCAATCTCCACAGCAGAATTAATGATCTTCGGCTGCCGGTTAGATACATGAGTTTTAGGACGGGAGATTGTATACGCAGGATGCTGGATTGAAAAGGAAGATGGGGGTTTTATATAGCCTCGACATTGAGGAAAGGTATATGGTGCCCGGACGCGTGGGAGTAGCCTCCAGGCCATGGTTGCTGGTGATGGACTTGTAGGATTCACTTCGAGGTTCGAGTGGTCACATGGTGTCGTGTCACGAGACTTCTAGTATCAACACGGCTCAAGCATTCCCCAGTCCACTCCCTTTTGAGCTAGACGCCCTGAGTTGAAATCCAAGGCGAAGCGTGGTTATCGACACAATTCTTTTCCATTCTAAGTTCAGCACTGAAGCTAGATGACCTCCACCCCTTCCTGCATTGGGACTCAAGCTTCCGTACTCGTGTGAAGGCTCACAACTCTCGAAGTTAAGCATGACTGAAAAACGCCTACTATTATTAGATTGCTACGCGATATTTATTTGAACAGCCAGCTACTCCACAACATAGCCCCCTGATCCTACCAATTATTCATTTCCAAATTCAGGAATATTATCTCTGTTAGTGCCGAGTCAGGCACAAACTATGAAACCCATGCATAGACTGAGATCTGATGAGGAGCATTAAAAAGGCTTTCAGGAACAGGGCGTTGCGGTCTATCTTTAGTATATGGGTGTTTCAGAAACGGAGCTAACTAGACAGCCTTCTCTGTTATTGGTGCTAATCCATGCCTTTCATGTCTACCTGTATAAGTGTTTATTTCCACCAACCACTAGGAGGCCATGGTATGCCCTACGAGGCTGTGACCACTTTTTTCTCTCCTCTTTTCCCGTGCTTGCTTTTTATCGCCTTTATATACCTTCCTTGTGTCACGATAATGGAATGGCTCAAATCGCCCAACCAGCACCATAGACCCCTTCACAACCATCGGTCTAGCTGACAACATTATCAACTTCATTGAATTCGCCTGCAAAATAGTATACGGCGGTTGCCAGATATTAAACTCAGCAAGTGGAATGACCCCCGAGAATACGACATTGAGCGTACTCCTGGATGACCTGAATGCGTAACAAAAGGCCTACTGGTTGACTTACCTGGCCCTAATCGAACCGAGAATGAAGAGGAACTTTGCCGCTTGGCTGCTGCTTGTCATGAGCTTTCTATGGAGCTCGCTGAGGCTCTCAGCCTGTTGAAGGTGACCGACAAGAGGTCAAGGTGGCAGAGCATGAAGGTGAAATGGCGGAATATACGGAAAGAAAGGAATATCGAGGCTATAGAGCGGAGGTTGAGCGAATTTCAATCGTAGATCTTGATTCGTTTACATATCATGATTAGGTATGTCGCCTGGTTATCTTTTTCGTTACCTCATGTTGACAGGCAGCAACAGCGAAGAAAACAACAACCAGCATTCTGCAGTAAGGGCAAAGTTTGACAAAATTGAAAGCGAAGCAAGGCAGCTACAGAAGGAGACGGCAAAACAACTTCATGTTATCCGAGACGAGATCACGACGACAATACAAGCGTTTCAATTGCAATCGAGGCCTGTATCAAGCTCCACGGAGACTTGACAACTCCCCGAGCTTGTCTCATGGATCATTGGGCAAAATAGGCGTCTTGTTAGTAAAGCTTCAAAACGTCACAACTTCTATCTCTAGCGAAAACCACATCCTTCAGCGTCTGATGTTTTCGTTCATGTACCAACGGGAAGATAGCATCAGCGATGCGGTGACTGGAACGTTTGCATGGATGGTCAATGAAAGTGACAATAAAGCGGGGAGCCAGCAAAAAGACATCTTAGAAGATGATGAAGAAACCATGCGACAAAGAACCAGACAAGCATTTCTGACATGGCTCAAATCAGGCCGTCATATCTTTCACATCTCCGGAAAAGCCGGCTCCGGGAAATCAACATTGATGAAATTCCTGGGCCAATCCCCCCGAGTCCAACATGAGCTGCAACGCTGGACCGGAGATAAGCGACTGATCTTTGCACAGTTTTATTTCTGGGGCTCGGGAGACAAACTACAAATGTCTCTCGAGGGCTTGTACAGACCTCTTCTGTTCGAGGTCTTGAGACAGTGCCCTGGATTAATACCGTGGTGCTTTCCTGGATTTTGGAACAATTTGGTGTCTGGAACTGCGCTTTCACACCAGGCCCCATTTCGTTTCGAGGAAATAAAAGCTGCATTCAATCGCTTAATGAGCGAGAAAGTCACATCAAGCCACCGTATCTGCCTCTTCATCGACGGACTCGACGAATACGAAGGCGACGAAGTAGACCACTGGCGCATATCCCACGATCTTCAATCCTGGACAAACTCGGAGAACGTGAAGCTCTGCATCAGCAGTCGCCCACACGTTCCTTTCCTCCATTCCTTCGCAACAGACATGAACATCCAAATCCAAATCCACCAGCTCACTCAACGCGATATTCGGAAGTTCGGCTTGGCAATGTTTGGAATGGACCCTAACTTTGATCAAGTCAAGCAGACGTACAGATATTTAGTGGCTGAGATTGAGAGACTCTCGGAGGGCGTGTTCCTGTGGGCTCGTTTAGTAGTGCGCTCACTTCTAAAGGGTATAGGCTATCGAGTCACCCCTGAGTATCTCACCAAAAAGCTACACACGGTTCCCAAGGAACTGAACGAGCTGTTCGACCAAATGCTAGGCTCTGTGGACCCTGAGGATCGAGTTCTATCAGACAAGCTGTTTCTAATCGCGACCATAGCTCAGCACCCTGTGTTAGAACAGCCACTTCTCAAAAATGCTTTCTTATATCTATGGCTGGAAGATCCGGACGACCCGAAGTTCCCTCTAAATCGACCCATGCATGCGTACTCAGACTCCGATATCGATGAGCGGATCCAGGACGTAACATGTCTTGTGGACCGCTTATCGCGAGGTCTACTAGAAGTAACACACCAACAACACCAGCAGGATAAATATTTCGCATTCGAAGTGCGATTCACTCACCGTACTGCCTATGATTACATCTTCAATACCTGGCTACCACGAATGCAAAAGCGCACACCTAAATTCGATATCAATCTCGCGACAGTACAACTCTTACTCGCTCAGTTCAAGCACGCCCGAGCAAGGCCTGCGGATGTAGAGCCATGGCCACCAGTTCAGCTATGGAAACCGACAAACCTGTTGCATCACTTCCAATCTACATTTGATTAGATATCCGCCATCAATAAGGCCGGATACGCGATCCCTTCGCAATATCTGGAAGAATTCGGCAAATTCCTCGAGGGCTATGCTCGATGCGTGCGAATCCCAACAAAAGAACGCCGCTCTCCCCTTCAAAACGTCCGCTGGGGCTCGAAAATGGCCGCGATTTACTCTCTTCATATGGCATGGACCGCTCGTCCACTCTCCTACATCTGCTGGCTTCTACGGTATGGACTCGAACAGTGTCTTTCTCCAGATGCATTGGATCGCCTGGAATGTCAGTATACCAACATCGCAGGAGGTGCAAATTTGCTTCTGTCAGCTGCCATCTATAAGCGTGTTGATTCCGTGAGAAGCCTTCTAGGCAAGGGACACACGCCTAATGAGAGCGTGAGTGTTCTCCTAAGCGACTTGCGCAGGACTGATCTGCCAATGGAGTATAGGACGACAACCGTGTGGTTTATCTTCCTCTGGTATTTCGTGGATACATTGCTAAGAGACCGCGATGCCAGTGTGCCCTCACTGGTTCTCGAAGAGTTTCTGAATTGCGGAAATGTTGACTGTAATGTCCAGTTTGTGATATGCTCGTCTTCTTTGTCCACTTCACAGTATAAGGAGCTGGATATCGGGAAAGGAAACTCCACGCAGGAAGATTCCAAAGAAGCATACGCTATTTCCCTCTTACGGGTAGTGGAGCTGAGAAATCTACCTAACGTGGAAACGCTGAGAACAAAGATCCGGGAGAGGAATCCATGGTGGAGCTGGAGTCAGTTAGGGACAAAGCTTGCGCCATGGGTTAAGATCCAAAGTGGGAGAGATTACCTTGATCCAAGATGTAGAGGGCTCACTGCCAAAGACATCCGTCCAAAGTCGGATCTTTATTTAAACAATATCGTTACGAAGACTGATCGACTAAACGCGCCATTCAGTTTTATACTTCCATGAACAGGTGTATGTAAATCATTTACACAATCATTAAATAAACAATCATCAAGCCATAATTACATATCCCGAAACCAAACCCTAATCATAAATAACGACCATACATCATACAAACAAAACATAGGAGATATCAAAAACCAACAAAATAAACACAAAATAAACCCGTCCCAATCAAATAAAACAAACAAACTACTTCCTCCAAAACATCATTTTCCCAAAACCCCTCTTAGTAGCCCACCAGGCCTCCGTGAACTTTTCTTTAATATTAGTTCCACCGCCATACCGTAACGCGGTACTAGTACTGCTTCCGACAGCGCTGGCATTAACGCTCGCGGCCGCGTTGGCATTCGCAATATTCCCCGCGTCGAACTTGGTCTTACCCTCGACAATTTTCTGGACGACGAATAAAATAGCGTATGTAGTTGAGCCAACTGCACGAATAAATGCCAGCACAGCGACAGACCACAGAATAATAGCCAAGTAAACATTCGTACCACTCGATTGGACACCGTAGATTTCAGAAACCGCCATGCCGAGAACGACATTGGCAACCATCCAGATGGAAACCATGTATGTGCGGACGGCGCGGTAGTAGTCTTCTTGCATTTGGGACTCGGAGGGTGGCGGTTCGGGGACTTCCAGTCTGTCACGGAGGTTGCGCAGTGCAGCATCATACCCGGAATCAATGTCGAGTTGCTCGGAGGGCATTTCGAGTTCGACGACGGAGCCGTTGACTATCCGCGCCGCACCGAGGTCGGTGTTTAGGGCGTTGTCGCCTTTTGTTCCCCAGGTTACGTCGTGGGTGTTGCAGAAGGCGTAGACTTGTAGTGTGCAAATGTACGACGGGAGGAGGGCGAAGTACTGCGCTGATGAGGTGAACATGTGCCAAGGGTCAAGGTAGAGGAAGGATGTGAAGAAGTAGAGGCCGACGGTGGAGAGCAGCGAGACGACGATGTTGACCATTAGGCCGTCGGAGACGGGGAGGTCGACGTCGCCGCCTGTTGCGGCGATGAGTTCGAGGACGACGAGGTAGAGGGTGCAGAAGGCTGTGTAGATCATGATTATGCTGTAGACGATTATTCCGGAGAGATAGAGTTTTTTGGCGCTGTTTGTTATTAGAATATTGTTTTCATGTCGAACAGGGAGGGAGGAGACTTACCCTTGCGGTCGATTGCCCATCGAAATAATGAATTGCAAGCACATAACCAGGATACACGCGTATCGCAGCACGATGAAGATATATTTGCCCACGTTGTGACCGAAGGGATCGATCTTCTTGTCGCAAAGGGAGCCAGCGATGAAGTAGAATGCCAGGTAGAAGTTTGCCTGTCCCGTTAGCATATCAACATGAAGCCGAAAGGGGAGGACATACCAATCCGAAGTACGTAAAGAGAAGGTTCAAAATTTGATAGACAGACTCAATCTGTAGCAGAATCTTCCGTGCAAACGTATGATCCGTCTTCCAAATCTGTTTACCATTGACGATGGAATACACAGCCGCGAAGAAAGCACCGTTCAGCCAACGACGACGCTGCGAGATAAACTCAGGCACAGTATCTAGACAAGTTAGCACCATGTAACTTACTGGTTAGGAAGGGGGAAGGGGGCGTACCAGGAACATCAGTCTCACCAACCGCACTCTTAACAAACCTCAAAACCCATCTCTCCTCCCTCTTAGCAACCAACTCCCAGCACAAAATACGATCCTCGGCAAGATACATATTGGCCGTGAACACATCCGCATCCTGTCCCACAAGCGTCTCTCCCTTGAAATACTGATTCAATGGCCCATTGCCATCGGCATCGTTCTGCAGCGCGAAGAAACGATACGCACTCAGCGCACCGGGCAACACGGTAATGTACCCGAAGACCGATTCCAGGGGTTTATCGAGGATGTTGGACATTTTGTATTCGAAATTCTGACTTGCGACGAGGGGGTTCAGAAGACCGGACATGTTCTTGCCCTTTCCGGCTTTGATTTCTCCGGCGGCACCGGCGACGTTGGAGTCTTGGTCGAAGGCTTTCCAAAGATGGTACAATGCTGTAGGAGCAGGTTTGGTTCCGACATCAAGCAAGACGCAAATATTAGGCTGCAAGGCACGACCAAACGCATTAAAGAACCAACGGTGCGAGTTAAGCTTCTTCAAATTATGTTCCTTCAAACAGAACAAAATCTGGCACGGCATAATTCCTTTCTCAGCACCCTTGAACTTCAAATCCGGATCCAAAGATACCTGCGTCGTATACTCATACACGTGCGCCGTGACCTGCTTCTGGTTGACAACGTTCTTGGCAATACCCTCCTGGTACACACCAAGCGCGGCTAGGGCATTGAGCGTGCGAGGGTGAACCTTCTTACGACCATCTGCCACAATGCACACCACGATCTTCTTCCATCCGTCTTTGCCCCAGGTCCGGGACTTCGTCCGCGAGCAGAGATGGCTGATGTTTCGCATGATACCGTGCATGGTCCGGGTAAAGCCGATCTCGTCTTCGTTATACATGGTCACACAAATGAACAGTTCTGTCTCGCGCATCGTATTCCCGATCTGTTGACGAAGCTTGTAGCCCTTCTGTGTGAAATCGTCGGGGTCACAGGTAACAGCCGTATACCGCATATGCGTAAACTCACGGTCGTCACGTCTCGGGAGGAAACTGTGCAAGATAGTCGGGATTTTGCACTCCAGGATAAGTTCACCGTTGATCAGCTGCACTTCCTTTTTCGTCATCAGGGTGTCCCGAACACCACGACGGCCCTGCTTCACAGGTGCCGGACCATAATGCATGTTCGGGTCGACAGACTCATCATCCTCGTCAACATATTCATCATCGTCGAGATCAAGTTTCGTCATTGCGTCTTTCTCATCCGTGATGATTGTCTCTTCACTCATGAAACTCGCGCGCTGGTCAAACGGGTCTACCATCCTACCACTTCCTCCGAAGGGATCATCCTCATGACCATCACCAATATCAATACTCGTGTCCTGTCCGGTAGCAGACGACGTCGGTGCTGCGAACAGCGGCGCTGGTGGTAATGGACGTCTCGGGCTACCTCCGTAGCGAGTACTAGGCGTTCCTGGTCGTGGACTACCATTGAGATCGGCCCGTTCATACTGCGAGCTAGAAACGGACGGGGGTCTGGGTGCTCTGGTCCAGTCTGAGCGAGCGGGACTCCAGGGGCGCAGGGGCGATCCTGGACGCGATGAATAGTCCGGACCGTCGACTTGAGAGGCTGTTGGGGGAGGGATTGAGGGGATATGGTGTAGACTCGAGGGTGGCCGGGAGGGAGAATCATCGTAGCCATCGTACTGGTAGTAACCGCGGGAGTATTGACGACTGTCCAACACGAGAAAAATAAAATTAGCCATGACCACTGGTTCACACGGGGCAGGTTACGAACCGTGACATCCCATCCTCATCCGGATACTGATACTGATACTCCGACGACGGATACTCGGACTCATACTGATACGACGAGGTATGATCCTGCAAATCCTCGTCATCAAGTTCCTCATCCACGCCCGCCCCCGACGTAGGCAACAATCTCATTGTCGGTCCACCGTGACGGGGCGGCGACTCATTTTCCAGCAGAGACGCGGAATCGCCATATGCACTGTAGACCGGGGGTTCGTCTGCGGAGTAGTTTCGGGCATGAGGGTACATGCGTGATGAGTGGGGATTCATCGTCGCGTGTTTGTTCAAGCCTGCTTCTTTTACTCAAGAACTGCTCATGTCATGGCAGTGGGACAAAGTAGACACGGTCAAGACAAGAAGGTGAGGGTTCGTTTGCTCGAGGCTGAAGGACAAACGGCAGTTAACAACGCTGTCATTCCTTACTAGATGAAGAATATGAAGAATGCCACTTACTCACAGGCAACCTGATAGTTGCAGAACCTGTTCTTCTGCGATAAGTAAAAGATAAACAAAAGCACGAGCTGCGGAAGAACGCTGAAATAACGGTGTGGATGTGTACAAGTAGATAGACGGTGAGGCGGCGGCGATACTTTTATAAAAGTAAACAACCAACACAGAAACACGTCCACAAGAAAACAGACACGGGTATGAAGACAGTTCGAATGAAATTAAAACCACGACAATAATTCAGGAACCGGAGTTGAGCTGTTTCGCAGCGCTAAGCTCGTTGCTCGTAAGCTGTTTCTTAAGGTTGTCGTCACGGCAACGGCGATTGGCAGCGGGGCGACGAGCAGCGATTCCGAGTGAATGCACCAGTAAACTCGGCTGTACCTTGCGTGTTCATTTGCATTTTGTTATTCCGGATTGTATTCTGCAGTGTTAATCCAATTTGAATGTACCTGTGCATTATTGCCATGTGCATCGTCCCGTGGTAGAGCTCCCGAAATATATACATATCGGCCCACCATCCAAACCAGAACCACAGAACCACCCATACACTTCAGCATGTAAACACAATATAATAAATTAACCAAAACCAAGACACAGTACCATAGATCGATCCAGCCAGTCGGTAGATCCACACAAGAACCAACTCATCTCAGACACTCCAAGGGATGGTCCGAGTGGTCCCCGAATCCAGATATCGCAAGTTCACTTTCTTTCTAGTTAAGCAATGGCTCACGTTCGCGATCAGTCTCCGGATGCGCAACACGTCGGAACAGCGAGTCACGACCATAATACTTGGTACTAGACAGATAGATCGATTCGATCAGGAAAATAGCGAAGATGACGAATGCAAAGATCCACTGCAAGGCAATAACCTTGATCGCGAGTTGCTTGACGGCCAATGCTACTCAAATTAGCCTGCGCATTTCTAGTAGAATGAAGGGAAGACTCACCAAGCATCAACCAACTCAGACAATACCCCAGAATATAATCCTGCGTCGACACAATATGCCCACTCCCAACCGCAAACAGTACCCAAATAAAAACATTCGCCACAACCCTCACCGGCAACTTATTACTATTCACCGCGACAGCTCCATTCCAAAACAACCCAAACAACGTCCACGCATACGGCCCCGCGATAGCAGGGAGGTGCACGAAGGCCGGAAGCCGACGGTGGCGCCAGTATGCGGCGTGGAGGTTGATAAAGTTGAGAATGAGGAAGATTTCGGAGCCCCAGAAGTGGTCGCGGGTCCAGAGGAGGATCCAGATGAAGAGGGCGAGGTTGTTGAGGATGAAGTGGGAGGCGATGTTGGCGGCGGAGGTTACTAGGGCGGTTTGTCGGGAGAAGAGGTGGTAGACGTAGCTAAGTTGGGAGAGGAAGATGAGGATCCTATCACTGTTAGTGTATGTGCATGTAGATATGTTCTGATGAGGTGCAGTACCAGTAAATCCCAGTCAGCGTTCCATTCAGGCTAAACGGCGTGGTGTGCTTGTTGCCTTGTTTGAAGATACGATGGCCATGCTTGACGTCGGGAGAGTGAACTGTGAAGTAGATGCCCACAATGACGACCAGTGCCCATGAAAGAGGGACGAGGATGCGATATGTCGAGAGAGCAGACGTGGGATGGGATTCCCGGCGCGCAAATGGGTTGTCTAGAAATCAGTACACATCTAGTAGAGTTGACTATGTGACTTACAAGAGGCCATTTTCCTGTCAATGGAAAATATACAAATAGTACTAGAAAAATATAACGAGATGCAAGAATATCAACTTTTATACCAATGTCCTCGTACTTCTAGTCGATGATGCAACTGCAATGATGACGTCTATCTGCATCTACTTTATACACATCCCAACCAAAGATATCACGACCCAATACCATGTTTACTCATCATCATCCGACTCCTCCATAGTCTCCCGAATAGCCTCAACAATCCGTCCATGAATAGAAGCAGGCGCAACAACCATCCCATAACACCCCGCCAGCGTCCGCCCTAAACTACAATCCACCGGGCTCCCCGTAAGATCCGTAACCATAACCCCAAGTTCCTGCGCAATCAACATTCCCCCAGAATGATCCCAGATCTTCGATCGATAGGATGTCTTGCGAGGGACCTTCATCAGCACATGACACCCGCCAATGGCAATCGCTACATAGCGCAGCTGCGCGGCCCAGAGGTCAGCGCGTGGTGGCCACGGGGCACCTAGTCTCTTCGCAACGCGCGCGTGAAGTTCAAAATTGGACGATGTAGCCGCTGAGCAATCGACGAACTGGATCTCACTCGGGTCCGTGATCTGTGCCACGGGATCGAGCTTGGTTGCGGGGAGGAGGGAACCCGTGTTCATCTTCCGGATCCATGCGCCCTCGCCCGCAACAGCGAGGACCTGGTGGCCGTAGCCATCCTGATCAATGACTTCTTCTTGAATCCGCCCGTCTTCGAGATTTAGGTTCGGACCGCCCAGAACACCCATCTTCTGCTGCCCGTTCTCCACCAGCGACAGACATACCGCGTACTGCTGGTTCTTCATAAACGTCGCAGTCCCATCCACGGGATCCAGAACCCACGCGCGGCTGCGAGGGGTACACTGCCCCCTAGCTCCCCGGTCAATAATCTCTAGCATCTCCTCCCTGGATTGCGGAGCATAGAGTAAGCTCTCACTGGCCTCATCGTCAAGACGGGATGTCGAAGCAAGTTCCCAGGTGCGCTCGAGAAGAGTCTCATCCTGTCTCAGAGCCGTTGAGTCTTCCTCGCCAACGAATTCATCATCAGGAAAAGCATTGTGGATTGCGCCAATGATCAATGCTTGAGCAGCGAAGTCGGCAATTGTCACGGGACTATCATCGCTTTTACCCAGCGTTCCCTTGTCGACTGCCTCGAGGAGCTTTTTCGTCAAGAGAGTCGCCCGTTGCACGGTTAGACAAGCGAGCTCGAGTTCTTTGGCGTAGGGTCCGGAGTAGTCCATGATAGTCGTTCTCGGCAGAGCGATGCGATAATCAAGCCAATGACGTAGAATTGCAAGGCCGAGAGTTCTTGTCCCAGCCGATGTAGCAATTGAAGTGGTATTAACAAAGGCGATCGAATTGGTCTTGAAGATCAATACTCGAGCAAAGAAACCGGCATTTGCCCCTCAATCTGCCTGTAATTTAATCCCAATAGGCGGTCTGATGTACGTGTTAGCTGTGCGTGCGTGCCAACCAGTGGGATAAATGACACCATACATGAGAAAGTCCGCTGAATACAACGGACGGAATGGAATGTTCAAGGCCCGTAGCGAGCCTGAATACGAGAAGAAGAACAAATTCCTGGTTGCAATCCAGATTCACATGTGTGGCTGCGATCTGTAGAGCCACAGCGGGCAATTGCCGCCATTTGGCGGAGGACTTTTACGTATGATGTCACGTGGGACTTGCCTCAGGAGTACTGTACCCCGTGTTCTACGAGATAAGTAATGGGGATAAATATCGCGTCTTGACAGCGTAGGAATAAGTATAAATAATCTATCCGTATGTACTGAACCAGGGGTATACGGCAAGATAAGAATGCAGTAACGTGAGGTCAAGTGAACACTTCAAGCAAACAGGCCCGACAAACCAGACAACACGCAATCATTACCCATGACGCGGTCGCATAACTCCAGATTCAGAGAATATCGTCTTTCGAAGGTATATTGAGCATTAAGAAGAAGGTAACAGCGAGGCGAGGGAGATTAAAACGGCGCAAAAGCCAACTCATAGACAAAGCCCAATGCCATTGTGGCATGTTGGCGCATGTGATCGAAGCTCAGATACTTGATCTGGTCATCGGTCGTGTGGATTTTCTTGTTAGTGTTCTCCATTTCACCCTCGATGGCCATCGCAGCGGCATATCCCTGTCTGCTAGCGGAGGCATGGTCGGAGCAGGCGTAACCGCACTTGGTCTCGACGAAGGGGATCTCACAGTACTGTATTCATCAGCATGCGCCTGAAATGAGCGGTAAATGATAAGCTTACCGTAGTGATAACTTCCTTGATGAACTTCGTAAGATCCTGGTCGACAAAGTCCACAATAACACCAATGGCCTCCTCGCGACCAGCATCCAACGTTCCCTGAACGTAACCAGTCATGTCCTGTTGTAGCATAGCCTTGACATCCCTGCGGTCCTGTCTGTACTGCGCCCAAACCTCCTGGGAGCCCAGCAAGCCCCCCTCCTCACCCGAATACCAGTGAAACTCGACCGTATTAGGCGCCTTACCACCCACAATATCGTCAGACTGCAGCAGCGCACGCAGAGTCTCCAAAATCGTTACCGTCCCACTCCCATCATCATCCGCACCCGGCGCAGCCAAAATCGACGGCAAGAACAAGTTAATGCTATCCTGGTGAGCGCTGACGACGACCGTCTTCTCACTGCGACCAGGAATCCTCGCAATAACACTAGACTGGCCCCAGGGATGGGTGAATTGCGCCACCGTAGCGCCGTGCTTGTCGGCCCCGGACTGCGTGACGAGGCTGGCGACCTGCTCGTACAACCATGTCGCGGACTCCACACCCATCGACGACTTGTAGTAGCGCGTGTGGTAGGATGTGAAGTGCTCCAGGTTCTGCTTCATGTTCTGCTTCGAGAGACCCCGGGCTAGCTGGGTGACGTTGTCGCGGTGTTCCATCTTCCCGGGGTAACGGACTGTGTTGGTTGTGCGGATGACGGAGGGGTATGTTCCTGTGTTGCGCGCGTTGGTGACATCGATGAAGTTGACGCCGTCCTGTAGAAACGGTACCAATTAGTCTGGTTCTGGGGTTTATCTGGGGTGCGGAGTAGATGGGGTTCATAGTAATGTACCAGCTTGAGAACCCATTTCTCCTCTTCGGTTACCCATCTGGTCTGATACGGGGCCAGCTCGATGAGGAATTTCTCTGGTTCATGATGGACATGAACTGTATGATCAATCAATGGTTCTTGCTGGGGAAGCACAGCTCCCAACACGCCTGATGCCGTTGCGCTCAGCGCAAGAGCAGTGGTGATCTTCATTACGGAGACGGAGATGGAGATATGGATAGAATAGGTAGAATAGCGAGGAAGGATTAAAGGAATCAAGAGAACAGAAAGAATAACAAAATACTAATAACAATAATAAGAAGATATTATTATGGCTAATGATTATAAGAAAAAAAAAAAAAAGACGAGACGTGATCGTTGCGTCAAGACTCCGAGGCTGAGACAGACTAAATAATGATAAACCAGAAGAGCAATAAAGGGAGGTTTAGCCGCCCGGGGTGGAGTGCCAAGTTGGACAGGATCTTTTTGTCTTGTTGCCTGTCAATAGTTACAATATCTTGCTGCAGAGTGACATGTCTACATATTTCTACTGGGAACAGTACTCCATAGCGTGATATCTTACAATAATGGATTGAGACAGTTCACTCTAGTTTCCCCGATTGGGCCAGGCGTGGACCGGGTAATCCTCCATTGGGTCTGGGCGTGTCTGGACTCGGTGTGGTTCCTTAAGGCTCTATAGTGGGTTACGGTTCTTATACGAGTATGCTGCAGTAACTACATAGTAGAGAACAAAAGTACAGCACACTACTTGTGCTGTAGTGCTTGTAAAATCAAAGATTAACCAAGAATATTAAAATTACAGGCAACCACCATCCCTGAGACCCAAGAAGAGACGACAATTCATGTTCAGCATAGGATCAGTTAATTAATACATCTTTATTTCTTATTATTTCAGGCATGAATATGGTCAAGACGCAGATTAGTACTGTAATAACCAAAACACGTGTAAATTTCAGTTAGAACTAGTATTAGTCAGCTGCATAAAGTTTGTAGTTATCAAGGTCTACATTGGGGCAAACTAGCGAGAATTATGCTAGTGCGGATAGTAACAAGACATCCATGAATATCTTGCAGATATCCGCAAATCTGCGGATTTGGATGCGGATTTGCCGCAGTCTAGTCCGGATTATTGACTCCCGATTCCCTGAACCTGAGCTACCCGCTTCATTCATCACAAAGAAAGTTGGGACGGGAGCTAGTTTATCTGGAAGCAGCCACACATTGCCTTGAACGACCACACTTTCACCAAGGATACTATGCTACCAAACCACCTAGAGTTAGGCCCATCAATCCATCAATAATTCAAACACTGAAGTTGTTTCATCTCTGAGAGATATCTGTTTCATCTACACTGAGCTATAACTGGACCCGCTCCAGCGCTGCGGATCTCTCCACACCTTCTCCATCTCTGATAACTATCTACTCGATTCGCGATCAAAAGATGGCTGATAACTGAAGCATGCAGCCCAATCACGCTACAAGCCACTCTGATTTAAGTGAGGCGACAACAGATGTCACCCTTTTCATGGAGATGCCGGGGGATGTACACGCCACACTGAACAGCTACATGCCCTTGGATGCGAATGATGACACCATGAAACTCCTTCAGGAGACATTCAAGTACCTTCCATCAGATGGTAGATTTCACCTTGCTGAGGATATCATTCAGGCTGGCGCACACTACAAGTTGCGCCAACTTGCCCAGGGTGTTGTTACAGGCCTTCTCGCACTGATGAAGGTTGCTGGTGCCAAGATGGTGGAGATTACTCCTTCACTGTGGCTAGGCATTGAAGACTCAATATAACATCTTGCCAGCATGGCAGACGAGTCTATAACGCGTGGGCTGCAACAACAGCTGCAAGAGGATGCTCTTCGTAGAGATGGCAATAAATGCATTGTATCAGGTCATTATGATGTTCAATCAGAGGAGTTATATCCTGATGAAGTGACAGCTGACCTAGAAACTGCACATATTGTGCCTTTTGCTCTAGCCAAATTTGAAAATGATGATGAGAAACGGCAAATAATACCTGTTTGGATGAACATTTTTCATTATTTCCCAAGCATTCATTCCTGGTTGAACTTCTATTATCAGAACATTAACTCCTATGGAAAATGTGTTGGTGCTCTCCCAACCTCTCCACAAGCCATCCAGATGATTTAGTCTTGCACTTGAACAGACGGACACCATACATCAATATCATGTCAAGACTTTCCATTGGTTTGCAAAAGGTCTTCGAGTTTTCCTACTGGAGAGTGGACACTTTCCATTGCCTTCATCTATTTTACTTCAAGTTCACTGCGCCGTTGCGATCATACTCCATGCCACCGGCAGGGGTGAGAAGATCGACCAAGTGCTATGCAACTATGATGTGACTGGCAGCCTTGCTAGTGACAGTAGTACCAATGTCTCACAGCTATTATCTGTGACTAAAATTGCGTTGTTGCCCATGATTCAAGAGCGCAGCATGAACTTGAAGCCCACAAGACCTAAGTCCAGTGACGTGCAAAAGAGGCCCACCTGAAATACACAGACAAGCCACCTGCCCGATGAATTGAAGGAAAACTGAATTGGATGCTAAATTTTCTCCCCCTCAAAATGAATAATCAACTCAGAACCCTGTATTTTTGCAACTGTTTGAGGGCCGTGCATGTCACGGGCTCGGAATAGTAAATATTAACGAACTGAATTCCTACCTAAACTATTGTAGCCATCGACGAGAATATCGAATCCGGGGAGAAAAGAAGGAAAGGAATCTATCTACAGGAAAAAGGGTTTTTTATCCATGGGTTCTGTGACCACGCCAAGTGCTCTTTGTTTGCTTGTATGGTGGTGTTTGTCGATATCAGCCACATGAGGCGGCGTTGAGCCGTTGAGCCGTCACAGATGATGAATCAGATAAAGAGCAAGCATTGACTCCCATATGGATCACAACCCAGAGCAAGCACACGCAACATAAGCAGCTTCATAGTGCTGTTGAGCCTCAAGAGGATAGTGATAATGGCCTGCCACTTCCTGAAATGCCAACTAAAGAGTGCATGCAGGGGCAATCAGGGAGGATTCAGAAGAAGCCAAAATTGCCAGATGGATTTGAGTTTGATAGACTGTAATTATAATAACTGTCACGGAGCATGGACGCTCAGTAGTTATTTAGCATGTTTGATTACTTTGATCTGTTTGGCATAGGGCACGAATTTCTCACACACTAGATAGCCCGTCGCCGACAGACCCTGCTCTTTTCTTTTCTCTTATGTTAGAATTTCGCGAGATAGTGTACCAATAAATCATTATTGAAAGAGACCGTCACAATAACTGCTCTTTTCTGCAGAAATGCCTTTTCGGCAGAAAAGATCAAAGAAACTGTATTTCACCTGAAAATTAGTTGAACAAAGAAATCACTTCTCAATCTATTTCCCCGGAAATCAGCTTATCGTAACTTATTACTCTGTACAAGCTGGATACTCTAAAAATACTTTAAAAACTGCATAATCTGTACACCGCTGGCCAGGTCATGAGTCTTGGCAGGTTTATTATGTTTATATACCCATGGGTACCCGCAAAATATCCGCGGGTAGCAAGATGATAAACATGACCGCCCGCAAAGGCCTTGCAGGTAGCAAATCATAACCATGGCTGCCCGCTTGCGGCCAGTAATCACTTTTAAAACTCGCTCTTCTAGAGCTGCATTCAGAGCGGTTTGGCATGGATTTTGGATTAGACCTCACCCTCACCCGCAGTGAGGGTCCAGGTTAGGTCTGACCCTCGTGAGGGTGACCCGCGGGTAACTTGCAGGTGGTCAAACAAGAGAAACAGTTGAACCTTGTGGTCTGCATAATTTATGCAGATTTTGGCTGTAGGATCCGTATTATTTATCAGTGGCTGATAGTGATAAAGGTACATACTAGCGCCGCCACACTACCTGTTGATAAAACCCCTCTTCGTCCTGTAGATATATTTTTCTTCTTTCTTTTTCTCCCCAGATTTGACATTCTCGTTGATGGCTACACTAGTTTAGATAGGGATATCAATTCATTATTATTACAAGGCACTGAGGTGTTGAGCCGTCACAGTCACCAAGGTACTTTAGGGACCCTGTAGCTACTACTTTTAAAGCGTCACCATCGCCGTCTACCATTGCAATACTTCCATCTTCGTCAAGTCTCACTCATTCAGTTGATCAATTAATCGATCAAAATGGCCATCCTAAACACAGTCCCTCCCCAATCATCCACAATCACAAAACCAAAACTCATCAAGAAATCCAAATCCAAATCCCCAACCTGCATCCTCCCCACACTCCCGTTGGAGATCGTCGAAAAGATCTGCGACGGGCTCAGCACTCGCGACCTCGCCTCATTAATGGGAACATGTCGCGACGCGTACCGGTTAACAATACACCGCTTCGCGCAGCGATATACAGAAATCTACATAGATTTTTCGCAGGCGTATTTCGATCACATTCATGCTATTGCCTCGAATAAGGTGATGAGGGAGTATGTGCAGCGATTGGTGATTATGACTCACGAGCCGTATTTGGGGAGCGGTGTGAATTGGGAGTGGAGCATGGCCGGGCATGTGAAGAAAGCGATGGATATGGCTGTTATTAAACGGTTCAGAGATGATTTGGTGTTGAGGTTGGTGAATTGTCGGTCGTTTATTATTTCGCCGGTTGGACATGCACATACAGAAGAAGAGCAAGATAGACAGTTCAATCCTGATGATGCGGCTTGTATCCTGCTGGATATCATCGCAGATGCTTCCTTACCTATCAAGATTTTCTGGTACGGCAAAGGAATGAATTACACATCCGACATTATGAACATCTCCCGATTACCCAAAGCCCTTTCCAGCAATCCCGGATTCAGAGCCGGATGGAGCGCTCTCGAGAATCTGCATCTGGAACACGAACCCACGCCATCAAATTATTCATTCCTTATGGATATGATTCTGCACGCTCCGAACGCACGCAAGCTGTATCTCAGTCTTGGACCGAAGGATTTGGCTGTCGAATTCTTCTCCCAACTTAGCAGATCAAGCAATCTGCCGAGTAACCTGGAACGAGTGACGTTATCATTCACAGCCATCAAAGCAGATGATCTCATAACCATCTTGTATCAATCCCGACATAGTCTCCGACGACTGATTTTAAACGGCGTCACCAGTTTATCAGTTGGGTGGCTTACATTCCTTAGCAAAACGCAAAGCCTGTTTCCGGCACTTGAAACAACCGCGCTGAACATGTTCTAGTGTGAAGGCTACATTATCCTTTTTACTGCTATCAAGGGTTATCCATCTGAACCAAAACAGATGTTTAAGCTACAAGCTTGCAATTATCCTGCCTTAGAGGGGAGTGGGATTGGGAAGGCGGATATTATTGCGATTACTTATACAGGGCTTGAAATGGGGACGGCGTTGGATGTGTTATTGAAGGCGTATGAGGAATCGGGTGGGATGGAATCGATACTGATATACCCTGTTGAGTGTTCTGTAATGGGTGAATGAAGCAAATGAAATGTTTTATAACAACAAGGCCAGTAGACAAACTGAACGTTGCGAGACAGTAAAAATGTTGGGTTGAGTATCTTCGTTGATTAAAGTATGTGAAATATATTTTCTAAAATTTCATTTGTCTAATCGAATACAATCTGCCAGTTTCTCATCTTCACGGAATCATTTTCGCTTTTCTGAATCGATCAAAAGCCACATACCAAGCCCCCTTGACATCCTTCTCTTCTATATTCCTACTCCAAGCACGATGCATTTTAGTCAACTCCAACTACCGATCAAAATCAAACTGGTTCATCAAGAAATTACAAACCCCCTGAACTCCCCTTGACTTACCCTTGACCAGCCCACCTCTCAATCCATACTTCCTCTCCATATCAACCTACTTATTCTGATTTTCAGCCACAAAGCCATCCGGATCCGGACTAGACCTCGGCATGGGTACCCAAATGGGTAGAGGCCTCTGCCCATTACCCATACCCATAGACCCATGGGTACCAATGTAGTACCAATTTCCCGCCCATGGGAGGGGTCCCACTACCTATGGGTAACCCATCGAATACCCATGCATGCATAACTTTCCTAATTAGGATGTATCATTTGCTGATTCAGCGTAATAGGCTTAAGTTACAGTAAAAAAAACACATGTTTTGGTCATTATCACGGCCTCGGAATAGTAGATAATAATGAATCGATGTTCCTATCTAAACTATTGTAGCCATCGACGAGAATATCGAATCTGGAGAAGAGAAGGTCTATCTAGGTAGTGAAGGGTTTCTTATATGGGTTGTTGACAGCATGGCTGCTTGTTCGAGTAGCCGCAATTGGATGTATCAACTGTCGCTACAGTGCTGAGGTGTCATGTGTGAGCCATCACATTGCTTGGATAGCGGCGTTCGTTGATATCAGCCACTGCGGCGGCTTCATGGCGTCAAGCTAGCGTTACGATGTCAAGCCGTCACATTGTACAGAGTCCCATTGCAAAGCCAGTTTCATCAAAATTCCAGATGTCATCTTCATGGATCCCATATTCTTGAATAGCTGCATGTACAGTCTCAAACCACTGATTTAAGACTTTTGGATCTTCCTGCTTTGCACGCTGATATGTAATCCTCCGATTATAACTAGTTATCTTGTTTGTAATTCAGGACGGCGCCTTATGAAGGAGGAGGCCCAGTTGACTCCAATAGTTGCAGTAGAATCTTGTATACATTTATGAAGTAAAATCTGCGCCATTTCACGCAGATATTGTGGTCGAATTGAAAGTCCTCGTTTATCTGCATCCAGCAGTTGCTTGACAAGAGCTTCCTCTTCAAAATCCGTTAATTTATGGCTACTGGCGCGTGTTTCTGATCGTGATTTCTTTCCTTTAAGCCGATTGCGAAGGGTAGCTTCAGATACTCCACAAACAGATGCAACCTCTCGGTTTGACTGGATTTTTTTATTCTTGATGGCTGAGATGGCCATTTGCATTCGATTTTCTTTAGAAAGAGGCATTTTTATATGATGAAGATAGAGAAAAGCCGCATTGAAGAATATGGTCATGAAGATATTTGGTGGGGCGGAGAAGGTGCGCAACTCGGCCGTTGATTACGTTATGTGTAAACATGGTGACCTCATTGACATTCATTCCGTCAGGCATGCAGGCATCAGAATAGCCCGCATAGCTGCACAACTATACACCGCATTATCATTATTCCATTTTATCCCGACGCAGGGACTCAGGGCTAGGGCTGCGTGACCATCCACCAATAATGCAGCATTCTCGTTCTCGTGCCCACAGCCCTGACTCAAAGGATCGACTCATCGGCCCTCCAATCCTGACGCTCCGGCGCGTCACGCTCGGTGGGTTATCTTGGTCTTATCTGTTCCTTCGCATCCCCGCTCTTCTTCCTCTTCTCTCTCCTCTATTGTCCACCACCTTGTCGCGTACAAATAGTGTATACTGACCGACAACCGCTCTCCTACATCCCGAAACAAGCCCCCTCTGAATACCCGCTCCGACCGCCTCTCCGTTCACAATGGCCATTCATCCGGAACTGCACCAACCGCACGACCCGCCCCAGGGGTCCTTAACACCTCAACAAACCCACGCGATATCCGCTTGGACCGAACAGGCGACGGCTTCGCTGGAAGACCTCACTCTCTCTGAATCCATCACCGTCAATGATGAGAGCCGGTCCTTGCGTGGCGCTTCGCTTCCGTTGACCATCCCGCTCGATGATGTCCCGGTGACTGATCACCGGTCCTCGCGCGTGAGACTGGTCACGCGAACGAGCGCGCCCAAGGAACCCCAGGAGGCGAAAGTACCGACCGTGTCGTTCCGGAAGAGGGAGCCGCTCCATCGGGATAGTCTGAGGAGGCGCGAGGCCTTGCAGAAGGGGAAGGATGGGAGCCGGAGGAGACAGCGTTGGGAGAACGGTATGTCTTGAGCGTTAAACGGGAAGTAAAGCGCAGCGCCACGGCGTATATACGCTCATTACCGACCACGACGCACCAAAAGCTTTGCATTGAACATCGCCTGTGAATGCTGACCACCTCAAAAGACCGTCTGCTCCATAACCCGTGGGCTGAACCTCCCTCTCCGAACGACTGGGTCGTTGGGCCTACCTACCCCCGTCACGAGCACGTGCCGTACTACCTCGCTCCTCTCTGGGACCATCACTATGCACACATCGATAAGAAGACCACTGTCACCAAGGAAGAGAAGCACCGTGTTCCAAAGGAACTGCGCCTGAGACTGAAACACGCCCGTGCGGCGCGTGGCATGCTCCGGGATCTTGAAGAAGATATCAGACAATTCATCCACAACTGGAATGAGAAACAGCTTCTGCTGCACAGGGAGGGCCTCCAAGATGCACCAGAGTCTGACGATTCCGAGGATGAGGTGGTCTTTGTGGGACGGAACGGGCAAATGCACGATTCACCTGCGCACAAGACTAGACTCCAGGAGATACGCGAGGCCATGTACACGCATGATGAGCGCGACGGGGAGAAGATGGTGCTTGAGAGTCAGGTTGAGGATCGGGCTGCTGGGTTCGGGTGAGTGCACACAATTTGGGAAAGCGCATGGAAGAACGAAATACTGATTGACATGATAGCCGTTGGCTCGTTCATTCGATCGCTTCGTATTACGGCCTGCACACCTGGTCTATCACAGTAGGGGAACCGGCGCGGCGTGAGGCCTATGTTGGCTTCCGTCCACCGGCTCCTGACAGGCGTGGCCTGATTTCGGTTTGTCGCCAGGAGGCTATGATCAAGCCTGGAGAGGCTCTTCCTCCGGCTCTCTGGACTCAGATCTAGTTACACCGGGTACCGTATAGTTGGATAGTTACAATGATTGGAGTCTCGGGTTCGTTTTGTTTGGGTGATCTACTTGTCGACTGATATAATGGATCTTCTAGGGTTGGCTTCTGGGGCAGTTGCACATATCTTGAATGATCATAATTGTCATGTCATAATTGAGTATAAACATGCAGGGGTAATCGATCCGTATTCGGTCCTCTGGCCGTAAGCACCGTTCATAACCGCCCTGCTGCCCATCTTCTTAGCAAGACCACCAAAAGACCAGGATATCAGTGAATTCACCAAAACCCCCTGCAAAAGAACACCCCCAATACGAGACCACCAACAGACCCAAAACCCGAACCAAGCCACCACGACAAACCCCGACAACCCAAACATAACACCACACTCCCCAAACCAACTTAAATCCTAAACATCGCCCGCTCATACCGAAACCCATCCTCCCAGACCTCATCTTCCGTTTCTACCCTTCTCTCCAGATACTTGTAGCCCATGATAGGTCTCCGTACCTTGACCACGCAATCCCCCCTGCTCCCACTCCCACTCCCGCTTCCACCACCTCCAGCACCAACACCAGCACCACCTGCCTCACTATCTGCACAACCACCACCAACCCTCCTCTTCTTCGTCCAATAAGGATCAAAGACAATGTTGTAGAAGCATATTGCAACCGCACTACCAGCCAGGCAACCGTTGAGCAGGTGGAGAGAGAAGCTGACGAGGGTGTCGCCAGGGTCAATTGTGGTGTAGACGTTGACGCAAGCGAATGCGGTGCATGTGATTATGAGGGTGGTGAATTCGCGGAGGGGAGTGTAGGGTCTGGTGTAGAAGATTTGGTGTGGCATCGTTGGAGGGTGTTGGGGTTTCGGTTGGTTTGTTTCGGTGCGGTTCTCGAGGCTTGTAGAAGTGGTGATTCAAGATGAAGCATTAATCGGTAATTCAGAGTAGGATGCTAATCGGTAATCAAGAGTAGAGGTTAATCAACGTATGCGAGAGAATGATGAGGTTAGTAGGAGAGAAGAATTGTTGGGGTACGCTGGACGGAAGGTATGGGAGGTAGGAACCCTACTACATTTAGTTTCGTCAGATCTATACAGGAGCATCAACTGATAAACACAAAGTCCAACCCAATTGATTTAGCTGTATACTTTTCAACCAACATGGCAATGAATACAGAGTAAAGCTTCTGACCCTAATACCTCTGCTTTGACCTTTATTCACCAGTCAACCGATTCCAACGCCACCAGAAAGCCATACTAAACAGTCTCACCCGCAAAACAAAAGCCATCACACCAAGAACGATCATTTATACGCATCGAAGAAGCCAAAACCCAGAACGAACGCCCATCACCACCAACCTAACACGGCAACCACCAACCCAACCCCAACAGAACCGCAGAACAACAACAACCCAACTCAGATCCGTACAATAGCCTTATCATGTTTCTTCCCATCAATCCAAACCCAACCAACAGTCTCCACCCGATACTCAAACAGCCTAAACCCTATGATCGGCCTGACAACAGTCACGGGCTGTCGATCCTCCGCGTTTCCACCACCTTCATCAGTACTGTAACCGTTGTCTCCAATCGCACGCGTCGAGGGCCAGCGAAACACAGACGGATCAAAGATAATAGCCAGGAAACAGACGGTACAAATAATGCCCACATGCCACTTGAGATAAGCTTTGAGAAGCGAGGGAGCTTCAACTGCGATAGATGCCTCGCAGACGGAGTAGATGGCGGTGACGACGGCTATGTAGATGAAGAGGACTGTCAAAGAGTAGGGTCGGTCGTAGAATATTTGATTCGTCATGGTTTGCGGGAGGATGGTTTTCGGTTGAGAGTCGTTTTTGATGTGGATATCGGAGGTTATGGTATTTTTCTGGGAGATAGAAAGAAAGTGGAGGATATGGGGAAGTTCTGGGGGGTATGTATTTGTTTTGGGATGGAAGGACCGATACGGGTAGGAACCACGACTTCCTATTCTGGTTCAACTCCATACAGACTGGTGGCTTTGGTTGGCTTAGCTATGCGCATATCAACGGTCATATACTATGTAGGCAGACTTATAGTAGAAAAAAGAAGACTCAGTTGCAACACCTGTCATCGTTCCAAGCATAGCATAGACAGGTGATCGAACAGTGTACAGAAGCCTCCAACTCGAATCCCCGTTTCTCTGCCATTTCATTCATCTCAAAAAATACATAACTCGCCAATAACCATGTACCCGATGACCCTCATGCCAAACGAACTCCCCCCTCCCAAAAAAAAAAAAACAAAAACAAAACACCCACCCCACACAAAAACCAAACCCAATCAAACCAGTGACGGACAGCAGTAGACAAAGAATCCGAGCAAATCAGGCCAAGAAGATAGCCTTTCTATGCTTGACCCCATCGAACCACACATCATCAAGTTCACCCGGCGTTTCGAGTTGGATCTCCAGGTGCCGAAAACCCACAATCGGTCTCTTGACTCTGATAGCCCGCTCCCCATCTCCGTTATTGACACGTTTCTTCGTCGTCCAGCAAATCGCAGGATCCCACATGATAGCCAACATGCATAAACCCATAGCCGTGCCGAGAAGAAGGCCGAAGATGGCGCCAAGGGTATTAGAGACGTTGGGAAAGTGGAGGCGGGAGATATAAACGCAGTGGACGCACACGCTGGCGAGGATTAGGAGTATGATGGAGATGAAAAAGTAGAGAGGACTGCAGGGTCGTCCGTACAAGACTTGATAGGAGGGCTCCATGTTCGTTTGATTTTCTTGCGTGGGATCGGGTCTTGATTGGATGCGGTTCGAAGTAGTTTGGAAGAAAGCAGAGGATGGTGAGGGTAATATAAGGAAAGAATCTCGGGGTCAGTCTTGCGACATGCTCTTGCCTGCCTAGAACGCTAGAAACGGACGGAAGGTGCGATGTTGCTAAGGACGGCGAGGCAGGAACCATAGCGAGGTGAGGGCTTCGTAAGATCTATACAGGAGCGCCAACTGATAAATACAGAGCCTGATCCGATCAACAACCCCCACCACTAAGACCGCCAAATTGACCCAGAAACCGCAACCAAAACACCAGGCCAAAAAAAATCAACCCTAACCGACAGACCACGGACGCACCCCCAGAAGGCAACACCAGACAAACCGAACCCAATCACGTCCAAACCAAGGCTTGCTCATATCAAAATCCATCCAGCCAAACCTCATCTGCCGTCTCAATTCTTCTCTCCAGACTTTTGAACCCCATGATCGGCCTTCTGACGCGGATAATCCGTTCCGCCCCACCTCCTCCGTTTGCCTCTGCGTCCACACCACCACCGCCAACCCGCTTCTTTGTAGTCCAATACATGGTAGGATCAAGTAGTATGCTCACAGCACATATTCCAAGCGCACCACCGACCAAACCACTGGCTACCAAGTTGAGGGCGCGGAGTGCACATGGTGTATATGTGGATGCAGGCAAATGCGGCGATCATGATTGCGACAATGGTGAGATCTGTGATCGGACTGGATGATTGTAGGTAGAATGTCTGGTAGGACATTGTGGTTTGCTTTAGAGGATGTGTAGGTATCTGATATGGTTATTTTCGACGCAGCTCTCGAAATTAGTAGGGAGATGATAATTGAGAGTAGAATGTTAATAGATGTATAGAAAAGGATGGCGAGAATAATAGGAGAACAGAATTCTTGGGAACATTTTGGCAATCTGTTTTTGTCGGCCTAGAGTGTCGACACTAGACGGAAGGTGCGATGCTGTTAAGAAGAACAGGCAGGTAGGAGGCCTTCAGCTTGGTAGACACAATGGTACCCTTCCGCCATTCGCATTGGACTTCTGAAGGGCAATCGAATCAAAAATCGTGTCTCTACCGTGTAGTCTCAGTAAAGCAATGTAAGCGTATAGGCCACTTAAGACTAACGTAGTATGTTAGCTCAGTTGGTAAAGCCGTGGGATAAGGTGGCCACCTTATTCAGGGCCCCGGATCGAGGACATGCTACATTTTTGTCTTTTTGTTTTATCTTTCGTCCCAACACATCCGTTCCGGCTAGGTTACAGTGTAGTCTATGCAGTGAATGTAGCATGGAGGATTAAAGTGAATTCACTACTTTGTACTCTGTAGCCTTTTGCCCGGACGTCAAGAGATGACTAGACAAGACAGCGTGTTGATACTTGGAATACATGGAAGTCCTGCAAACATCATAAACTGTATACTATTTATCATGCCAATATTCCTGGTAGTAAAGGTAGCGTAGCCCATAAGGAGGCAGTATATTATATACACAGGTAATCCCGAATTTTATTACCGCCAGTCTAAACCCAATCACGAACAAACAAAGTACCGGAGAAAACAAATCCAATTCCCAGTAAAACAATACTTACGACCCAGGCGACCTTTTACAATTCAACCAGCCTTCACCCTAAAACCATCCCATCCTAGCACCAGTCAACACCAACCACCCAGCAACACCCCAAACCCGACAAAAGCGAACACGAACACAACCAAACAGCTCGGGTAATTCAAATGATAGCTTCCTCATACATGAACCTATCCAACCAGACAACCCCCACCCCCTCCGGCGGCTCCACGCGAATCTCCTTGTTTCCGAACCCGATAAAGGGCTTCTTAACGGTCACCTCCCGGACGTCCCCTCCATATTCTCCGTCATCAGCGCCTCCAACCACTCTCTTCGTCCACCAGTATACAGATTCAGGATCCAAAACAATGGCCACAAGACAGATGCCAATCATGACTCCCAAGTGTGAGCCAATGCAGAGGGCGAGGGGGATGAGCTGGGGGCATATCTCGCTATCCCGAGGCCCGAGCTCCTGGTAGAGGAAGAAGCAGAAGACGTTGATGAAGATGAGAATTACAAGGAGAGTGAATGGTTTATACGGCCGGTCGTAGAAGACCTGATAGATCTTGGCGGCCATTGTTGTTTGGGGGTTTCGAGGGAGAGTTCTGATGCGGTTTGTTTTTGCGAGGATATGGGGGTCGCTTGGAGGATTAACGTAAGTGAGACGAGAGATGTATGGCGTTCGCGAGAAAATACAATGATAGTAGTGGTGTTGGAAGAGAAGAGAAGAGATCTTGGGGTTCGTTCTTTCAGCAGTGTCTAACTTAAAGTGGAAGGACCGATCCTGAGCACAGGCAGAAGCCGGGGACTCTCTGTACTGTGCTCAGCTTCAATTGACCTACACGATACTTCGTAGTTCCAATGTTGATCAGAATTATCAATTCAATTAGTTGGCTATATGTGGTAATGATGATTTGGTTGGCCGAGGCGGGTTTATGGTGAGATTTTTTGGAGAGGTTGATGGTGCTGATGGAGGAGAGAAGAGCTTGGTTTGTCTAAATTGGGATGGAAGAAGTGGTACACGAGATACGCGCATCTATACTGTCAATTGGGTCATGTACCCATTCCTGAAACACTTTATTGAAATTAACTCTAGAGAAAAATGAGGTTCCCAAATATCATGAAGCAGTTTGCATTTTTGAACCATAATGAAGGTAGTATAATATACACAGCGTGAAAGCTATGAAACTATAGACTCTGATAGTCGCTCCTTCTGAACGAAAGAATACCCCTAAGCTAGGGTTCAAAGAACGCTCCAGTATGACCATTTAAACTAAATATTTACACCCCATACCAAACGAATCCTCCAATCCACCTTCTGACACGAAAATCCGAACGCCAACCCATCACCAAAACCACCAATCCCCCAACACCACCGGAAACCCAACGAAGCAAGCAAGGGTCACGCAGAACGAGACGAAACAAAGACGTTGAAAACCGAGCACAACCAACAAAACCACCCAACCAGCTCAGATCCTAACCAACGCTTCATCGTGCCGGAACCCATCAATCCAACTATCCCCCAGCGCCTCAGGCGTCACAAACCGAACTTTCCAACGCTCAAACCCAATCAAAGGCCTCACAATAGTGACCTCCCTTTCCTTTCCATCTGCGTCTCCCTTTTCTCCCCCGTCCCCATATTCCTTGATCCTTTTCTTGAAGTAGAATTCCGTGTCAGGGTCTGTGATGAAGGCTAGCAGACAGACGAGAACCACGGATCCTGCATAAATGCCGAGAATGAAAGGGGACTGGGCAGCGTAGTTTACACCGACCAAGTAGTGGACGTAGACGAAGGCGAGCGTAAGGCAGGCGATGATGCCCCACACGAAGGAGACGTGATAGGGGCGGATGTAGATTATCTGGTAGTTCTTCACCATGGTGGCGGCCTTTTGCTTGATGTGGGGTTTTGATTGGATTGAGATGAGTTTTCGGAGAGGTATGGAGAGAGTTTATTAGATTAAGAGTGCGTTATGATGGGATAGCTTGAGAATGCTGATTGGGATGGAATAGTAAGAGAAGAAAGATGATGGTGGGAGAGCAAGGAAGAGAGAGAGAATAGTTCTCGGGAAATTTTGGGTGTCGTTTTCTGCGTCGAAACTGAAGCGGAAGGAGTGATGCAGGCAGGTACGAATCACAGGGGAAAGCTTCAGTCTTTGGTCAAGTTTATTTTGTATACGGTAGTGTCAATTGGTTAGGAACAAGGTTAGTTTAATTGGGTGAATTATAGATACCGTAGCCAGTATGCTCTATGAACGAATATTGAGCATTGAATCCGATAATAACCCTATAGAGATGGTTGACATCGTCGTAAGAGGGATAACAACCGTAGGAACTGATATTTCACGTCGATGAGGAGAGAGTGGAGGTTAACTCGAATATTTCTCTGGGGATTTGGGAAGAATCCAGTGGAGTAGTATAACGTATCAAGAGGTTTCGAGGTAGAGGATGGCGATGGTGAGTGTCGGGAAAGAAGAAATTCGGGGCCGGTTGTCTCGTCCACTTAGCGGTGCCGATGGAATGGAAGGAGTGATACCATTGGGGCAGGCAGGAACAAGGGACTTCTTTGCTTCATTAATCCGCATTAGGCCTAGCATCTTAGAATTGAAAACAAAGAAGAGAATAGCTACTGCGTAAATCTCAAATAGGAATTTTACAGTTCCATCATTCAAGTTGGTGATTTTGAATGCTTCTAAAGAGTCTTGCTGGAAATAAACCATTTTTAAAGTAGTCTGCCACTGGGAACGAGCAACGAAAGTAGCTTCAAGCAGTGAGTGATCAAGACAATCCATTCCGCACTCTGTCCAACGCAGTGCTTTCTCGAGAACAATCGAACAAACCCAGATACCACTAATGACCAGACTAAAACAGACAACGACCAAAGATGATTCTATGTCTTATCAGTAACTAATACCCAACATGTCAGCACCAATCCCAAGCACAATACATCAACGCAGCGCCAAACAAATCACCTCAAATCCGTACCAACGCCTCCTCATACCTGTACCCATCAACCCAAACCTCCCCATATTCCATCGCACTCTCCAAGCAGTATTTATAACATTCAAAACCAACAAGCGGCCTCTTCACTTTGATCTTCCGTTCCAACTTTCCCTTGTTGTTTTCTCCGTCATCAACAGAACATCGAATCAACCTCGTTGTAGTATAAGTCATCGCCGGATCCATAACAATCGCGAACACACAGAGGATAATAGCGAAACTGATTTCGGCGTAGGTGACGAGGTTCGTAATAGCTGGGATAGGGGCTGGGAGGTGAGGCTCACGCGAGTTGTCCAAGGTAAGGGCGAAGGTAAGACAGGAATAGGAAAGCATGTCGAGCAATATTAGAATGAAGACAATGCGAGCATCGTAGGGACTCCAGTAGAAGGTCTGGGTTGAGGCCGACATTGTGCGTTGCTTTCGAGGGTTTGTTTTTTGTTCGGATGGGGATGTAGTTTTGAAGGTTTCAGACGGATTCGATAAAGTAGAAATGTATTTTGTTTTGAAGTGGAAGACATTGGCAGTAATAAGTAATAAGGATCTTGGGAGATTCTGGCGGTTTGTTTTTGCCTGCTTTGTATTACTGTTGGTGCAAAACGGAAGGGGCGAGGAGCGGCGCCGGTTCGGAGTAAGCGCAGATTGGAATCGCAGACCTACATGTTTTCTTCAGGTAGATACGACAGTGTCGAATGATCACAAAGGTTTCGATTCTATTCGGTTCATTAGGTATTTCTCCGTTGAAGTGGTCGAACAACAGAGATAGGATGTGTTTGGGTAATGAAAGATTGAATGAATCCATACTCCGTGCGCTGTAGAGCCCTTGTTTCCCAAAAACAGTAAGAGATTATCGAGGTAGTAGTACTATACATTCACCATAAGCGGGAGAGATGCACATAAGCAACACCAAGTGATACAGCCTAATCAATCCCACTGCTGAATCTTCCTCGCAGCTTCGTCCACAGTTCGTTCCATCGAAGGACTACCTAAAATCCACGGAGCCACCGACCACAAAGTCCGCCACCAAAAGACGAATGCTCCAACACAAACCACCAAAATATCTCCCAGCCAAGAACCAACACCAACCCAAACACCAACACACACCAAAAACCCCAACCGATCCAACCCATCAAAGCTCAAACACAGCCCGTTCATACCTTGCCCCATCCCACCAAACATCTGCCATCCCAGCCGGTGAATCCAAGTAGTACTTGAGATTTTTAAACCCAAACAGCGGACGCTTGACCTTGTACTTGTATGAACCTCCACCCCCACCGCCATTGTCCTGAACCTTCCTCGTCTTGCTAAACGTAATTCCCGGATCAATGAGTATCGCAATAAAAGACAGCCCCAGGACGAACGTAAACTCGGCAACGCAGATCAGGTGTAGGGTCACTGCGACTTGAGGCTTTGCGAAGACGGCGGCAAATTTGAGACAGATATAAGCGACGAGGTTGAATGCGATTATGATGAAGAAGGAGAGGGGTGAGTATGGGCAACGGTAAAAGGTCTGGACGTTCTCGTTCGGCATTGTTGCGGGATCCCGTGAGGTTTGTTGAAGAGGAGAGTGAGATGCATTCGTTTGTTGATTCGGTAGAATGTAGTTTGGTGTTTTGGAAGAAATCAATAGAGTAGAATGAGAGGTTGAGGTTGTGGGTATGGGAAGAAAAGGGATCAAAGAGGAGCCCTGACGGTTTGTTTTGGTCTATTTACTAGGTCGACACTGGTGGAAGGAGCGGTACTGGTCGAAGTATACGCAGGAACCGGAGATTTGTAGACTTCATAAACCATCATCAAATCTAGATATAGGAGTATGAATTCGTGGACATGAAGATCAATTTGATTGCATCGGCTACGTGCTACTTCAGTGGTATCATTGAGCAGTAAACGATCAGATGGACCGTTTTCGCCTTCTACAGAGAGTAGAGATGATGTTTCCCGTAAGATGAATATTCGAAGCAGTTATCATTCTTTTGCTCACCGACAGGCAATGCAAAATAAACCATAATTAATATATAAACCGTAACCAATTCCGAAGACCCCAACCATCACTCGAGAAGTACCCTTGAAGAAACCACCACGAAAACCAGCAACAAACCCAGCCAAACGATCTAAACCATAAAAATACTAACGAGCGAGGACCGTTCGAGCAAAGCCAAATAGACAAGAAACTCCCAAGCAATCCGAAACGCCAACGCTGAAACACCATCCAGCACAAACGAACCAGACCGACGCGAAAACAGAGAGACAACCAATATAAGCCATCAGATTTCCCAGTAGGCATCACGATACAGATTGCCCCTAAACCGGACACTCTGAGGCATGGTGTCCTCGTCAATAACCATCTTCTGGCTCCGGAATCCGATTAAAGGCCTTATAACCCGCAAAACACGTTCCTCTCCACGGCCACACGCGCGGTATCCCCCATTTCCTCTTTCTCCCGAGCCGTCCTCACAGATGGTAGCGTCTTTCTTGCCGGAATTATCATCGCGATCGCCGGTCACGTAGCCCACAACCTTCCCCTCGACAGTCATGATGGCGGTGCATTGCTTGGCCTTCGTGGAAGGAGGACAGGCAGGGACGAAGTGAGAGTCAGTGGTTATTTCTTCATCGTTGGTCCTAGCGACGACCTTCTTGGAGACGTAGTTGACCTTCGGATCGAGTATGATAGCGCAGAGACAAACAACGGCGATGAACGCGAGTAGAATACCCCGAATGATGGTCAGGACGGTGCAGATGCAAGGCGAAAAGAGGGCGGCTATGGCCATGAGGAAGGCGTAAATGGCGACCGTGGGAAGAATAAGGAGAAACAGGAGAGTAGGTTCATACGGGACCATGTATAGGATCTGGTGTGAGGATGCCATTTTGCGCTGTGGTAGGAGGATTTGGAGGTAGTATATGGTTCCACTCAAATAACGACGTGGAGAATGGTAATGGTAGCGAGGAAGAAAGTAAGTAACTTGGGGATTCTGGTGGTTTTGTTTCTGTCTAGTGGTACTGACAGTGAATAGAAGGAGCGATGCCCGTGCGGAGTAAGGGCAAGTACGGAGTAGGAGCCGCGAACTCCTATGCTTTGTTGAACTCCATTAGATTAGATACAATGGTTTCAATTGGTGGTATGTGCCCATTATTCTGTGTTAGCAGGTAGTTTAGTCCAGCATGGACGATGATCGTTTTATAAACCTCTATAAGCCACTCCAAACTTGAGAATCACTCAAAAAGAAACGCCATTAAAAAGTACCGGGGAAAATAGCAATAAATTAAACAAAACAAAAAACCAGCACACACAGAAGCAAACCTCGTCCTTACTCAATCAAATCTCAAACAACGCCTCTCCATAGAGGACCCCATCTGCCCGAAGATCCCCCGGTGTATCATTCGTATCCAAGCTCTACTTGAGATGTTTAAAGCCAACCAACGGCCGTATAATCGTGACGGTACGTCCTTCTCCATGGCCACCCTCACGGTTCTCCCCACTGGCTGCTACCTCCGGATTATCTTCACTGTCAACGGTCTGTCTCTTCGTTCTGTACGTAATCTCCGGGTCAAAGAGAACTGCAAGTATACATGTGCCAAATACGAACGTTAGCTCAAGGGTGCGGATAACGGTTAGAATGGTGGGGGGGGGGCTCGGTTAGGGTGCTGAAAACAGCGTAAGAAGCGACGGTAAACCCGATGGACATGAAGATGCAGGAGGGAACGTAAGGTCGGGTGTAGAAAGTTTGGTTTTACCCTACTGATGAAGGTCGCCGCAACGGTAATTCAATTTAGTACGAGAGGAACCGTTGATTCAGATAATTGGTTTTTGCGGCTGTCTGACTACAGTCTATACACACTTCCTTGGCGTAATCTAAGTAAAGGTACAAGATAGAACAAGAGGCGACCAAATGGACCCATCTCTCAAATTTGAACGGAGTTGAGATGGAATAAAATGGTAAAGAACCAGTAAGGCCATGGTATTCAAACTCCAGTGACGCGCAGCAATGAGTCTATAAGTCCCAACCTCGACGACTTTGATAAAAGTGTCCCGTGTTCCACCCCAACGAAGCCAACCCTTAAACTCAAACAAGCAATAAACCTAGCAAAAAGGAGATGTACCCGATCTATCCAACCCCAGCACCGACCGAAGCCAAACGCACACCAAAGACAGACCAACCCTCATCAAATCTCGAAGAAAGCCCTTTCTTCCGGTGTATCCACGTACAGTTTCAAACTATTGAACACAAAAAAGGGCCGCTTGACCTTAATCATCCGCGCTCTACTACTCCAACTCCCATCCTCACCGTCGCCTTCAACCTGCCTCTTTATGGTATATGCTGTATTCGGATCAAAAATAATGGTCAACACACACAATAGAACGATGTCGATGAGACAGCCGATGCTGAGGGCGTTGAGGAAAATCGAGAGGTAAGACCCTCGGAGATCGATGTGGAAAGGTAGATGGGGCTCGATAATGTTGAGGTAGATGTAGAGAGTTATCCAAAAGCCGATCGAGCCAGCGAGTCAGCGAGCGCCATAGGGTAGGGAGTAGAATACTTGTTGGTTCTCACTAGCCATGTTGGGCGCTTTGCGAGGGTATGTTCGTGATGTTTGTTTGTTTGAGTGCAACGTTGAGAACTTTAGTCAGGATTGAGGTTTGAGGGTGGAATATAGCTTTCTGCCTAGTTTCAATTACAGTATACAAGTTAACCCATGAAACTTTTTTTTTTTTTCGGAGCAGTTCTAGATAATAGAAAGAACATATAATCATTAATACGCTCAATTATGATCAGACTGCACCGTTGATGGATCTATAAACCCAATAAAGCGAAAATCCCGTTCCATCCAATCCACCCGTTGACACAACACATCAGCACCATGTCAATAGTAACCGAACATACGTCACACCATAGCAATTCATATTAAATGCGAAAGAGAGCCTTCTCATGCCGAATCCCATCAACCCAAACATCCCCCAACGCCCCCGGAGTCTCGACGCGATATTCGCAAGCCTTGAACCTGACCAACAGCCTCACATAGCTGATTGACTCTTTATCTACAAGCACTGGTATATAGATGTAGGGCAAAGGATTGTTGATCAGGGACTCCATTATCGGTGCTTGGTAGCCGCTACAAGTGTCGAGGTGGTTACGTTTCCCGAATAGGAGCAACAATGGAAGAACCAAGAGGTCAAGCTAGTAACATACGGCGATGAGAGATGTTTTCGAAATTAAAGGGTTTCAGAAGACGACAATAAACCCAGTTAGCAATACCCCCCGATCCATTCAATCCATTCAAAAGCCACCCAAGCATTAAAGCCCCAAAGCAAACCTAATCAGCCCTATCCAATACGAACCAGCGCCTTCTCATGCCGAACACCATCGACCCAAACATCCCCCAAATGCTCCGGCGTCTTCTGTCGATACTTATACCCCTCAAGCCCAATCAACGGCCTTTTCACCGTGATGACACGTCCTCTTTTCCCATTTCCTTCAACCCGTCTCTCCGTGGTATGAGCAGTCTCCGGATCGAGAATAACAGCATACGCACAGGATGATAGGATTACGCTGAGACTGGCAGCGCGGATAAAGCTGGAGATGTTGTATAGGAAAGGGGATAGGGGCTTGGCGAGTTTGTTCGTAAGGATGTAGGAAGTGGCTGCGCAGCCGATGGAGAGGAAGATGGTGCGAGGGGAGTGAGGGAGGGAGTAGAACGTTTGGTGGTTTTCGTTTGGCATGTTGTTTCGCATGATGTTGGGGTTGTTTTGATGGTGTGTGAGTTAGTTTGATTACAGTCTTGAGCAGGGATGATGGTCATCGGAGAAAAAAAATCCTTCTAGGTGCCTAGTGTCGAGGAACCATGGAACATCTACCGCGTCACTTCTAGATGACAGTGTTAACTGGCTGTAACGGGTATGTTCCCGAATAGGATAAGATGCGATGATGTCATAGCCTTCAAAACTCCGGATTCCCAGACGATCCGCTAGCGATCGGACCATTTCCCCTCCAATTCAGCGTGGATGGACATGCCCTGAACGGGATGATTATGAGGTGGGATGTCATGTCATGGCAGGATATTCTTTACTCCGTATGCAGAAATGTTATCCATTAGTGAAATTTAGCTGTCATCGCATCGCATGCAAATCTGAGTGGTCAGATATGCGTGTGATAACTCAGGAGCGAAATCGGAATCCCTGTTGAGGGAGAATAATCGACAGTCAATGATTCGGTCCGATCCGTAGTTGTACCGTGGTACAACGTCGCCTAATTGTGCTCCCAATTGTAATATCCGCCTTGCGATGCTCAGTAAATTCCAGCCTTTATAATGCTATAAATATTGCCTATATTCGAGTATAGTCGAGACTGCGCCCTCTTGGGCAGCCACAAGGCGCAGTCGGAGAACCACTAAAGTCCGGGACGAGAACGTTCTCCAGTCTACTCCGTACTCTCCAGGTCTTTAGGCCCAACAAACCGAATTTGAGATCCTGTTGCCTACCTGCATGACAGGTGAAACAATCGGGTATAGTCTGCAGGGGTAGCAATGGTAACTGCGCACTCCGTACTCTGTACTCTCCGAGAGTGTGATCCATTTAACACATACACCGCACGACCTCTCTCCACAAACGGTGTAGCTCATTGCGACGAGGACTGGATTAGGCGCTGCCCTGCTATTGTAATACCGCTCGGTCGATAATAAAGCACTCATAAGAGTCCGGGGATTACATATTCTCGTCAGCGTCAATGGCTGGCTGTAATGATAATAGCGCCAATTAATATCACCATAATAGTCATCCTTCCGATTTGCGGCCTTTTTGATCAGCAGCCATGTCAATAATGTGAAGTATAAAACACTTGGTGCCAAGTAATACGCTCGACCGCCGGATGGTTATTAAGTTCTGGAATGAGGTGGTTACAGGGCCCTGCACGTCAGGCGCGAATGGGAGAGATCCTTCCAAGATCTTCGGGGTCGGTGTCCATTAGGGTGGATGTCAGGCTGCTGGTGAGGCAATAGCTTGTCTCGTGGTATGTGTCAAATGAATATTCTCTATTTCCACTATTTCCAATCGATTCTGTCAGCGTCACTTTTAGAGGGGAAATTTGTATCACGGATTTGGCTGACACCGACGGATTATCATCCTCGCGGGTTTTGCTCTTCATCCCACGACAAAAACAAGAAATAAGAGACAATTCTGACACCCAAGAATGCCAATCCTAGCAAAGCCCCAAGAATGCGGCTGTCTGTGGAGGAGCCCCGACTAAGACCGGCGGTGGTTGTAAAAAAAGAGTAGGACAGTTCAGTGCTCCTCCTCTTCATACTTGGGCGATCAACGTGTCTTTCGGCATCATCTGTATCTTAATGTATCTTATTTCCCTGCGCCACTTAATGCTCAAATCCCGCATGTTTTCTTTTTTATTTTTTATTTTTCTTTTTCTTTTGGACCCAAATTGTCGCCCTGTTTTAATTCTCTTCCGCTTTGCCGGTGCTGCTGCCATATCCACCACTACCACACTGCCTCTGCCTTACTTGTGTTGTGTGCCTGGCTTGCTCACTCTGGGCGGCATTCCTGTCTCTCTTGCTTCATTCTTATTATTAGACTTGGATACCGCTGTTTTCGTGTCTTCTATTTTTTTTCTCCTTTTTTATTTTAAACAACTCTCCCCAGCAACATTGGACCCAAACATCTCTTTTCATCGTGTCTTGCCTCTATCCACATCCGCCCACGTGAATCGCGAATGTGTTGTCGACCATATAACACACAAGTCTCGCAGATTATTCAAACCCCGTGACTCATTTTTTCTTCTTTCTTCTATTTGAAAGAATGTTCATTTTTGTCTGACTGCATGATTGAGCTCTGTTTGTTCTGTGTATAGCTTGCTTTGTTTACTACCATTTTCTTTGCCCTTCCCAATTTAGCGGCCCGCATCATACCGCGCCCAACCAGAGTTATATACGGAACCCGTCACAAGATTATTTCGACTTACCGCGGAGTCCGCATGCGTTGGCGTTGTTATATTCGCGCCATCATGGAAGCTTACCACAAGTCGCGTCGTGCCTGCCATAGCTGTTTTCGACCAGGTACCAGCTCCTCAACGAACAGTGAAGCTTCCGCGCGCTCGAAGAGCACGGCCCCTACGATCTACAGCGATCATCGGCCCACGTCGAAGCAAAAAGAGAAGCAGCCTGTGGACCCCGAGGACGACGACGAAGAAGGAGTGCTCGAGGGTGTCGAATATGGCGACGATGATGAAGTGTTCGCGATTGGCCCCAAAGACTCCGCCTCGACATACGCATCAACTGTCCCCGAAGAGCTTCCGGAGGAGGAGCCTCGCTATGTGGTAGTCGACCGCAGACCTGAGTTCTTCCCGACAGATCCGCTTCCGTCGAATCCGCTCAGCTTTGGCGACTTGTTTCCCTCGTCGCGACGGCTTCTTATTCGACATGATGATTCGACGCTTGATGGGAACATGAACCTGCGCGTGGATGCTTTGGTTCCACACCGGGCTGGGTTCCAGCAAGATATCACCCTATTCCATCTTCGCATGTACGACTTGTTCTCGAGGAAATTCTCTTTCCGTCGCTACTGTCGCGACTCAGGTCGCGAGGTCTGTCACACCGAGAGAAAGAGGGCTTCGTCTCCTGGCCTCGACAAGCGATTGACTCGTTCGTGGAGTACTGCTTTGGCAAGTCTGCGATCAGGCCATGGGTCTCCAGAGAGAAGACGCCGGGATTCGGGATCGAAATCTATGAACGATGCACCAGTCGTCCCGACTGATGAAGAGTTTGACCAAGATGACGACGATCGAGAGCAAATGCCATTCGTTGACACGACAATGATGGAATTCTCGAACTATGCTCACGTTGAAGTAAAACGGGGGATATCAAAGCACTATGAGTTTGAGTACTGGACAACCAAGTACCAATGGCGACGGCAATGTCGAAAGGAGGGCAATTTGCGCGACCTGGTGTCGTATTACTTGGTCAACATGCAAACGTCCAAGACAGTCGCCCACTTGGTTCCAGATATCATGACCCCGATGGAAGCCATCGAGGAGGAGGACAAGGGCGGTTGGATACCACCATCATCCCTGTGGATCAGTGAATCTTCGGAGTATGAAAGGATGACGGATGTTGCGGAGTAAGTAGATCATGAGATCCCCTCTTTCTTACAGGGCTGCAGCTAACAAAACTATCTGCAGTGCAATTGTGGCTACTGGACTGATCGTCTTGGTCGACGATTGCATCCGGCGTCGTTGGCACTCCAGTCGGTCTGCCCATCTTTTGGATCCGATGAAGGCCTTTTCCTCCAAAAGTATCGACTTCCTGGGACCCAAGCGCCTCATCGATGAAGTGTTTCACCGCCGGGGGTCAGCATGAGCTATAATTATGACGAATATGATGATTACGACCACGAAGGAAAGCTATATTGGATGTTATTTTCGGACGGTGCAACATGGCAAGGGATGGTGGTCGAGAGCGACTGCAGTCTTGATATAATCGCGGGGGTTGCCAGCACAGTATCCCACCGCCATTCCTCGAGCACAGAAGAGGAGCTCGGACTACTGTCGGAATGAGAAACTCTGTTTTGATTGGAGATCTCGCGTGACATTCACATTCGGCCTTCGATCACCCTTGCGCATCTGCATCGACCTGAGCTTACGCCTAGACTTTTCCTATGCTACTAATGACTTGACGACAGCGCATATGACTGGCTATTTCTTTTGTTAATTTCTGTCTTGTTTAATATCACATCTTGGACTTTTGGACTTAGGCATCTTGGTTATTTAGGGTTGGGCGGTTATATGAATCTTTTAGGCGTCGATGTGTCTTGCATTTGGCCTAATATCTGTTTTATTGGACCAGGTATCTTGTGTTTTGTTTCCATTTTTGGTTATGTATATGGTCAGCATGTATACTGTGCAGTGACACCTGTCTGTAAAAATAGCCCGAAACGGATCTCCGTCCTCATGAACCGGACAAATAGATTCTTTTATACAGACTCTCCAGGTTGACCTTGTTTTGGAACGGACCAGATGTAAGTGCTTTTGTAGTGCATCCACTGTGGTACCGAGTACGATGAGACGAACCATAACCGAATACGGGGAAGAAACTCACTGCTACGGGTGAGGGATTGATTGGACCACGAGGCACGATATCAATTCCGACACCTGTTTTTTTCGTTTCTTTGTTCTTGTTTCTGTCCGTACATCGATTGTTTCTTTTTTTCAATTCATTTTTCCAGCCTTCTGCCTGTATTGTCTGGGTATGTCTGGTTCATTGGCTCTGGATAAGTACCGAACTTGATATTGCGGGGCAGTTGAGCCTCTCTTCTTCTCCTATCCCTTCCTCCTCTCCCTCTCGCTTCAGTGTCCGGCGCTTTCTTAACGACGCCTTAACCCAATCATTGGGCAAGAGATATTTATTACATCTGTTATCGAAACTTGATTTCCATGGTTCATCTCGATGATCATGAACTGATGTCCTGATACAGACAAAGGCCATCATGTTGGGCATTAACGCCTGCATCCGACAACGAGACCGCGGAGACCACAACCTGATAACCAGCGAATCATAATAATTCCTCTATCGGGGATGCAATAGGGTACATCAGATCTGTTTCGCTCCATTACTTTTATTTATTTATTTATTATTTTTTTTTTTTTTTTTTCTGCGTCAACTTTGCTGGCATCAACCTAGACTCAGTCCCCTGCAGACGTCGATTTTGAGAAAGACGGAAAAGAGCCATGTTCCAATCAAACGTCCTTCGACCGTCTCAATTCATCTGCCATCCTCCGACAACGGCAGACATTTTCTCCCACAATTCCCCGTTCATGCAAAGCGGCCCGGTGGAGAGAATTTGTGTGGCTAGTTAGTTGGCCGGAAAAAAAAAAAAAAAAAAAGAGAGAAAAGAAAAAGAAAAGAGGAACGGGTACGCTTCAAGCCTTGAACTGTCTCGACGATTTGGACACGGCCGGATTGATTGATGAGCTGGCAATTCAATTGTGGCCTCGCGGGGCCCGCTTTGCGGTCCTCCATGTGGTCCCAAACAGGTTGATTCTGGCTTCAATTCGTCGCTCTTGTGTTTTTTCCGATGGGGCCCTCTCCGCTTTTGGGCAACGAGAAGTCAAGTCAACTTTACTTTACCCCTCCATAGGTGGTTGGTGGGCGGTTCCAGTATTTTTGTTTTTTTGTTCCAGAAGGACCTCTTTACTTTTCCCCCGTTCAAGTCGGGAGCGTTCCCGCTGGCTCTTTTTTCCCGGCTTTTTATGTTTTGGACCAATTCTGTCTTCCCGCTTCTTTGGGTACCCGATCATGGACATGGGTTGCTTTACTCGTCGGACACAACATAACCGTTGAGCGAGGGAGGCGAACAAAACGGCGGCAAAAAAAGAAAACAAAGATAGTGTTCTGAGTTGTCCAAAAACCGTCCGGGAAACTGTTGGCTGTTGTATGCCGGTCAATTGCTTCTCCCTTGTCGCCTTGTATCGGCCCTGTATCTCTTTGCTTCTTCTTTTTGTCAATTCTTGCCCTGTCACCGAATGGATCTGGGCTGAGGGTGGAGACTAGTGCTTCCCTCTCCCTGGTTCTGTCTGGCGTTTCTTCAAGGGTGCACATTCAATCGGCGTGCGCCGGGCCGTTCCAGCTTGCAGCCTCAAAATGATCCGCATGTTCCCCATGCAACTTGCGGTTGCTCGAGTGGGCAGATAAGAGAAGACTCGGAGGGGCAAGGAAAATTTGATGACGCTGTCTTGTCCCCATGTCCACAGCAACCTGCATAAGCCCCTTCTGCTAGGTTTGCTGGTCAGGCCCCATGTTTGCCATGACAAAAAAACACTGAAAAATAATTTTTTTGAAAGAAAAAAAAAAAATTTTTTTAACGAAACCGTTTTGGGGTTTTTTGATTCATGATCCACAGTTTATATGACTGACTCCCCGCTTCCCATACAAATTTCTTGGAAATCGTTCAAAAGACAGACAGGACAAGATAAAAAAGAGGAAGAGTCTGAAAAAGCGAAAATCATTCCAAGAAAACTAACCTTCGTTCTTCCAATTGACTTTTGTCGAGCATCGTTCTCTCTTTCTTCTCTTTCTCTTCTCTTTCCGTTTACTGCCGGACTATCGCTCCACAATCGATTTATTCCTAACGGTCGAGGTGTCGTGTGGGCTTGATACACACAAATATATATATACACTCGCTTTTCTTGGTCACCACAGGCGGGCCAAACATTTGCCGGACTTTTCCCTCTCTACCTTGGTATGAAAGTCAATTGCAATCATGTCTCATGATCCGAACTTCGAAGAGATCGGTGGTCGCTGGCAGTACCAGCTTGAAGGTATGTTATGTCAATGCCCCTCGTGTTGGTTGGAAATATTACCCCCTCGGAATGATGGTTGACTTGATGTCCAAGATTACTGTAAAAAGTCCAACTTCCAAACGCCAACCTTTCACATTTTTTCCGATCGTCGAGGTATATTCTCTTCCTTTTCTTATTTCTTGTTTTCGTTTTCTCTGTTTTCTCTTTGCCTTCTTCCTGTGATTCCCTACATAACCGGACCGAACCGGTCACTCCCCCCCCTCCAATTTTCGAACGTTTCCTATTGTGTGTGTCGGCATAACAAGGTGGAGCTCAAGAAATCAAATACTCACCGACTTTTGACAATAACCGGCGATACTGATGGTCTTTTTTCTTTATTCTCCAGGAGGCCGCACTGCCTGGTCCAGCACGGTCAAGATCCAAGGCCGAACATTCGCAGCACGCTACTGGTACGACGGACCCTACCTCAACAATGCCAGAGAAGACGCCGCGGAGGTGGTGATCAAGATGCTAGATCCTGTACAACATAAGAACTGCGCCAAAGCCAGCCCTCCATACCTGGGACAGTTATGGCCCCAACAACCGAGTTTTTGATTTGGCTTGACTTGAATCGGTTAGGGTGGCTAATTTGTTTGGTTGCTTTACTTTATTGTGATGGTGTTGCGATTGCTTTTGCGATTACTTCGTACCTCGTCGCCCCGTTTTTTATTTTTATTTTTATTTTTATTTTTTCTTTCCCCTCCCTTCAGCTACGCCTCTTTTTCCGTTTTATTTCAATCGCATGCGACAGATCCGAAACGACACCGACACCTCGGTCTTCGGAAGTGTGTATGACAACTGTCTCGATTGCTGGCATTTTCTATTCTACAAAAGTCTCGCAACGCGCGGTGCCGGTGAACACGGTTCTCGGTGGATGATACGATACGTATCTCGATATGTGAATGTGCCACGTCCTGTCCGTTGCGGATCCTTTTCTCTTTTTTCTCCTCGTGTCGACCTGCGCTACACCGGCCTCAAGTGATAGGTCTTTTGTGATCCACTCCACTTATGTATTCGTTTCCATTTTCTTTTACGCGACAAGCTGAACCCGAAACCAAAACCAAAACCGTTTTACGAATTATGACGACAAATAATCATGACACATGATCTGCGATGAATGGTCTTTTTTTCTTTTGTTTATTCTTTTTTGTTTCTTTTTATTCTTTCCGAACGGTTTTTCTTATCTCCGGGCTTTGCGAAGACTTAACGATGAACAAGGATTTGATTTGCTGGAGGCTGCTAGTTGGATATGATTGATTGATGTTGATATTGCACGAGAAAAGGGGGTTCATTATATTTCTGTTATTTGCATTCTTCATTCTTGGCTTGGCTTTTTTTTTTTTTTTTTTTTTTTTTTTTTTTTTTTTTTTTTTTTTTTTTGAATCTCTTTTTTCGACACTCGGAAATAACAGTACGTATGGCATTTTACTCGGATAAATGTGTTTCACAGAATAGATAGGCTTCTACTTATCAATTTTAGTTTATTATACTACTTTTCAAAGAATAAATCTGTATGTATACACTCATTGACGCCTGATAAACCTCGGTATATTTAACCTGACATGAGCTTAACCTTAATTCGGGCGATGCACGTGCCGTTCCCTGGTACGTCCTCGGGCGTTCCAGGAATGGGCTGAGGTTGTGTTGACGGTGGTCTATCGATCTCGTAAGCTCGCATAAGTTTATCCGAGGCCCAGGAGGAGTAGAGCTTGCTCTTATGACTATGGTATCTCAGTGAATGGCGGTTCTTTTTTTCCCCTTCTTTTGTGTTTTTTTCGCTCTTAGTCTCGTCAGCATTAGTGTCAATTAACTTCTTAGCTTTCTTCCTCCGTTAACCTACTCATCCTGGTCCGGGCTTCCGCTTTAAAATGGTAATCTTACCTTGTCTGCTGAGTTACAATATTAGATCAATTAGACAGGAAGATCACACATCACTGGTCTATCAATCTATATTGAGAAACCGGATCCCATGTACCTGGAGAACCAGAGCGAGCCAATCGTAGCTCCTTTGTATTCTTTAAAGACGATTTTGAATAAAGTGGCCTGGAATAGTTAGAACGGCCTATTCTCAAATTACTCTGGAAACCAATGATCGAAAGACCCCCCCCGACAAATTGCAACCTGATAACCGTTTTCCTTCTCCTCGCCCAAGCAAACAACACCCATATGGCTTTATTTAATGAGGCTCGCTTGTCAGGACACCGGGGTGGCCCGTGTGCCGGCTGCAAATGGAAGAAGCGGCGCCTGTCCTTTGCAACCGGCACACGTGGATCTCTGGAAACAAAAATTCAGACAATTCTACGGTGTCCCATTTGAATATGTCCGAGAGCATGTCGCTTGTTTTACGGCGTACAAATGCAAGCCGTTTTCATTCGCACCGATGTGCCATACGACGCAGTCTGCGAGTGAAGAGAAAGGCTAGTGCGAAACCTCTAATGAAGGCGAGAGTTGGCTCATGAAGGTCATGCTGTGCCAGCTTTCATAAACCATTACCAAGCAAATTGCAACCGGAACTATCAACCGAGAGATCGACCTAGATCCACCAGAGGCACGCAGGAGACCCTCATTCTAAGTGGCACTCCTATATCAACCACGCACTTGGTTTCCTCGTCGGCGCATATTTGACAGGTTCTTTTCATTCTCTTTTCGACATCTCTCTCCTGTCATCACCTAACCTTCCAGGAAAGGCTCTTGCAAGATATTATTCTAATCTTATATTCTAGTACAAGTCGACAAATATGGCAGCAAGTTACTCTCAGAATTTTACCTTTCCTCTCTCTCTATCCCTTTTTCTTTTCTTTTTATTCGTGTGCCTTGTTTTTCCCATTGAGATGGATCGATACTGACAGATTTGTTTGATGCAGTACCTCCAGAATGGCATATTTTAATTATCTCTCTCGGAAGTACAATACGGTGGGCTCCGGGAGCCAGTGGACCACTTGTGAATCACATACTACATCTCTACTTTGACCCGGAGAACTACAGAGTTGACAGGGAGGCTTACGCTGGTAACACCAGAAAGCCAGCGGACAAGCGGACATCGTTTCCTGTAAATTCCTGAACGGTACGTGAGAGCAATTTCTCTTCGTGGAACTTAAACGTCCACCAGATTCACCACCACGTAAATTTACATTAGCGCGTACCGAGGGGAAACGGATAAACTGCAACTTACGTTCATCTTTGGAGGAGTTTGCTATATTTGAGTTTGCGAAGACGATAATGAGAAGGGCAGGATTAGAAAAGAAAAACAAGAGAAAAGTAAGAACGCAAAAAACAGCATCTAGCAAGTAACCCTAAACGATTACAGCCGGCCAATCAAGTGCCAACTCCAAGCCCTAACATTCAGTGAATGCACCAGTCTTATTCCATTGCGTTTAGAAATTAGGCGGAATCGTTTCTTTCTTTGATAACGCAAAGCCAAACTGGAAGAAATATAAGATTCTATGAGCCAGAATTGGCAGATAAAGTAGACCGAAAACAGCCCGGGGCAACAATGCCCTCAGCTGAGATAAATATGCTTACCGTGGTCGCAGGGAAGAAGAAAGCAAGACCAACGTTCTTATGAGTATAAAAAGTCTAGACATGGGCGCCTCTTGCGTCTCTCATAGTCAACCCCCCCCGGATCTCAAGGGTCATTAATTCCGTGCTCTGTCGACAGCGTTAGTTTTGTACATAGACAAAGAAAACAAATGGAGTATATTATTTTGTACTTACGTCAAAGCACGAGTTCAAAATATCCATCTCATCGAGCACCAACTTCTTTATTCTATCAGTAGCGTCGGTTGGCGTCCCTGTCCAAGTGGAAGCCGATGAATCCGCCAATATCTGCAGTGCATGAATGCCAACATCTGTAAAAGCAAGGTTAATCCCACCGAAAGGCTTAGCATCAAAAAGATAACTTTCCAAACTCTTATAACCGAAGGTAACACTGGGCCTGTCGGCAAAGAAAAGCCCGATGCCGGAGATATATGTACGCTCTGATTCGGAATCTCGAATGACAAAGGCTCCCACGCTCACGATAAACTGCCCGATATAAACCTCTTTGCTGTACTTATTGTCTTTTGTACGATAGTGTGCGGTCAATGGACCGAGTATCTTTTCATCGTTCTTATGAAAACACTCAATGCACTGGTTCCCATCCCCATCGCTAGGAACTTGCATGGAACTGGCATCTGCCAGCCATTTGTTGATCTGCCAGAACTGTTTGCCTGATCTGGGGTCTGAAGTCGCTATCCCTTTCCATCTTGGTCCTGGGGTTACTGCAGTGGTATAGAAGACGCCAGTTAATGCTCTTTTTTTTTTTTTCTTCTTTCTCTTTTCGCTCCCACTTGCGTGGAATATTGGCACTCTTCGGGTTATTGACAGGGAGGATTTCATTAAGAAAGCCTCGCTCACGGGACAGAGAAAATTTGCTCTTCCAGAGTGCAGAGCTTGCAAAGAGAGCTGCCATTGCTCGGGACGTAAATCGAAGTTTTAAAAACTCATGCGTGGGTAGATCGTGGCAATTGCTTCTTGAATTTTGAGTGGAAGCCGTTGAAAACAATCTGCCCCGTTTCGTTTCACGCTGTAACTCTCTGAAGCATTAAATGTCGGGAAATCCTTTGCTGACCCTTCTAGGTCGTTGATTGTCAATTCCCGAAAGCTATTCCAGTATTCATCCCCATCCTGCCATTGTATTGGTGATAGTCAGCTTAGTACATTCTTACTTTCTGTATGAAACGGACAATCACTCACTAATCACCCTCGGCGCAACTCGACACGCCTCAAAAAGCGCATGCAAGTCCACCGGGTCAGCCCCAAAATGTCCCATGAAAGATTTCCAGTAATCCTTGTGTCAAATAAAAGCATTCTGGCGACAGGGGATTGGTCCATGCATACCGGTCCCTTCCTCCTGGTTCAGCTCCCTGGACCGACCACTCATTGTCTCCCATGTGTCATCTTTGCCAAGAGGGAATCTTGCTCGATCGTTGACTATGTGTTTTCCTGCAGGGGGTGCTACTGAGACGACGCCGGATAGACGAATACCATTCTCGGTTTTGTATACTGCACGACTGCTCCGTTCAGGTAGGAAACTTACTTGCTCGGATAAATTCTCTGTTTTGATGTTCGTGCTCTGCTAGGAAACCGCATGTTATACAATCTACTCGCATGATTACTTGGTAACGTGTCCCGTACCGTGTGATCTGGGTTGGGTTTAAATTGTTGCATTATTGGGCTTTCTTCGAGTTTTGTCCGTCCAGTTGTCTGGTCATGGTTATGTCAACACTCAAACCTTGTCCTGTACAGCTCTATGTCCCATTGCAGTGTCAACAGCGAGTCTACTGGGCTCGAGGTCGAATTGCCCTGATCTCACATGCTACTGGGTAATGCGAGATGCCGATTTTGATATCTTTTCCCGCCGGAATATGATGTTTGTATGCGGTATTCTGGAGCTGTAGCGTTGAAGATAGAGAGCTAGCACAAAGATTGCAACGTAGAGAGTAGATGTAGAAGGGGGGTTTGGGAGACAGACGGTGTAAATGGTTCATAGCAAGTGATTATCCTGGGTTGCTACAGCTCACTAACAAACACCTGATCCCGCATGTGGATACAGTAGCAATCTGAATACAAGAGCCTGGTTACGCTTAAGTCCTCTTTCCCGTAATCTCGAGCTGCTTCACCTTCGTATCCTGTCGATGACTTTTTAGCTTCCAATAAGTTGAACGGATAGTTGAAGGACACCTTCATGGACTTACATCATAGTCTGCACGCAGGATATCAAGGCGTTTGAAAACCACCTCTCTTATCTCATCAATAGCGAAGTCCGGCCTTTCTACCCACGCTGAAGTCGAAGAGTTTGCAATGGCCTGTCTCCCAGCACTCCAGGTTGAAAGCAAAAGCATTTTTGGCGACAAGGTTTGTCTCTGCTCCAACCAGTGTCTTCATCCTGGACCATCATCATACCAACTACCCATTGTCTCCCATGTTTCACTTTCGTCAAGAGGGAACCTTGGTAGACCATAACCACCGCACATCATCAAACCAATACCGGACATACGAACTCCATCTGGAGCTTTGTAAACTGTAGTTTCCAAGAATTAGTGGAACACGGGGTATCCCTGGGTGAGAACTCACATGCTCGGAAAAGTTTTCTTTCTTTAGATCTGTAGCCCATATCCCCACACGAAACATATGCTTCCCATGTCATATTTCTTAGATGATTACTTGCACGGACTGTTACTGTATGGGTAGCGTATCTACCGTGGACGAGGATATTATCATTGCTCCCGGCCGCCAATATCAACGTCAATGTCAGCCTTGTTGCTACCGCCTTGCAGATGATTCGGAGCTGTCTGGAGCGAGGGGGGTGGATCCAAATGAGAAGCGAAAATCGGCGAAGAATAATCGTAGGATGATGATATTATCCGAGTGATAGCCGGGGATACAAGTAAAGAAGGAGACGATGGAGGGAGGATAAGAGATGGTGGATTTAGGAAGCAGAAGACAAACAACAGCAAACAAGAAAAGTGGTCAAAGACCAGCTTGAAAAGGACCATGCATAATGCGTCAAGCTATAAATCCAGCATTCATCCATTCAATAGCAACCCACTAGCATCAGCAATTCTGCTATATTGTCTTCGCATCGGATTCGAATAAAACACCTCATGCACACTATTAAGAGCTCCGGATCGCCACGTTCTCTAACCAACTGCGGAAAAGAAAACAACTCCTCAAAGAGCAACATTTATACATAGCCAACCCCTACCAGCCACAAACAGTATACATTCACTCTGTACCACAACCGCAAGTCTAATAACACCAACCCCACCTTAACCCAAGCAGAAACACCGACTACTCCCACTAAGGCGAGAATAGTATCACAACATCTCATATGGCCATGCGAGTAGGGCAATAAATTAAACGCCGACATGCCATGCAGCAGACTAGTCATATCACATCCCATATGGAGTAGCACCCTGTGGATCAGAAAGCACTTGCATTCCTCCATACATATCTCCGTACCACGTTCTTTATATACTTGCTTTTTCATTGCATGCGCTGCTACACGCGACCTTCCATGGTGATGGTGGCACATGTCATACAGTGTACAGATCTGTAGCTGCCCGGTAGCGTAGCGTGGGTTGTCTGTACTGTAATATTCGAGTTCTAGATCCGAGGCACGCGAGAGAAGATTTCCCCAATGACATTAAAGTATTACCATAAGGAACGTTGCACGATTAATTTAGAAAACCAAAGAAAATGAACAATTTTAAGACTATATACAAGACACGCCACAAGGGTATGAAAAAAGCAGACAATCATCAAAACATAACCAGAAATCACAATCAGAATCAAGATCGAGATCGAGATAATAAGAAAAAAAAAAAAAAAAAAAAAAAAAAAAAAAAAACAAATACATAATCACATAAACATGTCGGACATCACGTTTATCAATCATCAACTTTAGAAACTAGGCAGGAAAAAATGGAGCGCTCCAAACAAAAGCTGACCGATATCAGTTGTCACCAGAAAAAAAAAAAAGTAAAAACGCCGGGACACCATGGCCACCGTGGAATATATCAGAAAGGCGAAAAAAAAAAAAAAAAAAAAAAAAAGAAGAAGAAAAGAAGCCAGGATATATCGTAGGTGTCGATAATAAATGGTTAAGATCGAAGAGAGATGAAAGAGCGAAATAATAACAAGGTTTATGCCACTCCGACCACCAACGTCAGCTTGGAGTTACGTTGGATAGCGGTGTCGAGATCGCCGTCGTTGTTCAGGTCGACCACGGTGCCAGAAGGTTCGTCTTTGTATTGTACCACGATGCCGTCGCCGATCTTGAGTCGATCTGTGAGTTTCTCCTTGAGTTGCTGGAGGTTGATGTCACTGGGGACTCGGATGGCGATCAGATCGTCTTGGAAGAACACCTTGACCTTCATGGCGCCACCACTCGCGTTACCGCTCGAGCTGGACACTTGCGTAAGGGAGCTGGGTTGGCGGTTCATAGCCGGGGGGCCTCCGTTGGAGTGAGAGATGGATCCCTGGCCCCGCTGGTGAGAGGTCCGGTCGGGTTGTGCGCTGAGGTGTACCTGGGATGACTGGCGCGAAGTGGTGCGCGAGGCCTCTTGTGCCGACGAGGATTGGTGCGATCCAGCCGAGTATCGCGCATCCTCCCCAAAAGCGCTCGGGTCGATTTCGAAATCGCCTGGGCGTGGAGCAAACAGCTGACGGACCAATGTGCAGCGGCCGATGTGCTGGGGCATGGACAACAGTTTCTTGATGTACTCGTCCAGGTTCTGTCGACGGCCATTGGAGATGGCATCAGTCACATGGGTAACTGGTCCGGGCATGAACGGCAGAGTTCGGGTCTTGCCACGATTCCCGGCCTCGTCTTCGAACTGGGTCAAAAGGGCGATCTGGAAGTCGTAGAAATCATGGTAATATCGCGACAGTTCCCAGCAACGGCCATCCTCCATCTTGGCTTCAATAATGTACCAGTATTTGTCATTGTCGAAACAGTATCGAGGAATAGAGGCTGCGACGGGGGCCATGAGCGGTGGTGGGTGGAAATTCTGCGGGTAGGGATGCGAGACGTGGTGCGAGGACAGCGTTCCTTTACTGGGGTTGCGTTGATGGAATCCCTATGCGTTGTCAGTAGTGTTCTTCACCCCTAGATTCAGTGACGGGTGCATACATAGGTGTTGCCATTCTGGCTCATATGGCTCATAGACATCTTATTAACGCCCGCGGTGATGGACGGGACACCGCCGCCGCCGCCGCCGCCGCCGCCGGCAGATGCAGCAGCTGAATCGATCTGGCCCAGTGTGATGCTGCTATTCTTGTATTCGGCCGTCATCTTCTTCCACTCCTCGACCTTGGGGACTCCAGCGCGCCGGACAGCGTCGAGCGGATCGGTGACGGCTTGACCGGATTGCATGTCCCGCAGTTCGAGGAAGGAGACGGGGATGAGACCGGGACCACCGAGACGACCGATAGGTTTGGCGACAAACCATTCCGGGTTGGATAGAGCGATAACGATAATAGCCTCACCGGCCTTGGCATCGAGTTCATCCGGTCGCTCGGCCTGGAAATCATACTGAACGACGCCGTAGACCATAGCGCCCGAACCTCTGCCCATTGTTGACAGTCGCGGGAAGGAGATAGAAGAGGACTTGGACGGGGAGGAATGATGCGCGGAATCGGAGGAACCCAAAGGGGAGAGCAAGCGATCCGAGAAACCCGAGTCGTGGGGTTCTTTTTTATGGTGATGATGCTGGTGGAGGTCGATCAAGGAAGAAGAACGACCGCCAGCGGCGGAACTTTCTCTGTCGTTTTTGCCGACGACCTCGAAAAACGACACGGGCACCAGCCCCCTGGCACTAGGGATGAGAGGATTACAGGCTTCGTACCAGTCGCCGTCTTCCTCCCTGCTGATGACGTGAAAAAAGTCTCCCTTGCTGAAAGCGAGTTCCTGGGAGTTGGAGTGGTCGGGTTGGTAGTCGTAGAGGGCTTTGATGACCTAAGAAATTGGTAATGAGCGGAGGGATTTTTTTTATACAATCATACACGAGAAGAAAGATATAGATATATAGAAACACAAACAAGAAGAATATAAAAGAGTGCGCGAAAAAGATATAAAGAATGTGAGATTTGTTGTTGTGTGTGTGTGTGTGTGTGCGTGGAGCAGAGTGGTGGTGGTGGTAGAGTAATGATAATTAATGGTGGGGAGAAAAAGGGGGAAGACCAAAGAATAAGAGCCTCAAAAGGGAAACTCACCTTTTTGGGTGGAAGAATGGCAATAGCGGATTTGGGAGTCAGCGAGAGATGGTGATGGTGTGGTTTGGGGTCCTTATCCCCTTTGAGGGAGCGACGGATGGCCTGTTTATTAGAATGAGTACAGAGGATAGGAGAGGTGGGATAGAGACAATAAGACTCACCTTCATGCCTGGAGGAAGATATGCGAATATATGAGACAGTCAAACAATCACCGAATATTGATGAATCAATCAGACGAGTAGCGACTTGACGGATGATAGATAGAAAGAGGGAATAATAGAGTCGACGTGATAGCGTTGAGATGCGATGGCAATAGACTTTATAATATTAAATGGACCACAACCCAGCGTTAAGAGGAGAAGCAAATCAGAATGACCACAAGGAGAAACAAAAGGACCAAGGGTGGTTGTTGAATGTTTCCTGGGTGGCTGTAACTTTATCGCCTCTTCTTTGGCGTTGGCTATTCTTATGGGCTGCGATCCTCTGGTTTTTCTCGAAATTCCTTTATTCCCTGGTTCTTTCTTTCTGGTCTTTCTTCACTCTCTTCACTCAGTCACTCTTTTATCACTTGCTCAATCCGGTGGCGGGGAAAGGAAGGAGAAAATCAAGAGGAAAATCAAGAGGCGAAAAAGAAAAAGAAAAAGAAAAGGCTGTAAGGCGATCTGATGATATTCCAGTTACAATCAATCAACAATCTACTTGTCCGTCTGCGGCCTAAAATACTAGTACACTTTAAATTATCAGTCTAGTCTCCTTGTGCTGTGCTCCCCCGTGTACTATGTAATTGCTTTCCCTTGTGTTCCATGGCGCGGCTGTCAATCCGGCCCAGCGACAAACATCGGCAAGGATTCAAGTGCATATTACTATAGACCTACGGAGTAGATGCTGTTTCCTGTAGAATAAACATGCAGCTCTCCCCGGAATACAGAGTACATACTCCCGTACAGTACACATGCAAGGTAGCTGGACACAGCCTCGGAGCTTCTATACAAAGACATCGAGACCACCGATTCTGGACACAACAAAATGCCTCGTGGCCGACAGGTGGACCGGGGCGCTTTTCATCTCCAGGACCACTTGCTGGACCGTTCGTCCCGACAAGACAGCAGCGTCGGGCATGCTGGCCTCTGATTTGTATTTCGCGGTGGATGTGGTGGAGTTGGGCTGCATTTCAGCTGCTGCCGTGCCAGTCTTCGGGTTTCCACTTGTTCCTTTATTTGCCGACACTTACGACTGTTCCATACTGTGTCCCCCGGTGTAGAAAACTAACGGTCTATATTGATAACTGTATTTGTACTCATATACTATTTTGTACATTCGCCACCGATCCACATGCCATATTGCAGAAAACGATAAATTCCCCGGGGTATAACTCCATAGATGCATCATCGCGGGCCCGTTCCCGCTGCATATCCCATGTCTCGATCATCAATTAACGCAATAAGAAAAAAAAAAAAAAAAAAAACTATATCTGTCCCTTGATGTCAACCACCCGATGCGCCTCATTCTTGGACGCTTCAAACATCTGCGTAGCTCGGCCGCCCGTTAGCAGCTTCACGGCCCCGTCTTTCTCCTGCAGTAGCTCCCCCGACGTGTGCTCCAGCACAAATCGGGCGCTCTGCTCATCCGACTCGAATCCTAACTCTTCAGTGATGAACCGAATATTCACATCGGGTTTATACCTGTTTCCGTTAGCCTCATTCTAACAGAGGTCAAAAGGGGCAGAACTCACGCTTTACAGATTGCCGTCAAGGCCGACAGGCGTTCGCGGTCCACAAACATGTCCATCAGGTAAGCTCCCATGTTCGGAGTGTCCAAATACAGCTGGAAAAACCGATGGTAGTTCCCCAGGGCCAACGCCGACCGGACGTCCAGGGCATGCTTCACGGCCGGATCCCGCTTGTCGGCCGCCCTCAAGTCCGCCAACGCATCATTCATCGCCGTCCAGTTGCGCGTGTGGATAAAGTACAGAATGCGATATGCCTTGAACTCCGTTGGGTGTCCGCCAGGTTGCTGTGTATACAACGCGCGCAACTGGGTTTGGCATTGATTATACTCACCAAGATCTCCTTTCTCCAGGGCAATCCGCGCATGGATTTCGTACACGTTCACTGTAAACTCATTCTTGATGCGCTGCACCGTCAAGTCCTGCCGCAGTGATTTGAACTGGTCGCAGATGTAGCCATAGTTATTGTCCCGTTTCCATTTTTTCTTCAGTAGGTCCAGCGTCTTCTGCAGCACCGGGAGTGGTCGCACAGTGTCCGGGTTCGGTGCAGATGTCAATCGGAAATAGTTCTTCTCCAAATCCTGGCACCGTCCGACAATGGGGCCTTGGTGGACACGAGCAACGGGCGATTCGCCACGTGGGGACGACGGCGACAACCCGTATCGGGATCGAGGTTCTTCAAACCGTTTCCGCCGCAACTCAAGATTAGCTTTCGACTTACTTGGGTTCTTGTAATCTGTCCGCTGTCGTTTGTCTGTGGGGCTGTAAGTCACTCGATCTTCAAACTTCTGGTCATTGTTAGTCTGTCTCCATGGAGGAGATATATCATTCTTCGTATCCGCAGGCGTGTACTCCGTGGACTTTCGCTTTCGCGAGGCCTCCTCACCCCAAGCCGACACGCTGGGGTTGGCCAAGATCCTATTCCGTTCGTTCTGTACCATGACCTGCGGCAGGGGCAGGGCGTCCCAATTGATCGTATCAAGCTTGTCACCCTCTGCGGCCTCGGTAATAACCGATTTCAACTTGGCCTCCATCTCTTGTCTGGTGACGCTGGGAATCTGATGTTCCGGTACGAAACATCGCTGTACATACGTCCGAAGAGGAGCGGGCCAAGCTACTCGTTTCCGTGGAGCTTCTGAGGAGGTCGATTGCGATGGAGTAGGAGTGGGTTTGAGTTGAGCAAGGCTACGGCGGGCTTGAACTGGGATATATGCAGGTGTCGCTATAACAAAGGTTAGCGATGGTCTCAATGCGGAGCCTCCACAAGGCTAAAACTTACCATGTCCATGTCCAGAGAAGGGAGTTGTGGCAGTCGTGGTTGCTGACGCCGTTGCGCGCCATGGTGGGATTCCAGAACTCATACCGAATACTGAAGATATGCAAGAAGAAAAAGAAAAGAGAAGGATAAAGAGAGAAATAAAAAAGGAGCAATGATAGAAGTGCGAAAGAGACTACGAAAATGACCTTATGTGAAAACCCCTATACTCTGTACAACAGCAGTACACCAAGAGATTCGAGTGGAATATACCACAAAAGACAAAGACAAGAGTGACCGGGAATGTCAAAGGTATAGACAATCAAAGAGCAAGATTGTAGGGTGGGAAGAGAGATGGATGCGTCGAGACAGTCGAGGAACAAAAGAAAAGCGCTGGATTCGCTTAGGAATTTTGGGTGCAGTTGTGGCCGCTGTGGGTTCCCGTAGTCCCTATATGATGGTCCCTCCAGTTCTCCAACATGTCCCTCCATACAGATAAATCTGCGATTAACCGTTTCTCTTCCCAAGTTCTAATGGTCTAGAGATGCTGGCTGCATTTACTAGATGTTTCTCAAGGCTCTGGACCTGACCACCGCTCTCCGTCCATCACTCTTAACCGATGAGACTCTAATCTTTGTCCAGGACGCAGTGGGGTTGTATGAAGGGTGAGCTACTCTCGCCCTCTCCAGGCTGTTTGCTTTGTTTTATGGTCAAATTATTGTTATATACTTATATCCGGCGCATGCTGACTGGTTGGATAGCAAATACAAGGTCCCAAACTACCAAAATGGACATGCCTATCTTACTTCCCACCGAATCTGCTACGTCGCCGTGGACGAGCCCCGGAAATACTCTGTCGGAATCGACCTGAAGGAGATCGATAAACCAGACTACCAAGTACGGAATTGAGTGCACCTTGGACGTTAGCTATGGACTGACGTCTCTCAGGCCGGCTTCCTAAAGTCGTCTGCGAAAATCGTTCTACACCCGAAGCCGGCGAAGAACAAGCTTGATACCTCCAAAAGCGTGGGCAGTAGCCCGTCAATACCACAAGCTTCGAATCTTCAACCTGCCAAGACACTTACTTCGCAACTGCGTGCCTCGCATCCAAAGTCACCGTCACCGAAGCCCGTGAATGCTACCTGGATTTGCCCAATATGCTCCTTCTCAAACCCTGTGCCATCCAACTTTGATCCAGCTACAGCCACGGCGTCGACTAACCTTCCCCCTTGCTTGGCATGTGGCATCAAACCCCCTTTCACAACGGTGATGAAGGCTGCGATTTCAGCGGCAGCTAATCGGGAACCTGCAACCCCTCAACCAAGGACCGAGAGCCCTTTCCCAACTGATGGCAGACAGCCACAATTGCCTTCGGAGACGGGTACCTCCGTTTCTTGCCCTCGATGTACTTTCGTGAACCATCCGTCCCTTGCAGAATGTGAAATCTGTGGTGCCCCGTTGGCCTCCGTGAATGCCTTGCAAGTGCTCAACGGTGATCAGCGCCGTTCTGAATCTCCTGCTCCGTTTTTCGAACAAGATAGTATCAAAAATACAGATACTGCAGAGAGCGTCAAACTTTCATTTCGCGGAGGTGGCGAGAAGTCTTTTTACGAACGATTAAAGAGTGCGCTGATCCAAAGGAAATGGCTTCTTTACGACGCTCCACCCGTGCCTATGCCGTCGCAGGCTGCCTCATCCCCGAGTCCTGGAGCAATAGCGCCAGCTGCGGACACGGGATCCCCGGTGCCTGCTCGATCGATGGCTGGGATTGCAGGCCTTGAGCGACGTGGTCTTGAGGCCCGCAAGAACAACGAGTTTGTCATTGGTAATGCATTTGAGGACCTTGAGGCCTTGATGGCATCCGCAAAACAGATTGTTTCTCTTGCAGAAACACTGGGTAGAGAAACAGGCTTGTCTGGTGGCGAGGGAACCGTGGAAGCCAATGCAGTCCTTTCGGAATCCGCTGCTGCCCTAGGGATGTCAACGACAAAAGACATGCTTGGGTCGGGGGCGGAGAATCTGTATTTGTCGGAGCTGTCGCGAAACCTGGCAGAGTATCTTACAGACGATCGGAAAGGCGTTTTACATAAAGAGGGTGGCACTATGAGCCTTATCGACCTCTGGGCCATCTTCAACCGGTCCCGGAACGGTGTCGAACTTGTCAGCCCGGCCGACTTCCAGCGAGCAGCAGAACTATGGGAGAAACTCAAACTACCTGTTCGTCTACGTCGTTTCAAAACCGGTCTTCTCGTAGTTCAGCGATATGACTGGAATGACGAAAAGACTCTTAAGATACTGCAAGACTGGATGGAAGAGCTCCGGCGGATACCACCGACTGAGCCGGTGGCGTGGGATTGGGGTCTGTTTGGCCGCGCCGTGACGGCGCAGGAAGCCGCGCAACGCTTCAAATGGAGCGTCGGAGTCGCAGCCGAAGAACTGGAAATGGCTGAAGATAAGGGGCTTCTATGCAGAGAGGAGGGTATCGAAGGTCTGCGGTTCTGGAGGAACTACATCACCTCTTGAACCTGGCCAGGATATCGATATCGGTGTATCTCTTCTTGCTTTGTAAACTCTTGCTTTTAACTACCAGGGTCATTCATGACATGATAAAACAATAGAGTCAAGACTTGCTGGATAACTACTTCGTACTTTGTTCACCTATTATGTACTTATAGCGATCACCGCAATCGGCGGTGGATCGGTCCGGTGACCCCGCAAAAAGCGCCCGGGGAAGCTTCCAGCGCTGACCTCACTCCATCCCCAACGCCTGCACTTTATCCCTTGGACTGTGCATGCTTATATATCAAAGCTTACTCTGTACTAACTTTACTATATCATACAAAGAAACAAATCGATTCCTCTTCCGTTCCTGAAATAACCCCCAAATCCCGTTGCGATAAGCTCAAGCTCCATCCATATACTTCTTATCTCGAAGCTTGGCTTGACCGTCCATCATCCAACACTCTCAAAACGCGCCATATGGCATGAACCCACCATGACCCTCGCAAGTCTAACATCAAGCACCAGGGCAGCCAGATGCCCCAGGATGATCTCCGCTCCGAACACCCTCCACGCCATCCGCACCCCTACCACCGCACGCCTCCAACAACACCGCACGATATGGCAAAGCCACCGACACTCCCGCGGAACCTACAACGGCATCAAATGGGTCCGAACTGAGAGGAAAATCCGCCGCAGAGTCACAAACCCAAACCCAAACCCTCCTCATCAAAGCCAGACACCGCTGGAAAATCCAGCTCCGTGGCGGAGCTGGAGCTGGGAATCGAAACCAGGATGGGGATGGGGATGGGGTGGGTTTGATAAGACCGGTACGAAAAATTTTGAGGCGGTGAGACTTCGTGCACAGCAGCGGATGGAGGCTATCAAGAGGGAGATTGAGAGGGATCCGTATGCGGCGTTGTTTGGGAGGATTGGTTCTGATACGTCGGGGATGGGGTTGAAGGCGTGGGATAAGCATCAGCATACGTTGGCGGATTTGTGTCGGTCATTTTTTGGGTTTGAGAAGAGTGGTGGGGATACTGCGAGGGCGAAGGTGAAGGATACGGATGCGACGGCGCGTGTTAAGTCGGAGGGGAGCAAGTCGAATGCACGGGCGAGAGACACGCCGAAGGCAAATGATAATGTGGCCCCGGTATTTGAGGCTTCGCAGTCGCAGGGCTCTGTGGATACCAGAGCAAATGATCTCGAGTTTGATCCGATTAGTGGCCGCATGGTTCCGAAGCCTGCAGCGGCAGCTACGACAGGTGAGGCCGGTGCATTATCTAAAGACGGCACCTCAACCGTACCGGACACGTCCAATGTGGAGGATGGTCATCTTGGATCTTTATCTCCCACCAAAAGCTCTAGCGAGGCCACGGCCGTGACATCCGATCCAGACATTGGCGGCGTGCAGCACAAAGAACCAGAACAGCGTGCAAATGAAATAGCACAGGACCATGGTATCCCTGAATGTAATTATGACCCTAAGTTCTGGGGTCCTCCATCGCGTGAAGCGCCATCCACCGCAAAGAGGACTGCTATTGATGAACCAGACCACGATGTCTGGACTCCTCCATCACATGAAACGCCATCCATCGCAAAGAGCACTGCTATTGATAAAGCACCGACTGAAATTACATCTGCTGTTGCTGAGCCCAAGAATGAAAACGCATCATTACAACGGCCAGGTGCCGAAAATTCCAATCTGGTTGATAGCCAGCAGCCAAAGAGTCTCACTCCTGATGCGCAGCCAAATGAGGGTCGAAAAATGAAGGGCTTCTTCTACTTGGACAAGAAAGAGCCAGAGAAGCTGAAGATTCAAGATTCGCCACAGCAATCAGAGCCTTTCCTCGTACCTGAGAATGAAGAGTTGGATCTCCTGCGTGCAAGCGATATCCGCGCCTCTTATCCCTCAAAAGGGTTGGATATGAAATCCGATGTCCAGAGTAAGAAGGTTGACGGCGCTTTGGAGGAAATTACTCCGGATGAGAATTCGGTCACTGAGTCGAATCCTGAGTCTCAAGACTCTTTGGGCTCTGTTGATGAGAGAAGCACAGAAGCACCAAACTATACCGGGACGCAATCTTCATTGCAGGAAGCAGAGGCCCCTCAGTCCACTCAACCGCAAGTACAAGACGGACTTCCAGACTTCACGAAGGTTCTTGACCAGACCTCCGAAACACACTCTCCTATTCTGAGTGAATCTGCATCTCCAGCCACGTACCGTGTGCTCGCGTACGATCCATTTACTATGCAGGTTACTACGGCGGACACGGACTCTTCGCTTGCTCCTTCACATAAGATCCTCCATCCTAGTGATGTCCTTCCCCGGTTGAGCAACCCGGCGCAGTTTCTGCCATATTTTGAGGAGATGCGGAAAGAGGGCTATGAGATTGTCTCCGGTGGCGGGGATATCCTCGTCTTCAAGAGATTTTTTTATGTCGATAAGAGACCGTCAGACAAGTCTTCTCTTGAAACCAAAGAACATGAAGACACAACTGCAGACGGTGTTCTCAAAGAACTCCAAGATCAGGCAGCATTGAAATCGCCCCAACTAACCGAAAGCTCTTCCGCTAAAACTTCAAAGACAGAACCAGAGACAGAAATACCTCCACGAAAGCAGCGTTCTGCATTCAACAACGCAATCCGTCGAATGCTCTTCACTGGCATCGCGGCCGCAGGAACATGCTATGCCTTTGGCGTTGTAGTGGAGTACTTCCGCACTGGTGGTTCTGATGGACGTGGTGTTGATGCGTTTACGGTGTTTGAGTCTGACAGACGGCAGATGGATTAGATTTCTTATTTGTCTGGAAGGGCGTTTATCGAATTGGGATCAGGGCGGATGGCTTGGGTTTATGAATTTATGATTATGTGTATTATTAACTGGATATGGAAATTCTCCTAATGAATTTAACTATACAGGATATTTTACTCGTAACGGTATAAGAACCAGAATACTCATAGGATACTGCCTCTGGCACCGTAGTTTGACACTACAGATTCTCCATCGAGATAAACCACGTGCAACTGACGCATGAGACTGAAAGCCGGGGGAACATACAGTGTCCACAAGAAACCTTTTATTTTCCCCTTCATAGAGTCTCAAATGCTTTCATCGCTCAGGACGAAATCGTTTTGACAGCACGACTAGGATCAAGAAATTTAGCTGGAGTTCTGGGATTGTCGTTCTGAATTCAATCATAATTCGTGGCCTAGGAGTAAATATATCTCGCTGGGTTCGGATGGTGATAGTGTGCATGTTTTGCATGTCATGGCGGAACCAAATGACGCTGGTTTCGTGCTTTCTGGGTCTCTAAGAACGTGTCCCAGAATGGCTTCGGCAAGTCTCCAGGTTGCATCTTGCCGGAGTATCATACTATTGACAGAGACTAGGGCGGTTGGCACTAGTCTCTATAACGAGTCTTGGCTGGATTGGAAAGCATTTATCGATATCCATAACTATCTTGAAATTCTCACAAATCTGGTTTCACCTCCGTCGCAAGCTCCGAAGGCACTCATTTGTCCGTAGACCACCCCCTTTCGATTCATGGGCCACTTCACTACAACAACACGGCTGATCTGTGGGCTCCCGCCCAGAAGTCATTCTTTCACGTCGTTCTTCAAATCAGGGAGGCTTTGCCTGGGAGCGACACCCAGAGCAACAGAAGATATCTTCTGATATTCCACCCAAATAAAAGCATCTGGCTCCTTTAGCTTGTCTCTGGGAGGCTCAAGCGAGCGTGGAAGCTGTTTTGCTCATATATTAGTGTCTGCATAACTTGAAAGACAGACGTGACCCCGAACAGGTCTGTTCTTCGTAGATGAAGGGTGCTATCAGGTCTCGTTTTTGAAAGTTCGTGCTTGGTACTTGTAGCCCTGGGCGTATTTCGTCGTGCATGGCTGCCCGTGTCGGTTCAGCTAGGATGGTCTCAGGAACTGGAAAAAACATGCCAGTTAAACTGGGCTTGAACCTCGGTCTTCTGTGCAGCTCATAGATCATAAGCAAACTTCATCCATCCCGAGAGCGTAGTTTACGGAATTGAGAAACATCAGCCACAAACATGCTTTGACGGGAAGACAAATGGCGTCGGTTGCCATTTCTGGGGTCGATCTCTCCGTTTTGCGGCCCTTTATCCGGGGACTCAATGAAAGACATGATCTGCATTTCCTCGTGAGGCACTAAGCCCAAATCGGCCATTGGTTGGGCCTTGACTGACATTTTGTTGGCAGAGACTCGCTCACGCCGGTTTCTATGACAGGTGGCGGGCGTAGTTAGTTAGGACTGTTCGATTAGTCATGGAGCCAATTTTCTCTTTATCTTATATTAAATTGTGCTTTTGTAGGAATCCGCGAGCGCAGATGCTATGCTCATACATTAGCGTCTGTATTTCTTAGAAGACGCAGTTTCGTCCTATATTCTCCGGAGAACATCCAGAAATAGCTCCATTCCTCTCCGCTAATTAACTGATCATTCCATCAGCCCTGGAATTGAGAAGTTCTTGAATAAACCGAGACGAGGCTGAGTTGTGTAGTTTGTAAGGCATCTTGCAGGGCTCTTCTCAATCATGGTGACTGCATGTCTTTTCACTCTCCGTGAATCTCTGGCTGGCTCAAGGGAACAGATCTTCTAATGGGAATGAAATAATGGGGAGACCCCGAAAGATTAAGCTTGTTCCAAGCAGTCTGGCATATTGGCTGGCCAACTAGGCATTTGCACCTTTGGACGGTACTGGATACAGTGGTCCTTGTGGTTTGTATTAATCCAAGCCTATAATGAGAGCGTATGAGACATCTGCCAATGCAATATGAGTACCAATATGAAAGTAATGGACGATTATGCGGGTAGTTGCTCTCCAGCTGTCATTTGCTCGCCCTGATCTCGTTCTGGAATTGGTCGTTGACTCTCTTTTCGTCCACAAAAGCGACGTGCATTGTCTTTTATACCGTCTTCAAGTAGTCCGTTCTGAACTGAATTGATTTGATTCTGTATTTTCCTCAAAAAAGCCGCTAACCATTGAGGAGGCGACGGACACACTGAGCCCTGTGTAATCTGACTGATGCTGCGACTTGGTTCTTTAAGCACCTTCTGATGCCGACGGGGTATCAAGGGGGAATATCGGTCACGGATGAACGTGAGCATTGAAAATGTTTGTTGCAAGCCGGCTGTTTTTGTCGACATAAATCGGTACATGGCTCCGCAGAAGCTTTCCATCGGCGCAGTCTACCGACATACAGTTTTTCTAGCCTCCTAAATGTAAGCTCTGGTAAATTTAGATGAGTCTATATGGTGTTAGGTGCTACTTTTCGATGAGTATCTTCTACCTTGAGATTCAATCAGATGTCAAGCCGAGTTGTTTTCTAGTGGCTCTTTGTAGGCGAAGACTCGCTGGCCCCAACCTCAACGATAAGCGTTGTCCATTCACGAGCTTGATCTTTGTCTCCATACTCTGGAGGCTTGACAGTTTGACAGTACACATACTTTGTTGACGCCACCTTCTTGCACTAGTTCAGTGCACAAGATAGCGGCCAATCTAGCTGCTGCTGCGGCCGTTTCTCGGTCCTCTAAGGAACCGTCTGTAACTGCTATATAGCTGTGAGGGGCTTCGTCCGTGCGAAAGCTAGCCGTTAGGGGCCGCCTATCTGAGTTCCAAACGCGGTCCATTCGGGATGCGATATTCCCATTGAATTTTTAAGACCGCGAACAAAATTATTCGTGTTTGTATACCATTTCATGGCGATCACAACTCAAGCTTGTGGATCACCACCGAGCAACCCCTGTTTCATGTCATTCTGGGAATTGGGAAGTGTCTCACTTGCGCCCACTTCGACAACCACTGAAGGGAGACCGTTTTTCTCCACCATCAGAGAAGCATCTGGTCCTTTGGCTTTCCAATTCTTGCCTTTGCGCGGATAAGCCAATCTGAACACTGTACACGTACGCATTAGCATCTGAATGGCACAAGTCTAACAAGTTCCGTAAGACATATCAAATTTCGGGACGTCTCTGTTTCTTTCAGTCCAGGAGCCTAGTGCCTGGTTTTTTCAGGTTTGGACCTTCTCAGGAGCCTAAAACAAATTTATCCGCTTCCATATATTCAGCTCCAAGTATCTCCTTGGTAACAACTCGTAGTTTAGCCCATTAGTCCATCCGCGCGTGCGTTCCCGAGTAGTTGAACGAACCATGCAGCAACTGAACCGTGTATAGTGTAAGCCATGGTGTCGATATGGTGGTGTATGAAAGATGTGAACTTCGAGCTATCTTATGTGATATACATATTTCCTCGGTGTAATCTCCATTCGCACACAACACCAGATACGCATGTAGTAGTGTGTCAGCAAACAAACCACAATAGGTAATCAGGACTGCTTAGAGTGGCGGAAATGAAGTGAGGGGGAAAAGACGAGTGAGGAAAGTAGACATGTATTGTACATCTATCTAAAGGCTATAATTAATGAACGGCTGTGGATGAACCTTGGAGAGCATGGAGAATCTTTCACTGATTAAAATAATAAATTCGAGATGGATTAAAATGAATAAATTAGTAGTGCTGTGGGTAGTGAATTGTAGCAACGTAGGGTTAATGCTAACCGCAACAGGAGAAGGCAGGTTGCTCGCCTTGATTCGGTCGTTAAATGATGGTTGTCTGATGTGCAGGTGTGTTGGATCTAGTATAGAAGAAATCAAGCGGCTTCCTTTTGCTTTGGGGAAGGAGAAGGAAAATCTAGCGAGGAGAATTGCTAGGCTGTGTTCAGTGGATGGTGCTAGTTGTGTCTTTGTTTTGACTGGATCTGAAAGATAATTATTCAAATATAATAAATTCTATTTCTCCGGTCGCGGGATTATGTAGCAAGGCTTATTTTACTGGCTATGGGTTGGGGTTGTATGAAAGGTACTGACGTAGAGAGATACTTGCCTCAACTTGTGCACCTTCTTTCATCTCATCCTACCTCACCAAGCTCCAACGAACCGCTCCGCAGCTCCATCTCAGTCAGTGGTTGTTATAAAATGTATCTTCTTGATACATACTGACTGACTGCCAATCTGACAAATAGGACACGAGCAAACCCCCCCCCCCCCAAAACGGCGTGACGGCGCGCGCGTGGCCACTATCCAGGACGACATCCTTCACCTACAAAGTCACAAAAGCACGAGACACAACGCCCAGAAACATATCAAGGGCAGTACCGGCAGCAACATGAATAGACTTGACAGGATGGTGGGTACTCTTTGTCTGCCCTGGCGTGATTCAGGAATACGCTCACTGACGGACGCTTGCGGTGTTAATAGCGGAAGGAACTCAAATGGCTGACAGTCGCGGTGGAGAGAGGGGAAGCGGAGATACTCAGGAAGAAGGAGAGAATCATGGTGCTGAGGGAGGAGTTGATGTTGGAGGGGGGGGGGTGAGGAGGTGAGAAAGGAGGATATGAAGGAGGATGAGGGTATCAAGAATCAGCATGATTTTATTGCGTTTTGATGAATGTGTTGTCTCGTTCATTTTTCTGTCTGTATAATTGGAACGAGACTATCTACCTCTTGAAGCGTCTAGTTATCATATTCGTTTTCAAGACTTGAGTCCGTGGCTGGTTGGAGTTGGTGGAAGGTTGAAGAGTGCCAAAAGATATATATCTTGGCGACGTACCGCCTAATCAGATCAGTCACGCAAGTAGTTACTGCTGATTGCTGTCTACACGGTAACTCCCTCTGCTAATCTGATTGATTCTTGCTTCAGTCACATATATATATAATACACTTGTACTCTGTACTTTGCAGATGTGAAGTACATTTCCTCTTTGGGCAATTGTCCGTCTTTATCCGAATCGATATAGTTGCCGTTGGACACTGCATAATCCTGCAGGGATAACTACTCCATACCTGTCATACGGAATATTATACCATTATCCATGCACGTATCAACCGTTATGATAACCTCCGGACTTGTACAACGGTACAGGTACAGACAGGTACATATGTACATACTATCCGTACCTGTCTGCAATTCCGGTAACCGTGGAACGAGGTGGGTCCATGTGACTGACTCGTTCAGGAACAGGCTTAGCGTAATTTCCGCGGTGGGACTGCAGTACCGTACTTGTACAAGTAGAAGGATTTCTTCTATTCTGTATGAGGTACTCTGTACAGAGAGCCTAAGACTGGTATATTCATTCACTTGTAGAGTAGATATGAGAATCTACCTACTTGTACGGAGTAGACGGTAGATAGTAGTTGTGATATAGATAAAAATAGATTCGGTTGTCGTACCCGAATACCGTGGTTACACAAGTACATACCGTAGTACAAGACCGCTCATACAGCACGAGCCTACAAATACAGAGAAGACAGCATCCTTCTTTCATCAATAATTCCATACAGAGAGTAGCCTAGCAATGGCATCGATGGCAAACCGAGAGTACCCGTCGAGAAATCGGCAAACTCAGATCTGGATATGAGGATCAACACGCGGTCTGTTCGCCCGTATTTGATTTGTGTAGGGCAAAAAGAAATTCATGGACCCTAAGAGATTACTTGTACAAAATTACTCATTTCATTTTATTTGTGTCTACTCCGGAGTACAAGTATTTCACTCCCATATTTTGGACAGTGGATGATTGCTTGAAACATGATTGGAATGTGGTTTTCCGGCTGACAGTTTCAGGACGCCGGATTAGGGTAGTGCATTCTTCAGGCATGTGGCTTGCATCATTGTCGACAATTATCGACAATGGAAGATTTTGATATGATCTTACTTATATCTCCTAGCTCTGGTAACTCCTTATTATGTTGCCACTGTTATATTCTCCGTATCTGATGTACTTGTACAAGTAAAAGTAGTCCATACTTGTGCTATAATACTGATCTGAGCTCCACCCGTACAGCCAACGTAATACCATACGGTACCTTTAATTAACTAGGTCAATACCCGCCTAAACTCGAGCCATAACGCCTGGTCTAGGTCCGGCGGTGGTCCGAACCTTTTACAGGCTCCATAGCAGTGGACAGTGCAGAGTACATTAGACAGATCATTCGATTAGAGCACGGAGGACTGATGCGATTCAATGGCTGTCGTGTTTGCTGAGAGCAGAAAGGAGTGCATAGGAGGCAAATAATACGTGATAGTTTGGTTAATTCGCACTAGCCTCGAGTAAATCCTGGCAAAAGGAAGCAGCAACTCGCCCAAATTCGAGAACGTGTGTCGATCCAAATAAAGATGGTGTATGGTATTGTAATGTGATACGGGGTGGTACGGTTCCTGTGGGATGACGGAGAAGGACTCCACGGCTGACACCTAATCGTACACTCACTACAGGGGTACCCTTCTACAATTGTCAATTGTCTGTATATACTCTATAATATATCAGCAATTTTGATATTACGTATTCCTGTAATCAGATCATTGTCTGTCTCTTACCACTTAATTGTAAAATAGCAATATCTGACACCGTACGCATCTCAAGACCCACTCACAGTGGGCCTGTCACTCCACCGTGCACATGCGGTAGGCTGGAAAATTACTAGCATAACCTTCTTTTAATATGGTAATGTATTGTAATACCAAGGAAGAGGGGGCGCAGTATTTCCCCCCCTACACTAAACCCAATTCAACGACAACCCGCCTTCCTTCTCTGCCTCTCTGCACTCTTTCTGACTGTGTCTCTCTTTTTTTCACCTGCACGACTCGCGTCTTTTTTTCCCTTCCTTTCTTTTTTCTCTTTTTCCGTTGTTTTCCCCTTCTTCGCTTTTTTTTTTTTTTTTTTTTTTTCACTCCTTTTATTATATACGATTCTTTTGCTCCTGTCGTTGTTGCTTCGTCGGTGCTGTCGTTGACGTCCATCCATCACTCCACGTCAACGGACATAATAACAGACATACAGCCCGGTCGCGCATCCGATTCCCCTCCGCTTTAAAGCATCAACACTGGCTTCGTTTTAAACGCCTCCTTTTTCTGTCGCTCGCTCGCTCGCTCCTTACAGCATCCAACCACGCTCGTTTTTCTATCGGGAATTTGCTATCGTCATCTTCCCCTTTCCACTCGTTTTGAATATTTGATATTCGTTGAAAAAAATTAGAATAAAATCGTCATTTTACCAGCCTCAGTCACCGCCACTCCCAAGGCTGCGTTATACATATTGTGTGTGGTGGAAAAGAAAAGAGTTGGAAAGCACCGCCTCGGGCTGAATCGTTCGCAACGCTTCTTTCAAGTCGACCGCTTCCTCGCTGTTGTCGCATCGGTTTTGAAAGGATTTTGAGAGTTGGAATAAAGACATCGACTTCGATACCGTACTCCGTACCTTCGTCTTATATCGCTGTACCCTGTTCGATGAATTATACGACTCGCCAATCGACCGCGCTGTTCGACCTTTGAAGATTTCGCGTTCGTTCATTGAGCCCATTTGCTCTGTCCATTCTTTTCTATTGCCTCGAAAAAAAAAACGCCATATACGTTCTCTACGATAATTCCCGGGTAGCGTGCGTGCAATTGTGTCCCCATTGGTTGCGATTACGTGGACTGTGGGTTGGAGATACTAATATCATTGCGTACACCTAGTGACCCATCATGCTGCCCAGAACTATCGCCGTTTTCGCGGCCTTCCTGTCCGTGGGAGGTCTAGACCTCGTCGCCGCGCAGGATGCTCCAGACGCGCAACCCGAGCACCTTCCCAACAAGAGAGGCCTCATCGATGCCCTCACAGGCAACTCCGCCCCGCAATCGCAGGACTCCAACGAGGGCGCACCCAGTTCCCAGAGCAACTCTGGAATCCTGGGTAACATCTTTGGTGGTGGATCCAACACTCCCGAGCCAACGACTTCTGCCCCGCCAACGGTTGTCTTGCCCTTGACACTTTCCGTCGATCTCAATGGTCAAACGCACACCATCACCGGTACGCCCTCCGGTGCGCCTGCTGGTGCCTCGACGGTCACTAGTTCGATTTGGACCTCCGAGACGGCCGTTTCGAGTGCTCCCGCTTCGTCTGCTGCCATTACTCCCACCGAAGAAACATCTGAGCCCGCTTCCCCGTCTCCTACGTCACCTCCGGCCCCGTCCTCTCCTGAGCCAACGACATCGAGCAGCCCCGCGCCCAGCTCCTCGAGCGACGACAACGATGGTGGCCTGCTTGGAGGCATTCTGGGCGGTGATTCGGGCGCCTCGTCTACCCCCGCTCCTAGCTCTTCGAGCAGCTCCGACGACCAGGATGGTGGATTGCTTGGAGGACTCCTAGGTGGTGACTCGAAGACTACGGCTAGCTCTTCTGCATCGAGCACGCCCGCTAGCACCAGCGATGACCAGAGCGGTGGTCTGCTCGGAGGACTTCTTGGAGGTGATTCCACCAGCTCCAGCACTGAGTCTTCAACTCCCGCCAGCACTCCTGCGTCGAACACCGCGAGCGCTAGCAAAGACAATGACGGTGGCTTGCTTGGTGGCCTTCTTGGAGGTGGCTCGTCCCAGACGACCAGCTCCCCCACTTCCAGCACTTCCAGCACTTCCAGCACTAGCAAGGACAATGATGATGGTCTGCTTGGTGGACTCCTTGGAGGCGGTTCGTCCCAGACGTCCAACTCCCCCGCTTCCACCACTGCCAGCACTAGCAAGGACAGTGACAGCGGTTTGCTTGGAGGACTCCTTGGAGGCGGTTCGTCCCAGACGTCCAACTCCCCCGCTTCCACCACTGCCAGCACTAGCAAGGACAATGACAGCGGTTTGCTTGGAGGACTCCTAGGAGGCGGTTCGTCCCAAACGACCAACTCTCCTGCGTCGAGCACCGCCAGCGCCAGCGCCAGCGCCAGCGCCAGCAAAGACAATGACAGTGGTCTGCTTGGCGGCCTCTTGGGAGGTGACTCCAAGGACACTTCGACAAGCTCTCCTGCTTCCAGCACTGCGAGCGCCACCAAGGATAACGATGGTGGTTTGCTCGGCGGTCTTTTGGGTGGTGACTCTACGCAGACCCCAACAAACTCTGCGTCGAGCACGGCCAGCACCAGCAAAGAGAAGGGCCTGCTTGGTGGTCTCCTGGGAGGTGATGACTCCAGTACTACGTCCACAGCTAGCAACTCGGGCTCGCCATCCTCCACTGCCGCTTCGAGCACCAACGATGGTGGACTGCTTGGTCTTGGAAACATTCTGGGAGGTGATGACAGCTCTGCCACACCTACGGCTAGCAAGACCGGTGGATCCAACTCGACCGTCACCTCTTCCACGCCCACTAGCACCAATGACGGCGGTCTTCTCGGACTAGGAAACATCCTGAGTGGTGATGACTCGACCAGCACCAGTGCTTCGCGCACAGCTAGCACCGCCAGCTCCAGCAAAGAAAAGGGTTTGCTTGGTGGTCTCCTGGGAGGTGATGACTCCAGCCCTACGCCCACGGCCAAGGAATCCAACTCTACTGTCGCCTCTCCTTCTGCCTCGAGCACCAGCGAGGGTCTGGTTGGTGGTCTTGTCGGCGGTCTGCTCGGAGATGATGATAAGCCGACCCCGTCATCCAGTGGATCCGCCTCTCCCTCTCCTACTAGCAAGGGTCTGGTCGACGGCCTGGTTGGTGGCCTCCTTGGAGGTGATTCGACTTCTAGCAAGCCCCTCATTCGCCCCAGTGGATCCGGTTCTTCGTCTTTCAGAGCCGGCTCGCCTACCCCCACTCCCAGCGAAGGTCTTCTTGGCGGTCTCCTGGGTGGTTTGTTGGGTGAACCTTCTTCGTCTGGTCTGCAATCCATCTCCGTCAACGTCCCTACATCGACACCTGCCTCCGCTACTTCGTCGGAGGGTCTTTTGGGTGGACTGTTGGGCTCCCTTCTGGGTCCTGAGTCTTCTACCAGCGGCTCCCCGAGCGCACCGTCCAGCGGCCTGTTCGGTACTTCGAAGTCTCCTACCCCCACCGGCGAAGCTGCCCCTGGTAGCTCTGCCCACCCTACTCCTTCTAGCGGCTTGTTCGGTTCCAGCAAGCCATCGGTGGTAGCTACTAGCAAAGCATCGCCTACTCCTACGCCGTCCAGCAGCCCGTCGCCTACGTCTACTACTGAGCAGCAGACGAGCTCGACCACCACTCAGGCCGTCGTCACCCACAAGCCTACCACGACAGAGGACAACGACTGGGTTCCCTCTACTATTCTGGTGGAGCCTCCAAGCACTACGCACGAGACTGAGACCCACCACACTGCCACTGCGACTAGCCAGCCCACTCAGCTTCCTGGATCTATCTCGCCCGCCGGCGGTGTACCCGACACCCCTCCTGCCAACTCGTCGCTTATCCAGATCGGTTTCAACGGCAAGCTGCGCTACAGCTTTGTGGCCAGTACGACTTTGTCGTCGTCGCAAATCTTCTTGTACATCCCGCAGGGTCTTGGATACGCTCTGGACGTGCTTGGTGATGAGATTACAATGTTCGCGATCCAGCCCTATGACAACTCTGCCAGCACGGGTTACATTGCGACAGTTGCCATGGCTTATATCCCTACGGACGCGATCGAAGAGCTGCGTGACCAGCTGCACAACCCCGGGTCCCGTCTCTACCACCAAGCCAGCCCATCTGTCAACGCTCTGATGTCGATGATCGACCCTACCATCCCTCTGGTCATCGGTGGGTCCAGCTCTTCCAGCAGTGGAAGTGGCACATCCAACGGCGGTGGATCGAACGGCAGCAACGACGGCGATGACGACTCCGACTCCAACGACGGCAACGCCGACGGTGGTGCCAGTGGCTCTTCGTCCACTCGTGCCAGCTCTGTTGGCATTGGTGTTGGTGTTGTGGGTGGTGCTGCCGCCTACGGTGCTGGTATGTTCTGGGTGGCCCGTCGCTACCGCAAGAGACGTCAACTTCACCAGCGTACCAACTCAACTGTCGAGCAGCAGAGCGAGGGCCGTGGAGGCGGTTCTCCATTTGCTGCCGGTGGTCGTCTGTCTCCGCACAGTCTCAGAAGCAACCGGACCCAGATGATCAGTGCGCCTGTCATGGCCGAAAACTCTCTAGGATGGAACTAGATGGTTTCATAAGGAAACAGACCACTTAAAAGATTTTTCGACCTTGTCATATTCCAGAAGATGTGTGTATTATGTTGGACATTATTTTGATATTCTACCTGTATCAATTTTCTCCAAGGGTCTCACCCGCGGAGACCCTTTTTTTTTTTCTTCTTCTTATTTTCTCTTCTTTTAACTTTATTCCCCATATGTTTGTGTGGCTTTTTCTTTTTCTTCTTACTATCCTTTGGTGACCAGCGAGCTTTCCTCCTACCAGAATTCTTACATCTTCTTCCTATATTTACTTACACCCGGTTTTTCTCCTTATTTTTGTACTCACTTAATGGTCGGGTGGGTAGGTTATTTGACGAGTGATGTCCCACCCTTTCCTTATCCCCGATTTTCTGCAGTATAGTCTATCTCTGGATTGGTTTTTTGTTTTGTTATTTTTGTACAGTTGTATAGTCAGTCAGTTACAGTAGAGACGGGCATTGTAATGTCGCGTCATGAATGGTCAATATGTTTCTACAGTTTTGGTTTTATTGTGGTGTGTATGTACGCAGTATGTTGTAGAGCACTGGTGTTTTAGGGTATGTCATTAGTTGTACCTTGTACCAAGGGATTGAATGAAGCTACGGATGTCATCTACACGCACATTAATTGACATGCTGAACCCAACAGAATTCATTTCAATTCCTAAATTTAGATCTAAATCTAACCTAGATAGACTTACCATCAATCGAAACAAGGTGACAATCACTAAACAAACAACCGTTAGCCCATTTAATTAATTCGATTTCATCAATCAGGAAGACAACTCACAAAACAAGATCCGAGTGCGCGGGGATGAGACCCGCGAAACCACTAAATTCAATTAATATCAGTGTCAGCATTCTCGAGAAGATAATTATATCTGGGGTTGACGGATGGGATGAGACGAACCGCTGACCGTAAGCAGAGTCACTGTGATTATTAGCATGTATTCGTTATATGATAAAAGAGGGGAGGGAAGGGGTACCTGGAAATCGTCAGGATAGCTCTCTCGCCGAGACTCATCTGGAGAACACCCTGGTCCCAGCCTGTTTATTTATCAGTAAGACATTAGATAATGAATGCAGCGCAATGCAAGGTAATGTAATGCAATTCAACACAATTGAAAGGAGGGGTACATACCCTTAATGACCTTCCCAATACCAATATTCACCTCGAGCGGACCCCTGCTCCTCGACGAATCGAATCTGCTTGCGTCAATTACCGTTCACAGCAAACAGCACATGTAACTCGTTCATTATCCAAGGACAGAGAGACGTACTCCTTTCCCATGAAATGGTTATCAGCCCTGGAGGGGTCATAAAGAGCACCGGTGTAGTCGATGGCGCACATGGAACCGGGATTGGGGAAGTCGGTGCCGTTGCCGGGGGAGATGGTTTGCTTAGTGACGCCCATTTTGCTTTCTTTCTTTGTTTCTTATTTATTTATAATTGTGAATTGATGAAAATAAGAAATGGAGGGGTTGAGGGAGGTGGGAGAAAACGGGTGTTAAATACAGATGTTAGGTGGGGTCGAGGCGCGGCATCCAATCAGTTTGATGTAATTGGGGGTTTTTTTTTTGTGGCGGGGTTTATATGGACTGAACTGTTTACAATAATGTTCCAAGCAGAGTGAGTGCAGACAGAGGAGGTAAGAAACCACTAGGAACCGTTCCTATTTCCCGATGGAACTGTTGCTATCTAGATTGGGAAACCCATGCATCGTACATCGTCTAGATGCGTCTATGTGCAGTTAACTAGCTAGTTACAGGGGTACAAGTCTACAACGCTTTAGCGTCAGTAACTCCAATCGAAGCAACTTGCGTTCGGGGAAACCGGGCATCCGCGTTAGACGCAGTATCCACATCGGTCTCTGACAGCTGCAAGTAATGCAAGGTTGAGATGCCAACGGTTTCGACAAAGTCGAGGACCCGGTGGAAATTCAATCCGACCTGATCAATGCCATGGCTGTCGTCGGAGAGGCAGAAGCGGCCACCGAGGGAGAGGAATTCCTGAGCTGTCAGCTTCTGTCTTTCTTTGATAGATAATGAAATATGATAGGGGCATACATACCTTGCAAATCTCTCCCTTAGGATAAGGTTCACTCATCCCCTTCCTCAACGCGGCGGAATTCAACTCCAGCATGCCGCCATACCCAGCTACAAATTCCAAATTCCGTACAATCCTCTCCCAAACACCGTTCCACTGCCTAAAGCTGCGCTCGGGGTCATCACTCTTCAACCGAATCAGATCAAAATGCCCCACAACCAACGGCTTCATCGTCGTCAGCATCTCAAACTGCGCATCGAAGTAATCCTCAAACAACCGCTCGTCAGTACCACCCGCCTTCTCACGAGCACGCTCGTACATAGGACGGTCGTAGTCAATCGGTTCCGTGTGCATGTGGTGCACGGAGCCGATGAAGAACTCGAATGGATAACGCGACAACGAGTCCTGGACTAGGGTTGACGAGACGGGACGGATCCATTCGATTTCAAAACCGATTAGGATTTTTATTTGCGAGGAGTACTTTTCGCGCAGGCGCAGAGCTTCTTCGTAGTAGGCTGCTTCGTTGGCGAGCATGCCTGTGTAGGTGTCGCCAGCTTCAGCCTGTTTTCGCAGTTAGCGGGACTCTCGTATCTGGTAGTAAGTAGTGGAGGATAGTGAAATACCTCCTCTGGATATAAATCCTCTTGGGTCCTGGGCATGTGCTCTGTCAGGCAGAAGACCTTGAAGTTCTTGGCTATGGCTGTTTGGATGACCTCTTCGAGGGTGTCTTTGGCATGGCCGGGGCAGAATTGCCCCGAATGGCTGTGATGGGAGAATGGCATTGTGTTGTTCTCTGGGGTTTCTTGTCTGTGTGAGTCAGTTGATGCTTCTCTCAGATTGAGTTGAGTGCAACTCCGACGGAGATGCTTGTGCTTACCCCGCGTTAGAGTCGATGCAACAGAACAATTGATAGGTTCGGGTTTTAAGAATAGGGGATAACAATAAAGGTAGGAGAGTCAAAAACCGATAAAGATATGGAGATTGGTAAGTCTACAAATTGAAAAACTGAGGAGGAGGAGCAAAAATATCAACTGCGATAGAAACTCGGCACTTGTATGTGACTCAATTCACTAACACCAGGACAGAACAAAATATAAGGGTATCATTAATGTACGCATCGTTTTAGCTATTTACAATAACAGATATCTAACTATACAGAATAAAACCTGCCAATCGCCACTATATCGTACAACGCTCCACTATCAATACACCGAGTTCCAGACATCTACCTCTCTACCTGATAACCACTATCTCAGCAACAGCTCACCATAAAAAAGCTAACCCGCCGCGAAAACAGTCGCAACAACATATTCCCCATCATGCGAAATCGACAACTTCCCCATCTTCCCCGGCCCCCCATTCGCATCCAAATACACAATCCCCGGCCTCCCACTCTCCCTCTCCCTGCGCATCTCCCGAATCCTCTCAACAGATGTCTTATTCCTACCCTTACTCCCTACCTTCGACTCCAACTCCGCCGTTATACTCTCAGATGATCCAGTCCCCTCATCCTCCCGAATAACAACCACATCCTTCCACCCCACACTCGCCGCGCCCCCCGGCGCAGCTTTTCTGGCGGCTTCTTTCGCGGCGAAGCGACCTGCTAGCCAGCGCGCCATTTCTGTGCTTAGTGAGGATGTTGGCCCTGCGCTTGCGCCTGCGCCTGCGCTTATCCCCGTACCCCCATTCACATTCCCATTCACATCCGTATTCGTATTCGTCTGTACGTGTAACCGCCTATGCGTAGGATAGAACCGCGACTCCAACGGCACATCTTCACCGGGGGGTAGGTTGAATCGTTTTCGGAAATCGGCTTGTTCTTGGTCGCTTAGGATGCGGCGGGTGAAGCGGGTGAGGTAGCCGTTTGGGCGGGAGACGAGGCGGGCGATGCGAGGAAGGTGGACGATGTCGGTGCCGATGTTTAGGGAGAGGGGGAAGGGGTGTGGTTTCATGGCTTTTTTGCTGTGCTGCTGTGGTAGTGTAGGTGGTGTGAGGAGTGGTTGATAGTGGCGGGATCGGGGTTGCGGAGGATATGCAGATGAGGATGGGAATTTGGGTCGGTCACGTGGTGGATTTGCTTTGGTTTTGGGACATTGAATTGGTATAGATGAAGTTAGAAATTGGAAGTAAAGTTATAGAAATGATATCGGGGTAGGTAGAAGATCTACCACCTCGTTACGATCAATGCTCGGCATATCACTCGGACATAATCCGGCGTAGTCAGTTCCGCGGATAAAACTTTATGACCGTCAATGCGATTGTGCTGTGCATATCAGATAACTATCGATCTACTTGAAGTACTGCAGTAGCTTATTGACCGCATCCTCATACCAAACTTGATGGCAACTAATTGAACGAGATAAAGGCGAATCAATGCATTTATACCTCTATGTACAGATTCACATCTCCACAATGGCCAATGCCAATACCACTTCTGCACCGTCCTTTGCGTTCACCGGCATGGCCAATGAATCGCAATGCCACATCTCATTATTTTTGCGTCGTGAAAAAGCAGTTCCAGTCGATTAGGAAACTCTCGCGTGGATGTTCGTTCCGTCAGGGTACCGCGCGAATGTCACTTTTAGTGCTGGGCTTTTTGGTCGCCGCCGTCCGCTGATTGCAGGAATTTCCTGTGTTGTATTAGCATCTGTGTGGTCTGTCTGGGATTGAAAGGGACGCACTGAATGAAATCCTCCTCGTCTTTGGAGCCGGCCTGAACAGGGGGGCCCTGCTGCTTCTGCTGCTGTTCCTTGCTGCCGCCGCGGGTAGAGAGGAAGGCACCAGCGAAAGTGCTACCGAGGACGCCCATGGCGAGCTGTATCATCACCTCGTTAGCATTGTATACCTTCACAGTGTAGTTTCGTTGGTGACGTGACGTGTGTTTGACGGTGGTTCAACCGACCGACAATCGGACCGAAGGAGGGGAGCAAACACAGCTAAAGGACGGCACATACAACGTGAGAGCCGACCTTCTTGCCGGCGATCTGGTAGTAGACAACCATTATGACGGTATTAAGGTGGGGAGTTGATTTGAAGGGTTGACAGAGGGTCTCGAAGTGTCAATGGGGCGTTGATGCGAAAAGGACCTGCGGAACGGGACTGAGTGAGGTTCGGGTCACCTGTGGTTGTTACTGGATTGGGACTAGTGCGTGGTGGACTGAGTCAGGACTGAGTCAGCAGAAGCTATCATGTGATATCCCGGAACGGTCCGGCGCACGTGATACTCGGGATTGGATGCGGGAATAACACGAGCATGACATCATTTGACGACTACAGTACCGGTAGAACAAGATACGGCATCCCGATGCAGTCGTGAAGTTAATTGTTGATCTATGATTCTACGAGTATCGGAGACACTTTATACTATGGTATTACAGTGTACAGTGTACACATATTCTGTGTTGCGAAGAAGCATGGGCGAGGGCTAAAGGGCATACGGCTTACCTCGGGAAGTGATCTCTTCCCTGTCGGCTGTACGGTTATTGAGCATTTTCTGCGATGGACCGGACTAGGAGTAAGTAGTGTTAATATTCACTGAGGTATTAGACTGGCCGGCTGTGAGACCGGTCATACCATTCGTTTTAATACTGGCTGTAACCCTTTAGCGAGCTTCCTCCACCTTCTTTCCTCCCATTTTCGTTTTTTCTCGTTTCGATTTTTGCTTCTGTCTTCACTCTCTTCCTCTTTCTTTACTCTATTCTCTTTCATTTTTAATACTACACTTGCTTCCTATCCCAGTCAACATGGTCTGGGAATCCCGACAAGAGTCCCCTTCGTCCGATGCGACGTTAGGGCCTGTCCCTCGTCGCAAGCTCCCTCCTCAGCTTCAGAAACTGGTAGACCATGATGATGGGTTTTATGACGATGTCTATTCTCCATAGTATGTTTCTCCATTGACATTTTCCCTACTACTTCACTGCATCCCTCTGGTCGACCGGTCACGTTGCCATGGTCTATCTCCGCGTCCACCCCGCAAATCCATCCCCGCAAGTACCATCGGGCCCCAGCGCGTCATAATTACCAACACCACCACCATCTGTACAAAAATAAGATAGATGCTAATGAAGCAGCTCTGTAAACTCAACCGACACCTCCTACCGTTACGCCGCCTACGCCAATCGCATCCGCACCCTCCTTCTCTCCGCCCAACGTTATGTCGCTTACACCTCCGACATTGGTGAATCTTTCCGTCCAGTCGCGCATCCATACCTCGTGCGCTCTGCCTATGCCATCTCCTGGACGTACCTCCTCGGTGATGTCGGGCACGAGGGTTACAAGGCGTACCTCCGAAACCGTCGCGCATTAGCACCCGCGGGAGAGGCATACAAGGATGCCAAGGATCTTACGCAAGAGGAGGTGCTCAAGGGAATGGTGACGGGCAATTTGATCACAGGAAACGGCTCGAGACCGTCAGAGTATGCGGAAGGAAGCTTGATGCCGTGGAAGATGACTGGGATCCCGTTGATTGAGGATTACCGGGTAGTTATGGCGAAGAGGGCTATATTCCAGGGATTGGCGAGTATGGCGCTGCCGGCGTTGACTATCCATTCTGTGGTTAAGTATTCGGGACGCATGATGAAGAATTATAAGAGTACTCTTCTGCGCACGTGGGCGCCTATCGGAGTACGTCCCCGCCCCAAACCCAATTAATTAAGAAGCATACTAACACGAATAGATTGGTCTCTCCGTCGTCCCCCTGCTCCCCTACATCTTCGACGAACCCCTCGACGAAGTCGTCGAATACGGTTTCCGTACTGCCATCGGCTCATTTTTCGGCAAGGACGCCATCAAGTCTCTCTCTTTTGACCACGAGAAGGACTCTACCTCTCTCTCGCGTTTCTTGGACTCCCAGAACCCCGACTCTGTGCCTGTATCTTCCGCAAGTGATGCCATGTCGTGGGAGGAGTATCGCGAGGAGAGAGAGCGGGCGAAGGAGCAGCGGAGACTAGAACGCGCGGAGAAGGGGTCTTCTGGGCCTGTGGCTATGTTGAAGGAGTTGGTTGGGGCTGGGGAGAAGAAGAAGGGTGAATAAGCTTTTTTTTTACGGGTGAGTAGTTGACTAGAGATGGATGGGTTTATATTTTCTCCTTTCATTGTGTTATTTTTACATACCCAACTCTTTATTTTCGTTTGTTGCTTTGCCGGGGGTGTTGCATTTGTATATTGAATTGAGATGATGGATATCAATACCACTGTTTATATTTCATAGCCTGGATAGCAGAACAAGTGTCCTAGTGCATTACTGCAAAGAAATGGTTCCTCACGCCCGAATTTATATCCTTAACCCTAACCATGATCAATTATTCATCCAAACTCAGACAATCAAGCCACCGAAAAGAGGAGGCTAGATAGATTCCGTATCCCCCACACCCTCAGAACACCACCATCTCAAAAACAACCCCAAAGCATCAACATTCTTCCACCTCAAATCAAACAACTCACTCTGATGGACAACCAGATCAGTGCCATCATGATGAGCCATGAGGATCCGGACATGTTGAGACGCCAGCAGGAGAGGATCATTACCTTCAACATCGGATTAGCATGAGCATCAACATAGCTTGGGAACAGAGTAGATAGCTTACCGGAGCATTCATATGCGCAAAATCAGCATGGATCTTATAGCCCTTGAAGTGGTCCATCATAATCTCGCAAATGTTGAGTACCTCCCCACATGTAAGTCTGTCATCACCGTCGTTGTCGTCGTTAAATTCAACTTCACTCGCCATCAGGACCTTGTAATGCGGATAGGACCTGGGATGGCGACAAACGGCCGTGGTCACCCTCTTACTATTGGAGAATATGGTGTCGCGGTCTCGACCGGGGCTAACCATATTATTTTCAGTACGTGACACTTATGCATGGAGGGTAAACTAGGGCAAGGGTATCATGTCGTATTCTTACGCCTGGGTCCAGTACATGATATTAATATCCCTCGTGTATCTCAACGCAGTCCGAACATATTCAGCAGTGTACCCTAAGATCTCAAAGGCCTTGTAGAGCGGTTTTAGTTCTTCAAGTGACGGATAGTCGCTCGGAATTAATTCATCGTCGGGATCCCTGAAGAGACATTCTCGTCTAACAGTTTGAAGAACGATTCGATGGCTGGATCGAGATGTCCATTATGGGTTAGCAGAGAGGGGGGAGTCTGATGTGGAGGTTTTGGAAGTCGATGGGGCCGAGGGGGTTTGGTCGAGAACAGTTTGGTAGATGTGGATGAGTGCGTCGTAGCGTGCTCTGATGTCTGGTTGGACTGCCGCCCATCTTGATGATGATCGATAGACTATGGGTGTTTGGATGGAATTCTAGGATGGTGGATGGATGGGTTGGTTGTTCTTTCGATGTTTGCTGTTTACTGTGGTCTGGATACATAGAGAGGCTGTGTAACGGCTAATGAACTGCCAAATCACCTATTCAGTCATTTGATGACTCTAAACAGGGATATACTTACTATAATGACTTGCCTGTGTTACTATCACACTCATTGTGGATGACAAGTCAATTTGGCGAGCTAGACAGCCCACCTCGAAAATAACCTCGCCTCGACATTCTTTCAACTGAAACCATACAAGCCACTCCCAATGAATCACCAGATTAGTACCATCATAATACGTCACGAGAATCCGGGTGTCCTTTGATCCCATACATGAGACCACCATGACCTACATATAATCAGCATGTATTCCTAGAATGGCTTGTGAATGGCAGAACATAGAGTATACCTACCGGAAAAATTATATTCTCAACATAACGCTATATATTGAAATGATTAACCATAGTCCTGCAAATACAGACAGGTTCCCAGCGCGCAAGTCGATTATCACTGCCGTCGAGATTGATATTGCTCGTCATGAAGACCCTGTAGTGTGGATGAGTTGAGGGGATTATGTGACGATATATATTTGAAGGCTGAAATACCAACAATTTTCAGTCACAGTAAGCTTTGATATAAATCATTCACGACTATAAAAAGTAGAAAAGTGAAGGGGCCGATAGACTGGGTTAGTTAGTTAGGGCGTTCACAGGCTTAGTAAGAGTGTTTGGGTAAAGTAATCCATCACCGAGTTGCGCATATCACCGAATTGCGCGGTCGGCGGCGGCTTCCCCTGAACACACCACATACTACTCTTTAATCCTCCTTTTTATCATCATATTTATCATGGGCAAGGAAGAGCGAATAAAACTAGCTATTGAGGCCTTTAATAAAGGCCAATTTCAATCCAAAACTGCATGTACAAAGGCATTTGATGTCATTCCAAGGACTCTAATGTATCGCCTGAACGGAATGGCCTCTCGACATGAAATGACTGCCAATTGTCGGAAACTATCAGAACTTGAAGAAGAGACTACCTAGATGGATTCTAGATATGTATCAGCGTGGCCTACCTCTTCAAATATCAAATGTCCGCTATCTTACCCAATTACTGCTATCTGCACGGCTGAAATCCCCCGAGAAAGCCACCATTGGTGAGCTATCATAGGTTAACCGCTTTATTCGACGCCTTCCTGAGCTCAAATTCAATTATACCCGCAAATATGACTATCAACGTGCCAAATGTGAGAGTCCTGAGTTGATAAAAGCTGGTTAATCGCGTTCAAGAGACCATCCAAAGATATGGCATTCTGGAGCAGGATATATACAATATGAATGAATCTGACTTTCAAATGGGAGTGGCATCAACTGAAAAGGTTATCTGTGGCTTGGAGACTAGAGATAGCCATGCTAAATCTATCCAGCCTGGAAATCGCGAGTGGATTACTATAATAATCGCCATAAATGCCTCTGGATCTGCTCTACCTCCGCAGATTATTCTGGCCGGGAAAAAGCATCAATCTCAGTGGTATTCAGCTATTCCAAATGAATACAGAATCAGCATGAGTGATAATGGCTGGACAAATGATAATTTGGGATTTGAATGGCTTCAAGGGATGTTTGAGAAGCATACTGCCTCTCAGACTGCTGGCAGTTATCGCCTTTTGATTCTTGATGGTCATAGCAGCCATGCCACTGCTAATTTTGATCATTTCTGCATGGAAAGGAGGATAATCCCATTATTTATGCCTCCTCATTCATCTCATCTACTGCAGCCACTGGATATAAGCTGTTTTGGACCGCTCAAGCACTACTATGGCCAGAAAATAAGGGAGATGGCGCAAAATGACATCCATGCCATTGATAAAATGGATTTCCTATCTAACTACACCAAAATCCATGCTCATGCATTCTCAAAGGCCAATATACTAAATGGATTTGCAGCTGCTGGTCTTATTCCTTTTAAACCAGAGAGAGTGCTTGCAAAACTCCATATCAAAATGAAGACACCAACACCACTTTCCTGTCTGAGCAGCAATCAATCCTTTTATTTAGGAAGGACACCAGCCAATCTCTATCAGTTAAATCAGCAGAAAAGGCAGATGCAAGAGCTTCAAACACAGTCTGTATCCTCAGTGGCTGCAGAGCAGATGCTTGAAAAAGTCATTAAGGGTGCAGAGATGGCAATGCAGAATTCTATCCTTTTACAACAAGAACTCCATCAGCTTCGCACATCAAATAGGCATCAGAAAGAGAAGAAGAAGATGACACGAGCTTTTATTCAAGATGGAGGGAGTTTGACTGGTGATGAAGGGTTGCAAATATTGAGAGAACGGGAGAGGCAAGAAGAGCCATCATCATCAAGATCACGGCGGCCAGCACGATGCAGCAATTGCAATAAAGAAGGTCATAATAGATTAAAATGCCCTACTAGATAGTAATATATATAATGAATTTGACTTGCTTTAAAAGGAATTGACAGATAGATTATATGTAGTTAGTATGGATGCCGCCGCCGACCGCGCAATTCGGTGATAGATTAGTTAACGTTAAAAGTACGTACATCAATCGACAAGCTGCAGCACACCCCGCTTCCTATATGCTACTACAATCTTTACTCAGAAACCTATCTACAGTCAACTTCCTGTCTACTCTTGCGAGGCTGGCCATTCAAAAACATCTAATATGGCGGACTCCAAGAGGCTGAAGCCTCGAGGAAACCGTGGAAGAGGTCGTCGACCAGACGAGAATGGCCAAAGATCCAAGCTCGTGCAAACCCAGAGCTCCAAAGGGGATTCACTCGGCCAGAAACTCGCAGCAGTAGGCATCGATAATGACTCTACCAATACAGCCAACGGTCTGCCCTCCAATCGGGGTAATCATCATCGCGGATCGCGAGGCGCCAGACGGGCAACAGCGCCTCGTGGTCGGGGGTCCCATCGAGAAAACAAAGGGAATCACATGTCCAGGTCAGGAACGATATCGAAGAAGTAAGATTGGACCTTACAGCTAACCACCCGCACGTGTCGCTAGGGCCACACCGCAATCTTCCTTACCATTCAGAAACGGGTCTACGAAGCCAGAAACTACCAAGTTATCGCCAGGTCAAGTGCAAGATATCCTCGAGACGACCCTTTCAGAAATAGCTTGCTCTGATTCGTCGAGGGTCTCTGTTGTCAATAATTGGGCTACTGAGGCTGGCCTTGCAAGTGTCCGAGAAATAGTGGAAACAGACTTCGCCCGATCTTATAGCGTCACACGACTGATGTTCGACCCTCATTGCATCCTCTTTCTTCGTCTAATATCCTATATCTCGCGTGAGGATATACAAAGCTCACTCGTTCTCGAGAAGTCAGTGGGAACTATCTATAATGTCATCTACGGGCCGCATGGGAACAGGGGAGTCGCATTCTTTCGCAGGGTGGTGGGTAGCCTGACACACCTACAGAACGAAGGGGGAGACGTTGGTTCAAATGATGAAATCCAATACGGAGAAGTGTTGCTCCACGTAACAGAGGCAATACTAAGCACCTTATTACAAGTCCAGGAGGCTACGTTCAAGTCTGAGTTCAAAGAAGTCGTCGAAACGCTCTGGAGCTGCTTCTCTGTCGACGACGCGGATCATCGCCCGAAGCGTCTTATCACACGCCTAGCCAGAGAAAACCTGTTAAAGGTCCAAGACATATTCGGCACTGGGGATGGTATTACTGCCAACGTACAGAAGGTGCGCGGAGGTAAAACAAAAGCGAAGCAGTCCCAGCCTGCAGTCGCGGTTGACTTTCCTGGAGAGCTTTCGCAGTCTGGTATCAGGCATGATAATGACCATGCAGCCATTTCTAATATCAAAATCTTGCCAACACTGTCTGAAATTTGGTACAGCCGGCGACTTGACTTCCTCCCCACTAGGGATGCCCTGTACTCTCCAGACCGGCACCACGAGAAGGGTATTCGCCGTCTCCTCGATTCTCATTTTCGTCTTCTCCGGGAGGATACATCGGGAGTACTCCGGGACTCTCTCCGCGTTATCCTTGAAAATTGGGAGACACTTGTTCATGGAACTAGGTGGCAAGACAAGAGAAAAATATTGCGTACCCATAGTCCCACTCCTGTTCGTATCTACTACGGCGCCCAGATCCGGAAGGTCAATCCAGACCGTATCAAAGGGATGGAAATTGATGTAGAATTTGATCAGGTGCCAAGGGCAAGGAACATGAGTGTTTGGAAAAGGAAACACCACTGGCGTGACACTCGTGGGCTAAACGAAGGCGGAGCATTGTTGGCACTTATTGATGCGGAGGCCAAGGAGGACATAAGCGTGATATTTTTCCAGGTCTCCAAGAGAAACATTGACCCTGTAACAGACGAAAATTACAAGGACATTGTTCGTGACTTGGTGAGCAGCGGGAAAAGGGCCATGATCACACTCCGCCTCACGAGCCCACCTTCCAGTGATGACTTGGATGGCATCATTCATCTAGCAAATAACCAGTTCTCTTCCTCAGCCCGATCTTTTATACTTGTTGAATTTCCCGCACTGTTGTATAATGCCTTTGAGGGTATTTTACGGTGTCTGCAGACTCTGTACAGGGACCCTCGATACATCCCATTGACTGAATGGATAGCACCCCAAGACAGATACCCGCGGGAATATAGGACATCATACGGGTACAAGACTTTTCCTGTCTGCTCACCGGCTTATCTTGAAGATGTGACGTTGGATCTTTCATCTGTTTTGATGAATGAAGAGGACGAAAAAGCCACGCCACTTACGTTCTCAGTTGGACGAGACTTCAACGTCATGTGCGAGCAACTATCCAAAAAAACAACATTAGATATGGGCCAGGCGCGGGCAATGGTTTTAGCGTTCAAAAATCATCTGGCGCTCATTCAAGGTCCTCCGGGAACAGGCAAATCATACGTAGGTATTCAGATCGCAAAGTGCCTCCTGGCCAACCAAACTCGGCTACAACTGGGACCTATCTTGTGTGTGTAAGTCTCTTCTTCGACCGTGTTTGTCGCTCATAAATGGAGCTTGTGACTAACTCAGATCTAGTTGTTACACAAATCATGCACTTGATCAGTTTCTACAAGGGCTTTATGATTCGGGAATATCGAGAATCGTCCGCATTGGGTCTCGTAGCGCCTCACCGTTGTTGGAATCACTCTCGCTTGAAAATTATAAAAAGCTCAAAAAGATCCCTCGTATCCCGGGGCACGGGAGATGGATTAGCGGACAGCAAAAGCGGTTGGATGACTTGGCTGTCAAAATCGGCGATATTTGTAAGAGACTCCAAAGCGGGACTGATGGGATTGTGGGGCCATTTCTCAAAAAGCGATTTCCCATGCAGGAGGCGCAGATCACTAAGGGAGTGATGATCGGGGATGGGGAGCCTTTGGCTACCTGGGCTCGTGGGAGCGCTCCGGGTGACATTAATGGGAACGGGGACGAGCGCACCATCGAGCAGCTTCTCTCTGTAAACAAATGGACGCTAACGAATGAGGAGCGCATGCGCTTGCTCGAATACTGGCATGAGTCTGCCATCGAAGGACTGTCGTTCGAGCTCCAGAACCTGATGCAACAGCACGCTTTAGAGAAGCGACAGCTCACTTCCCTCTTCAATCAAGCAGACGCCCAGATATTCGATCAAGTGGACGTTGTTGGGATTACAACCACTGGTCTGGCAAACAACGCCGATCTTCTGCGTGGCCTTCGTGCAAAGGTGCTGGTTTGCGAAGAGGCCGGTGAAGTGCTCGAATCACACATCCTTACGACTTTCTTGCCTTCTGTCCAACATGCAATTTTGATCGGAGATCATCTACAGCTGCGTCCAAAGATCTCAACACAAAGGCTTTCCGCCGAGTATGACTCCGATGGGCCTAAATACAACCTCGACGAATCTCTTTTTGAGCGGCTGGCGAACTTTCGTCCTCCGAACCACCACATATCGATCGGAGAAGGCGAAGACGCTGATGACCCTATCCGATTTCCCGTAGCACAGCTGGACCATCAGCGGAGAATGGACCCTTCGATTGCTTCTCTTGTTCGTGGGACCCTGTACCCCAATTTATGCGACCACCCCAGAACGCACTTATACGACGGGATCTCCGGCTTCAAACGCAGATTATTCTGGCTTGACCACCGCAATACAGAAGACCCAGATGATCCAGAGGACCCGATGCGAAGCAAGACAAACACGTGGGAGGCAGAAATGGTGATCTCCGTGGTGAAGCACCTGTGTAAGCAGGAATACTATAAGCCGGGAGAAATTGCCATTCTGACGCCTTACATCGGGCAACTGAGACTACTGAGGGATCAACTGGAGGGTATAGTCGACCTGGTTATTGCAGAGCAAGATCTGGCCGATCTGGATGAATCTGAAGCAGAGGAAGATGCGAATGGCAGCAACAACCACAACCGACGAACTGTTGGGAAAGGCAAATTGTCGGACCAAGTGAGGATCGCTACTGTGGACAACTTTCAGGTGAGGTCGTCCCACAGTGCTGGGCTATAACAACGAAATACTAACCGTGTCTATTTTAGGGTGACGAGGCAACCGTTGTTATAGTATCCCTCGTGCGGAGTAATAAGTATCGGAACTGCGGCTTCCTAAAGACTTCAAACAGAATCAACGTTTTGCTGAGGCAAGTGTTCAAAACTCCCACTTCCTTGATTTCCTTCTACTCCGTTCTAATTTTTATATGATTTCTGCCTTATAGCCGTGCAAAACATGGCATGTATATCATCGGAAATGCTGATACAGCGTCATGTGTTCCAATGTGGTCGTCAGTTATCAGAATGTTAGAAGACGACGGCAACATCGGGCCCAAGCTGCAGCTCGAATGCTCACGACACCCCCAAAGTAGGATCCATGTTTCAACCCCTGAGGATTTTCTAGAACAAGCCCCGGAAGGCGGATGTGCAGAGCGATGCGAACGGAGGTTGCCCTGTGGTCACACCTGTACGTTCAAGTGCCATTCCAACACACGGCATGACGCGGTCAAGTGCATGAAGCCGTGTACGAGGATGAAGAAGTGCGGTCACTCGTGCCCACAAAGATGCCATGAGAGGTGTGGCGAGTGCATCGAGAAAATCACCAATGTCCCTCTTTCCTGCGGACATACAACCACGATTGAATGTCGAGATAGGGATAGAATCACCTCGGTCAAATGCGCGCAAGTTGTGGTGAAGAGGTTGCCTGGATGTGGCCATGATACCCGAGTCAAGTGCCACGAAGACATTTCAAAGAAGAGGTGCTTCAACCCGTGCCAACAACTACTGGACTGTGGACACACCTGTCAGAGACCATGCTGGGAGTGTTGGAAATCAAAAGGCGAGCACGCTCAAAATCACCGCGCCTCGTGTACTACGGTGTGCGGAAGACCTTTCAGCACCTGCTCTCACAATTGCACTCGACCCTGCCACCCATCCACTCCCTGCTCTCCTTGCGACCAGCCCTGCGAGGTCCGCTGTCGACACAACAAATGTCCTAAGAAATGCAGCGACCCGTGTGCCCCTTGCGCCGAGAAGTGCGGGTGGAGCTGCAGTCATCGCCAGAAACACCCTTGCAACATGCCATGCGCAGTTCCGTGCGACATAATCCCCTGTGACAAGCGTTGTGACAAGATGCTGAACTGCGGGCACCGCTGTCCGAGTATCTGCGGCGAGAAATGCCCTGATCGAAAGTTCTGCCAGACATGTGGTAATGCGGATGTGCTTGAACGGAGTGTCGATCTAATTACGTTCAACAAATACGGAAAAATCAACGTCGACGAAGACCCATGTGTGTTCCTTTCCTGTGGACACTTTTATACAGTTTCCAGCCTCGACGGAATTATGGAAATCAAGGAATACTACAACGTCGACTCTGCAACCGACACCACCATCAGCCCTAGATCGGCACGGCGAGTAGTAAGCAGCGACGCCAAACTTCGCGGATGTCCAGAGTGTCGTCTACCACTTCGAGACATCCACCGCTACAACCGAATCGTGAAAAAGGCGTTGCTCGACGAGTCAACTAAGCGGTTTATCATAACGGCAAGCTTGAACTACAAAAAGCTCGTCGACGCAGTTTTAAGGCGTGAAATGGAGCTAGAAAGCGCGAGAACAGATTCCCTGCTCCTCTATTCAACGACAACAGGACAACCCGGAGGCTCCACTGTTGTAGGATCCACCAAGCCGTTCGGCAAAAAGGAAAAACTGCAAAAGAGCATCGACAAATTCACCAAGTCCATGACCGCTGCAGAGCAACCCTATGGGAAGGTAAATGATTTGCTCGCGTCTGCAGCTTCTCGGGAGGATACTGTGAAAAGCGATGTCTTCCAGATCGATGAATCCAAAATCCAAACTGGATTCCAAATCCGCGGACAGATTCTTCAGCTTCGACTCACATGGGCCATACTATGGGACTACAGGATGGTATCCACTGACCTCCGCATTGACTCAAAGCTGCGTTCTGAGCTATGCGATGCGGTAGCAAATCAACTCAAAGGACTTATCCGCAACTGCCGGTCCATCAGAGATAGCAGCAAGACTGCAAAGCTCTTGGCACAAGAGGTGGAAGCAATGGTATACTACGCACTATTCTCATTGCTATCCCTGAGTACCTCCGAAGCAAAAGGACAACAGCTAAGCATGGATGCCGTCAACGAGCTTCGCAATCAGGCATCTACTACATTGCAAGAATGTGAAACTCTATGCTCCGACAATCCGGGGACACTGGGCTTTTTAAAGGATGATATCGAAAAGGCAAAGGGGTTGTTGAATGGTGCGACGTTCTACAGTTTCGTATCGACGGAGGAGAAGAAGCAGGTCTATGATGCCATGGCGAGTCAGTTCTTGGGGACTGGACATTGGTATTACTGCCGGAATAGTCATCCTGTGAGACTTCTTCCTTAACTATGGTAAAAAGGAATTGCGGGCATGCTAACGTATCGATCACAGTTTACCGTGGGCGAATGTGGAATGCCGATGGAAGAAGCTCGGTGTCCGCAATGTGGAGAGCCAGTTGGAGGACTTGGCCACACTCCTTCCGCGGGAGTCACCGGTGCTGTGGATTTTGAGAGAGAGTTTGGTGGTGGCTATTGATTTGCTTCGTTTTGCCCATTGTCCAGAGGCCATTTTCCGGAGGAGACGCGGCTCTGATTCAGTTCATGGTATGAGACTCGATGAGATATCAGAGGACCGGTCTACCTCCATAAATCTAGATTAATGCAATGGGTCAGAAAGAAAATAAGATGAAACAGTGAACGAAGTATTCACAGATCACAAATAGGAGCTTGATATAGTTAAGCGAGTACTATTTCTAGAACTGTGTATATATCCGTTTGTACTCAACAGAATGCCTGCTCTTCTTGCTGCTATATGGAACATTCTAGATAGATGCTTTATGCAATTATCTGTACTCTAGTTCAACACATCGATTATATATACTTTTCCATGAAACTTCCGGGTGACTTATCAACTGGCAAACCACCTTGCTCTCCAATTGATGATTTACCGTCCAATCACTTGAGACTTAGGAATTTTTAAAGAATTTACTCCGTAGATTGGACTAAATAGACTTGGATTGTGTGATCAATCGAATGTTTGTATAGCCATTTGGCCAAACATGGCAGACATGCCAAACTAGCAAACGCGACAAACACAAACATACAAACGGGCTTATGCACACTTTATGCAGACTTATCCATGAACATAACCATAAAAACAAAGCAAATAGCACAAAGTTGCAATACTTCTAAACAGTGCAAATGGTACAAACCTACCAGAAACAGTGACAACCGTTGAAGTAGACCTGGCGGATCAAAACAAGGTAGTTGATGCGCTGAAGCATGTTGATATTGTCATGTATGTTGCGCTCCTCTCCTTGGTCGGGTATAAGGAATAAGGGATTGCAGTAACTGATCAATGCAGCTCTTTAATCGGCCACGAAGGCATCACCCAACAACACCATCTCGTAACCGCAATCTCAAAAGCAAATGTTCAGCTCTTCGTCCCCTCGAAACTAGCGGCAAACTAGGACGAGCAGGGGCTGCGTATTCCGCTGAACAGTGCTAAGGAGGTTGCTGCTGCTGCGCGCGAGGCTGGGATTCCGGTGACGACGGTACTGTTGGGGAATTTTGCGGAGTTTGCACTTGGGACTTTGTAAGTTTTATGGGGAGTTTTTTGGGGGTGGGTTTGGATGTGAGAAATTAGGCTGACAATGATAGGGCGATGGGAGTCGACTATCAGAACAACCGCATGATTTTCACGGGGGATAGTGCGAACCAGCCTGTTAATCTCTAGTTTGTTCAAATTCCATCCCCTTCCATTCTACACAAATCCATTCATTCACTAACCCAACATCCAGCACCCGCCCCTACGTCGCTGCCGCCTACGCCTCCATCTTCGCAACCACCCCAATCCCAAGTCTCCAAAACCGCACCCTAACCCTATCCGAACTATCTCCCACAGGCGCCCAAATCGCCGCCGCGCTAGCGCAGAAACAATCCTCTCGAACAAAAACCACAACCGAAACACTCGCTTCTGTCAACCAGAAGATCGAAACGGGTCTTCAAAACGGTATGCCTGCTGTTTTGGCGTACTACTGTCGGAAGATTTGGGGGACGGGAGAGCAGGGGGGTATGCTTGGAGGAGATGTTTGGGATGTGGAGGGGTATGATAAGGTAGGTGTTGAGGAGTTGGTTGGTGGGGGGTTGTTGGGGGGGTATAGGGAGATATCGCCAGCTGTGAAGGAGTTGTTCGGGCCGCAGTTTGAGGAGTGTCAGTAGGATGGCGAGTTGTCTCCACGATGCAAAATTGACAACTTGGAAAGCAGCTGGCTCTGTCTTGTGGAGGTTGGCTCTGTTAGGGTTGCGAAGGTGCCGATATGCTGTCAATACAGCCTAGATTACACATTATAACGTCAATTACACGGAGGCTCATTTCCTCCCCCGGAGAGCCATGACTGTAATTTCACCTCTCTGTTCGCATGGGTCTCCAAACCACCCCAATCCCACCACTCCAATTTAGCCCTCTTAAATTGATACGAAAAAACACCCCCAATCGCCTCATTATCCGGGAGACTATCATGACCCATAGAGTATGACAAGGTCCAAGAGCCACCTGGTTGTAGGCTCACGAAGCCTTGATCCTCGCTGACGTTGACGATGAGGTCTTCGTCCATTCCTATGTTGTTTCCTCCGCATTCACAGACCTCGTCGTTGGCGTATTCTTCCCATAGGTTATTTGATTTAAGGCGGTAGAGCCAGTTTCTGGATGTTGATAGTAGGTCGCCTGCGCAGAAGGTGATGGGTTGGATCTCTTCTTGGTCTTGTGTGTGTTCTTCTTGTTTTTCCTTGGTAATGCCGTGATATGTGACTGAAGTTCACCGCTATCCCTTGGTTGAGATGTTTCTGGCTCGGGCCTGTCAGGGTCACGCTGAAGATTGGTGCCCCTGGGCTATACCGTGCAACACAGTCAGAACCATCAACATAAAAGCAAACAATCAACGCATGGTTTACACTCTCTCAGTCGCAGGACCCTCCGTCAACCGTGGCTATGATACTTGAACAGGCATTGCCGACGCTCCCTCCCCAACTACTGTAACGACACCCGCCAAACAGTACATCACGATACCGTTCCGGGATCTTGTGAAACCACCGGTCACAGCCACCTGGTGAAGGTTGATGGATACTATGGTCATAGGCCCTGATTTCTGAAAAGTTGGGGATTTCGAAGCGTTGCGGTTTTTGGACTTCGACTTGCTTCAGGTAGCCTTCAGTAGTGTAGTAGAGAAGGATAAAGCCGTCGGGGCCGAAGCCGTCTTTTGAGCTGCTCCAGTAGAATATGCAGGGTTTGTTGGGAATGTCGTTTGGGGTTCGGTAGAGGGTTATTAGGATTCCGGGTGCTCTGTTTTTGTTGAGGGTGCCTGAAGAGCTTAGGAACTCGAGGGAGAGGGTGATATTTGGTGTGTTTGGTCTAGATGCTGTTAGTTGTTTGCTGTTGTTGGAAAGATGTACCGTCTATCCGTTTTGGAGTTTTTTAGAAATGGGATGATGTGAGAGTCATCCATATTCAGAATAGTTGATAGCACTGAAGAATAGGAAAGCAAAAGACAAAGATGTGGGAGATTCTCATACTGATTGATGGATTGCTTCGACACAGCCCTCAGCGCATCAGCGCATCAGCACAGCCTTTTCGCATATCACGTAGTCTACTGCATCTCCGGGTCCAAGCAGCTTCATTAAGGATCGATGGTTGCCGGAGTGTCATCGGATGTTATCCCATTAAAGCCCTAAATTTACACCGGGGAACATGAAGCCATTCACAATGCCCGATTTGGATCTTACTAAGGCGAAGCCGATGACGACATCAGAGTTGACCAATCAACGTTGAGCGGTCACGGGATTTCAAACAGATCGGAGTCCGGGGAATTTTACCAGTGGTTTGCCTCCCAATTCTCAACGCATTTTGTTTGGATTCATCTTTCTTTGCGACCAGATTGCCTCTTTCGTTTCAATTGCCATCGGGCTGTTTATATCTGTCCTTTCTGTATTAACAGCGCCCTCGTCCCCCCTGAATCACCTTCTCTCCTCTTAAATCTCCGCCCCGCCCCGCAGCGATGTCGGCGCCCGCGCCCTCGTCTTCGGACGTGCTGAAGAAGGCCGTCCCTCACGTTGACATTGACGGTCACAATCTTCCTCCATCGCCGGCCCCGTCGAGCCCGCGCACAGGGAGGAAATATGCGATTGCCACCGAGCTTGTGTACACCGAGAGCAGTGACCAGTACAATGCTAGCAGTGTCCCGATTTACCAGGTGAGTCATGGCGGTAGCAGAACTCGATTTTGCGCAAGGAGTACTGAGGCTAATTGGTGATCGCTGTAGAGCGCTACCTTTAAGCAAGCGTCTGGCGACGGCGGTGGTGAATATGACTATACTCGTTCCGGAAATCCCACTCGAACCCATCTCGAGCGCCATCTCGCCAAGGTCATGTCGGCCCAGCGCGCCCTGGTCGTGACGTCGGGTATGGCAGCGCTGGACGTGATTACCCGGTTGCTTCGTCCTGGCGATGAAGTGGTTACTGGAGACGACTTGTACGGCGGTACGAACCGGCTTTTGAAGTATCTGTCGACCAACGGCGGTATTACTGTGCACCACGTCGACACAACTGTGCCGGAGAAGGTGTCTGAAGTGCTGTCTCCCAAGACGACCATGGTCCTGCTCGAAACCCCCACCAACCCGCTAATCAAGGTCGTCGACATCCCACAGATCGCGGCTGCCGCGCACCAGGCCAACCCCAACTGTCTGGTGGCGGTCGATAACACAATGATGTCTCCGCTGCTGCTGAGCCCGCTCGATCTTGGCGCTGATATTGTTTACGAGAGTGGTACCAAGTACCTGTCGGGCCACCACGACCTCATGGCCGGTGTTATTGCGGTCAACGACTTGGCCCTGGGAGAGCGGTTGTACTTCCCGATCAACGCATCGGGATGCGGTCTGTCGCCGTTCGACTCATGGTTGTTGATGCGCGGAGTCAAGACACTCAAGGTCCGCATGGACCAGCAACAGAGCAATGCCCAGCGCATTGCCGAGTTCCTCGAGGCCCACGGCTTCAAGGTGCGATACCCGGGTCTGCGGTCGCACCCGCAATACGACCTTCACCACTCCATGGCGCGGGGGTCTGGAGCGGTGCTGTCGTTCGAGACGGGTGATGTGGAAGTTAGCGAGCGGATTGTTGAGAGTGCGCGCATCTGGGCTATCAGTGTTAGCTTCGGGTGTGTCAACAGCTTGATCAGCATGCCATGTCGGATGAGCCACGCCAGTATCGACGCCAAGACGCGCCAGGAGCGCGCCATGCCGGAGGATCTGATTCGGTTGTGTATCGGTATTGAAGATGTGGATGATCTCATTGATGATTTGCGCCGGGCGGTAGGTTCCCTCCTTCCTTGAAATTATTCTACTCAGACTAATATGTTGTATAGCTCGTCCAATCTGGTGCGGTCAACATCACTCCAGATGACTTTCAGGCCGTGAACGCGGCCTCTGCGTAGATACATTAAGGATTGAACAAGTGCAATGCGTATGCTTTATGCTTGATTGGGATTATATCATGGCGTTGGGGTAAATAGAAAACTGCATGTCCTCTTTAAGTGTATTATGCATATAGTAAATAAATGTATGCATTATCGGATCTCCGGACGGCATCGGGCACAGATCCGAGCCGAGACTCGCCGAGCGTATTTTCTTTTTCCCCGGACGAATTGCATGGCGATTGCGAATCGCAACGGATAATTGCACTTATCAGAGCAATGTCTTTGTAATTCGTTTTTACCTTCCGTTTCCTTTCGTCGCATTCCTCCCACCTCCCATTCCCTTCTTATCTTTAGATTCCTTGAGAGCCTGCGCATACGATCCGCGCCAGCTCCGTCCTCCGCTATCGCTGAGCTCCGGGAATGACTCGAAATGCAATTCCTCAGGAAACACCGTCTCTCACCATGACTGCCCTTTCTGAACGCTCGACCTCGTCGAGAAAATGGAATACAGACCGGTTAGGCGCTCGGTTAGGCGTGGATATTGTCAGTGCTGCTACGGCCGGGTTACTGACATGTCCGGTTATCACAGTAATTGATCGGTACATTACCCCAATTAACCATCTCTGCAACAGAGAAACAGAAAATGAGAAGCTAACACATTTGTAACGCAGCGCAATCATCGAAAAAGCCGCCAAAGGCCTCCCAATCCGAAACACCATCACCTCATGCTTCAAATCGATGGCGCGCCATCCGGCCGGATTCTTCCTCAGCACGCCTTTCTTCCTTATATATACCCTCTATACGGGCACGTATCTAACAGCGAACACAATTGACACGATAACGTCCACGTTGCGTGATAAACCCTTTGCCGCCGTTTTCCCGGGAACGGCCAAGTTCTTGGCTACCACGAGCGTGAACATGGGGATATGCGTGTACAAGGATGCGGTGTTTGCGAGGTTATTCGGCGCTTCCCCCTCTCCCTCTTCGTCTTCATCTTCCTCGACCACATCTACATCGACTTCGTCAACGTCGACGTCGACATCGACAGCAAAAGAATCCTTCTTCTCCCAATCCCCCTCAACCTGCCACCCCCACAGCCAAACCAAAACCGTCCCCAAAATCTCCTACTCCCTCTTCTGCCTCCGCGACAGCATCACCATCTTCGCCTCCTTCAACATCCCCTCTCTCGTCGCCCCCTACATCCCTGACACCCTGGCCACTTCGCCCTCCACCAAAACCGCGCTCGCACAATTCTCCTGTCCCGCTCTAATGCAGTTCGTGAGTACGCCTATGCATCTACTCGGCTTGGATCTGTATAATCGGCAGCCGGCTGGGGGGTTGAGTTTCTGGGGTGATCGGTGGCCGCGGATTAGGAGGGATTATGTGAGTAGTTCGTTTGCGAGGATGGGGAAGATTGTGCCTGCTTATGGGGTTGGGGGTGTTGTTAATGTTAGGATGAGGGAGGGGTTGATGGGGTTGTTGGGGGGGTAAGCCTGCTTTTGGTTTTGGTTTTGACCTCGTCCATCAGAGAACATTTTGCTTTTTTTTTTTTTTTTTTTTTTTTTTTTTTT